ATGGATGCTGCATAGCAGTTCGATCCATTCGCCAGGAGTCCGATTATCGAAATCCAGCCCACTCAAGTTGAATGGACTGGGCCAACGAAATAAAGTGGCCAAGAGGGTCCACTCATTCAAATTGATTGCCCGGCGATTGGGCTCAGCGGCCTTGAGTGCCTCCAACACAACGACGGGGTCCTCTCCTGCATTCTGCAAGTCCAAGATGGACCGCAAGAAGAGTTCCCGCGTAGTGTCAAAAAGGGACCCAATCTGCTTTAATTGGTCGTTCAGGTCGGTGGCTCGTCGTAATGAGTTTGCTAGATTTAAATAGAATCAAACGAATTAAATAAAATAAATAAAATCAAATAGAATACAGCAAACTTACTATGCGTACTGCTAGTCGAAGCCTTATGGAGCGCATTGAGCGCGTCCATAGCCAGCTCCACATCCAAGGACCCCAAGCACTTCAAACGCCGTGAGGAGCAAGCTTGACATTTGTATCCTGGCAATGGAGCCGAATTGGCTTCCAAGTCCCCTCGAGCAAGCGCCGAAACGCAAGCCTGACTTGGGAGGGAAGGCTACATAAATTGAAACATGTTAGCAATTAAGTTAATTAAAACGTCAGATAAAAACCTACATCGCGAATCACCCGGTTCACCTGCATTAGATCCTGCATAGTAAAACGAGCATTTTGGGTCTCCAAGATGGAGCCCAGCTCGACGAAGTCAGGATTGATGGCGAGGAGGGGATTCTCGCGATTCAAGGGAGCGCTATTCTATTAAATTAATAGAATTAGTATTAACTAAATTAAGTTGAATCACTGTGACTTACCCTGGCATGTGCAAACTTTGGAAAAGGTGTGAAGGCACCAGTTGACTGCTCTGGAAGTCGTAGGCGTCCTTGAGCATCCGCCAATAGTACCGGTTGGAAGGTACTCTCTGGGGAACGCTCAGGAACGGGCTTCGCTGCAGCCTTGGATACTCGTTTGGGGACGGTCACCCGTTTAACTGGACGACGAGGCAGTGAAGCTACAATCGAATTGAATTAATAAAATGAGACGAAAAATGAAGAATAAAAATTTTACCAGAGATGGAAGATGTCGTTTTGAGGCGTTTTGGAGGAGGAGCAGTATCCTCATCCTCATCCTCATCAGTGACAACAATTTGTCGCGCTTTTCCTTTTGAGGCGATCGAAGTATTTTCCCTCGAACGAGGAGGGAGTCGAACCCTTTTGTAAGCCATACCAGCAAGAGGGGGATGATCAGCCTCAGGATCTTCAACTACCTTGACGGTAGTTTTGGATTTAGGCTCCTTTCGGCCTACAGAGACTTTGGCAGACGAAGAAGCTCGAGGAGCTGCGTCTACCAAAGGGAAACCACTCAAAAGCTCATTATCGGAGTCTTTTGAATGGGTGGAACAGGGAGAAGCAACTAAATCAAAACAAAGATGAAATGAATAAAATGAAACCAAGAAATTAAATTAATACTCACGAAATGAGGAAGCGTCAGCCTTGAGGCTTTCGATCTCCCGATTCCGTCGAAGTGCCCTAGGGGGCACAGCTTGTGCTTTAGTGACAGGGGGAGGAGAGATGACATCGGAAACCTTGGGAGGCGAAACTGCCTTTGAAGCTCCAGGAGAGCCTTTACCGCGTAACGAGGCAAAGACATCCAGTTCTTTGGAAGGCGCCAGACGCATCATGGCGCTCCCTTCGCGGAATCGAAGACAGAAAGGAATTGGAATAGTGGGGAAGTGTTCAAGGACAGGAGCATCCTACAAATCGAATTAAAATGAATAAAAGAATTGCTTCAGAAGCAGGAAAAACGTACCGTAGAAGAAGACCGATGTTCAGGGGGAATTCCCCACTGCTGTAATAAGCTATCGCGAAGAAATGCAGGGAGACGGGCAGATAAGAACTTGGCAGCTAGAAGGATTTGTTCTGCGAACAAAGGGCAATTCGCCCTTCCCATCCAGAATTCATGAATATAAAGCTAATAAGAACAATTAAAATAAATAAAAGCAATGAGAAGTGGAATATGCACCAGATACGGGGCGGCTTCCTCAAATAAATGATATAACTCCATCGGATTGGTTTCAATGGAATCCTCATCCCCACTTTGTAACGTCCGCACGGCCATTTGGGCTGAACAATATAAGTCCAAGCCTGAGGCAACAGATAGAGGACGCGAAGTGTTAGAAGGGAAGCAGAAGGGAACCAGAGGACGAGGATACGAAAAAGCTGGAAAGGTAGTAGATCCATCGAAATCCGGAGAATTCTGAGAATCGAGCATAGGGGGGGAGTAATCTCCCTGTTGAAGACGAACAAAAACAGCGCTCTCGAAGAACAAAGGGAGTGTTGATTTGAATGAGAGACCCGCCAGAATTACTTGGGCCTCCATAAGGGAGGTAGGAAGAAGCGTGGTCGAAGCTACAGCCCGAGTTTGACTCGAGGTTGAGGCCATTTTGAATTAATAAGAACGAGATGAAGGAAGAAAAAGAAAGAAAACGGACTTCAACGAAAATTTGTTGAACCCCGTGCCCCAAACCAAATAAATGTACACACTGAATCAGTGTGTACGTCAGAGCAGTTCTCCGTGAAATGGAAGCTCGTTCTGTGATTAGATGATAAAAAGATTGTGAATGAAATTTTGAAATGTGATAGGAATACCGAAAAAGTATTCAATTCAAATTGAGCGCTAAACTGTTACGATTCGTAGCAGGCGTGTGAATAAATTGATAGATGAGCGCTAGAAACCCATTTGAGGGCATCCAAATTGATTGGAGAGCACGGAGAAGTAGAGATCCAAACCCAGTGAATTACATTAAAAGGAGATATAGTCTTGTCGAATCCATCTAAAAACAGATTGGGTATCCTTTCCCTATACAAAACTACGAATGACCGAGGACGGTCAAATTCTTTAGTTTGGGGGGGATGACACGCCTAAATTTTGGCTAGACGTCTATGCGGTGAATTGTGACATTTTCACGTATAGATTTGTATCAAGAGGACTGTAATTGAAACCCAGATTGACAGTCAAAGTCGATACTGAATCAGTCTAATAAGTTGAAGGGACCATATACCCATACTACCACAAGTTGGTCAGTTTACCCATCCCCGATACTACCTACGGATAGCAGTCTACCTGTTTGTCAAGCAGGATTATACCAGACTCGGACTACATCCGAAGGATGACCATTCACGTATGACATACCAAGGGTATTCTTTTTGGACCTTACACTGGCAGGAGTTTGGAAGAACTTACTCAAGTGACCATGAACCGAGGATTGACTCGAAATGACTTTCTAGAACTCAGGAATTATCAAATACTCCTTCTAGAACGAGATCATGCATTAACCTAAAAGACTGCGGTTTAGTCTAATAGACCAATCAAGTTGCATGGTTGAGGAAAATGACTAGAAGAACGATCAAAGTACTGCGAGGCTCCAAAGACATATCAAATGAATGTCAAAGAGTCCTGACGTAGAAAATATTGAAGAATGCAATTAAATGAATACTATGTGTAACTCCCTTGATAGAGTATAGGCACAATGGGTGTCTATTGAAAGAGAGAAGCAATTAGTTTAATCCAGATGAATCAGATTGATAGGATTAGAATCGAGGAGAGCTGATTTGCCTCCGGACGAGGTGACAAATGATCGAAGTAAGTGTTAAACAGCAATGACAGTTAAACACTATTCGAGTCATTCTCTAAAAGCAATTAAATTAAATGAATAGTGAAGTACCTACCTATGTTTGGGGGTATACTAGAATCTTGGAACCAATATGGACCAAATAAGGACATGTAGATTCAAATTAAATGGTATCTGACTGAGTGTAGAAGTTTCCTTGCGGTTCCGAATGTTTATTGTATTAAATTAATTGTACTATGCGACTCTATATTCTGTATGTATAAATAGCGATCCGATGTATCTGGAATACAAGTGATTTTGGGATGACGTTGCAGTGCTAATCCGTAAAAAGGAAAGACACACTCCCGCCAAACTGAAACCTCTTCGCTAGCAGCCATTCGGGCCCGGCACTTGTGAGTATAGGAACGTTGTGTTCTGCTCCTTGTGACTGCGAGAAGTATATCCAGTTGTTGGGTATTCTTCGAACTTAGGATCAGTCGTTGGTCTTAAGGGCAAATCACGCTGTGTGGTTGTGCCAGCACATAGTTCTAGCCCTCCGTAGGGGTCTGTGTGTTTCGGTTTTAATTTACTTTGATTCAAACCCCAATTCTTGATATACCCAAATCAATACAACCAAAAGCACAAATCATGCTGAATTTACCTTAATCAAAGGAATATATCGAATCCTTAGAACGATTCAAATTGATCGAAGCTTCGTACTTAGCTCTCAAAGCTTTGCGGAACCTTTGCCAACGCTACCCCTTGCTATTAAATAAATTTGATAGCAGTGAACTCGCATATTGTGTATTAGATTGGTTGGTTGAAGTGCCCATTAGATTCCTTCCTTTCTCTTTCACACAAAAATGAGGCAAGCTCGTTATCGGGGATGGGTAAACTAACCAACTTGTGGTAGTATGGGTATATGGTCCCTTCAACTTATTAGACTGATTCAGTATTGACTTTGACTGTCAATCTGGGTCTCAATTACAGTCCTCTCGATACAAATCTATGCGTGAAAATGTCACAATTCACAGCATAGACGTCTAGCCAAAATTTAGGCGTGTCATCGCATTTGGTGATGCCAATGTCATTCCTGACGAAGAGTGATTTTTGGTGGTGGTCCCGTCCTAGGTGCATTGTCTGGTTCTTCCACCCAGGTCCACTCCTCGTCACTCGGGAAGAACGGCAGTAAATTAGTTGGGGAACACTTGTTAGTAACTCACATTTCTGACGAAATGTCGGGTACTCGCGGTCCAGGCTAGCATGTTCATCGGTTTTGCAGTTGATGCAGTATCTCTTTTCAGAAGAGCAGTCAGCAGTGTTGTGATGTTCTCTGCACTTACCACATATGTTTTCGTCTCCTTCAGTACATTGTCCTGCTATGTGCCCGAATCACTGACATTTGTAACATCTTCTCTCTTCTTTAACTGTTTTCTTGGCTTCGACTCTCTTATTACTTATGACTGCACCAGATAGCAGTAATTGGTTCACAGCATTTGCATTGTTGAGGTACAGGAGGAGACTTGCAACACGTTGTCCTTCCGTTTGTCTCTGTATTGCTTTGGCCCACTTCACTTGGGTGATAGAACAAGTCGGAAGGTTGTTGATGTCCTCCAGTCGTTGCAGCTCAAATGCATCATCTGCGCCAAAAGTTATCAGTACAAAATGTAGTATGATCTCGTATTCCTTGTCGGCAATCGTTAGTGCTTGGCCAGAGAGTGTCGTGAATTGTATCATCTGTTCAACTCGGTGGATCCAGTCTGCTAGCTCGGGCAAGCTCACTTCTGTAAGGAGATTATCAGTATTCTTTAGTTTCGTTGCAGAGACAAAAGTGCCCTTGTTCAGGGCGCCCATCTTTATTAGCATGTTATTAAGGTATTCCAGAATCTCTCCCGAGATTTCCTTTCCTGCCTCGTTCCCTACGTTTAGGATTAGTACCTGTTGGCGCTTTACTTCAATGTGAGCGCGCATTCTCTGTCGCGCCATGGCCTGTGTCGGGGCCATTGTTCCTTTACCATTCGTTCGCATGACATCGGCGTAAGAGGCTTCGGGTGCAGCTGGTTGGCTGTTCTTAGCAATAGAGTTGATTTTCTCTTCTGTTCCGTTGATGTTGGCCGCGATGGAGTCCAGCCTTTCATTGAATTCATTCCTGACCTGTGTGAGCTGGTGCTGTAATTGCTTTTCTATGTCTAGTTTTGCGAATGATGACTCAACTGCGCCTTTTATTTCACCTAGCAGTTGGTGTTGGTTTTGTTTCTCATCCATATCCCTCAATAGCGTGATCCCATGCTCCACCGTTTTGAGTGCGACATCTAATTCCTTCTTGGGCAGCCTGGTAGCCCGTAGCATGGCGTCGTATATGTCGTCCTTGGTCAATAGCGCATTTGTGCCTATGATGGCTGCTTTGCTGGTGAGGTATTCCCTGGCTATCTGTTCTTTCGTAGCCGTCACTGTTGGTGTATTATCAGTGTCTGTTGGCTCTAGTATTCCGTTTACCGATTCTGGTCTTGTCTTATTCGGAGTTCCTCGTCTCAAGGTTCCGGCACTACTCAGCATCGATTGTCGCGACATTTCATAGCGGTGTTGGTATATAGCAGCTGGCCCTATACCTTAGGCCTTTTTTTTGGTTGAGATTTTTCATTTAATTGCCTACTACTTGAGTCGTGTCCTATCTTTTTAGTACATTCTCTCGGTTTGAAACCGTGGGAATATCGTAGCAGATGGATGTAAGAGATCAAAGTTCGGCCGCTCGGCAACCGTACCCGCAGGGGTTCGCTAGTAGCAGTTTTCGTGGAAAAGAAACGCCGGATGAGTCATCCCGACAACGGTCATCTCACGTGTCAACTAGATTGGTCTCGGCTTCAGACCTGGCTAAGACGACGAACTCCATTTATATTCTCTTCTACTCTCTAGCCTGTCCTAAGAGGTTACTACGCATCTATTGGTTCTCATTTTGAACCATGGATTTTAGTTCTCCTACACCATCTCTTACTCCAAGCATCGGTTCTCCTCCTCCTTTCATTCCTGTGCAACCAGACCACTTTTATCGCTTAGATGACAGCAGTGGTTTGCCGTCATCTCCTCGCTCCCTCGATGGGACTACTTGGTATGAACCAGAAGACGACCGTTTGGCATCACGTGGAATCCCTGTTTTCAAGCCAACAATGGAAGAATTTCGAGATTTCGAAGCGTACATGAACATGGTCGAATGTTGGGGCAAATACAGCGGTATAGTCAAGGTCATTCCTCCCAAAGAGTGGTGCGTCAGGAGATCTACGTTGCACATCGCGATCTTAATCTATTTCTCCTCAGGAGCGATGCTTTGCCCTCTGTGAAAGAACAACTATCTTCTGTTCAGATCAAGACGCCGATAGAACAACTTATGCTCGGGCAAACCGGCCTTTTCCGTCAACAGAACATGGAAAAACGGAAAACGATGAGCGTGCGCGAATGGGCCGAGTTTTGTAGCCAACCTGAATACCGGGCTCCAAGTGTCGATGAAGTTGGAATCCATGCGCGAACCACCGTGAAAGCCAAGACGCGGAGAACTAGGAAGTCTAAAGTCACCGCTAAAGACGAAGCAGGTGACCTTGATCTGGCAAACCAAGTGTTAATTAAAGAAGAGCCGGTCGATAGCCTGACGCACGACCATATCCTGCTGTCTCATTCCGCTACTCCTGCTGGAGACGACATAAAGCCAAAGGTCAAGAATAACAGGAGACAACAGGAAAAACTCACCGAGGTTGAAAAGTTAGAAAGAGATGCTTCGTTCCTCGAAAATTTCGATCCCGCGCTAGATTGGCTGCCTTTTAGTATGAGTCCGGAGGATTACACTCCAGAGTTTTGCGCAAAGCTTGAAAGGCACTATTGGCGTAATCTGGGTTTGGGAAAAGCTCCGTGGTATGGAGCAGATACACAAGGTATGTTACATCGGTCATCCAGGCTTACTACACCCCTTACTACGGACCTCAGGCTCTCTTTTCACCCATGAGACGGAAGAATGGAATGTGGCTCATCTTGAGTCAGAGCTCTCTCGACTTCTACCTTCGAGCGACAGAGGACTACCAGGCGTAAATACTCCTTATCTCTACTGGGGGATGTGGAGAGCCACCTTCGCTTGGCACGTCGAAGACATGGATCTATTTAGCATAAATTATATCCATTTTGGAGCCCCAAAATTCTGGTATGCCATTCCACAAGGAAGAGCGGCCGCACTTGAGCAAACAATGCGAAGTAAGGTTCCTTTGACGATTTCTGAATTACCGGAATGTTTATCTGATTTTCAGGTTACTTTCCTAAGGACACTTCTCAATGCCCAGAGTTCCTTCGTCACAAGTCGTTTCTCGCCTCGCCTACCTTGTTGGCCAGATCGGCATGTAGACCCAATACCGTAGTTCAACACGCAGGTGAATTTATCATCACCTATCCTCGAGGGTATCATGCAGGATTCAACCTTGGCCTCAACTGTGCAGAAAGTGTCAATTTTGCTTTGAAGAGTTGGGTAGAATTAGGGAAGGTAGCAAAGGCTTGCAAATGTGTGCCGGACAGGTATTAATCCTTCTCAGTCATAAACAATCACTCGTCCTCACATTTATGCTCAGCGTCGTTATAGACGTCGGTCAACTGATAGCAGATCGCGCCAGAGAAAAAGAAACAGCAGAAACTTATCCCTCAGATATTCTTCCTTCTTCACTCAGAGCTAAACCTTACGCCAGGAAGTCGCCCACTAGAGCTCCTCCGATCCTTGTCAAGGAACAGGAGATATATGTATCTATCTCTCCTTTGGCAAAGAATAAGCGGAAGGCTACCTCTTCCGCAAATCATACGCCGGCAGCGAAGAGACCACGCAAGTCAAAACCCACAACCATAACGCTGCCCCCCATCGCTTCTTCACACACCGTCGTGACTCAACCGTTCCCCAAACTATCAATCAAATTGAAGTTAGGGCCAAGGCCTATACCAGAAGTGTTCCCATGTTGTCTGTGTGTTTCCATGAGCAATGAAGGGCTACTTCATGTTCATGATCCCCCTTTCGATCGGAAAGAAGCATTAGAAGCTTGTTCAAATCCTTCTGTTTGGATGGCCCACGAACGGTGTGCGAACATTATCCCGGAAACTTGGGTTGACGAGGTTGAAAAGGTTTCTGGTGAGAGGGAAAAGATGGTTTTTGGTGTGGATGGGATCGTGAAAGATAGATGGAATCTCGTATGATTCTCTTCTCTTCGTTTAGTGAATTGAAAGTGATTCACTATTCTTCAACTTCTGTTTCAGAAATGTTCTGCATGTACCAGGATGCAACCAAAAGCCCATGGCGCACCCATTCAATGTACGAGGGGCAAATGTTTGAAAGCATTCCATGTGTCTTGTGCATGCGAGGGGAAAGATAACAATATTGTCTTCAACGTATTGCGAGAATCGGAGAAAGAAGTCGTCCTACTTGATGCAGTTTCACCACATAATCATAAGCAGGTTGACCTTGAAACACACGCCGTTAACGGTCATGATGCAATGGCTCCAAACAAAGATGCCCCGTCGCCGAACGTTCTCAAAGTAATCAAGAAATTGGAAGTACAGGTTTTATGCTCTCAACACAACCCAGTCCGTTCTCGTTTATTTGTGCCCCAGATTGATATTAAATGTACCTTTGCAGGCTGTTGCAGCTGCGAAGAGAGCGTCGAAGCAAGATAGGATCAAAGCGGATCTGCTCGCTCTTCCTCCAATGTCACGTATCAAGCTTCGGGTGAGTGCGGGCGTCTTCGAGGTAACCCTCATCCGAGTTATTGAGGAGATCGGGTCTGTCGAAGTTGTGTGGGACCGTGGATTGAAGAGGGAGTTTAAATGGGGTAGCGTTGTTTTCGGGAATACAGATGGTCCAATATTACAGAAGCCATCAGAACCTGCTCCGGACCCTCCGCGTGAGTATTCGTAGATTGATATAGACAACCCTGTCCAACTACCACTTTCACAGCAATGGGTGCTAGTTTAACTCCCTATTCTACCTCATCGACCCCTCAAGTAACGGCCAGCCAATTACCTCCTGTTGAGGCAACTACAACAAGCCCTTCATATAGTACGACTTCGCAGTACCCTTATGCGGCATACAATCTATACGATTATGGAAAGTATCTGCCTCAGCCATCCCATGCTTCCCACGGCGCCCCAAATATGGGCGCGTCATCCACCAATCACGTTTCAGGGCCGTCGTTTACTGCCTCGTATACACACCTAGCCCAAAGCCATTATCTTCAGAGTGCATGGCAGCAGCAATATCAACAACTAAATTTGGCACAGAAGTATCGACCTCCTGCTGTCTATATTGCACCGCAATTATCAACCCAATCTGGTTCGCCTTCATTAGCACTTAACCAAACACCCTCAACCTCCATCTCCCCAATTGCTTCGAGCACCCCGACTCCGATACCAACTCCGATATCAACGCCTTCGTATAACTCTGTTTCAAGCAGTGTTAATCTCATGCCGACCTGTATACACCCAACTCCGATAAGAACGACCGGCTCTATTTCCAACACTATACAGACGAGTACCCCTACTCTTCCTTCTCCGATCATGCAAGATCCTCCATCCGTTACTCTCCCACATGCTCAGAGTCCCTCTATTGCATATACACTTCCTCAATCTCATATGACACATGACCCTTCTACCCAGGCTCCAGTCTTTGATTTTGATGCACTGAAATCTTTGCGCCCGGAGCAGCTCGCCCAACTCGTTCGTGATAATGCTCAGTTCCGAGATATCTTCCAATCTGCCTTCCAATCATGAAATATGAAATGAACACTTGTATTCTTCACTCCGTCTCATAATTTCCTTATGTATACTTATATTATTTACTCTCTTCATGTACCTATAATCCGTACAGCTATACTACTCATGTCGCATAGTGCATGGCAGCTGGAAGTTCAGCTGGTGACTTGAAAGAGATATTTGTTGTGATCTTCAATAGCCAAAATTACTACTAAACTTAGCACGACTTCACAGACGTCAGGATAGCAACACATACATATCAATTTCGGAATCCACGCATACATGGAATGGTTTATGCTCCTGTAAGGCTGTTGATCCGAGAGAAGGCAGCAGAGCTGGATAAGATAAGATGAGGCGATGAGAGTAGGCGCTTATCGCCTTCTGAACTATGCTCTCGTCGTTTTGTGAACCCACCCTCCTTTCCCTGTGTTATTCTAGTGTTTAGTCTTCTCAACCAAACTGTGTTTCGTGTGATCTGCCACCAGAGCGGGGCGGTACCCCAGGAAAACCTTATCCACTAGCATAGAGCACTCAACAGTGCTCCTCACATTCCACATTGTGTTCGGCCGAGCAAGTACTTATCCTATCCCGTGTGTTCGGCCGAGCAAGTACTTATCCTATCCCGAAATTTTCTGCAAATTTCCGTTCAGGACTACGGTTGTCAAAATGACTGCCTCTAGGGGTATCCTATCTGCTCCCACTATCAAAAGTAGGCTTCGGACTGGCTCCATTACCTTTAAGCTTCAAGCTTTAAAATTTTGAAGGCCCATATCTATTCAAGCCTTCGTACTGTCGCAATCTGTAGCCACAACAAGCACTTAGTATATCATGCGTTCAGTCCAAGTCCAGTGTACCGTGCTTCTTATTCGCCAAGATGGATTTACCGGAAAAGAAAGAAATTTTATTATAGAGCATGGTTCAAGAACTGAATGCCGGTTTCCAGAGGTTTTCCCGGAAATGCTATCGCTTTTGTCATTTAACTGCGATACGACGGCTAGCCTTATTCATGACAGTACTTACTGCCATGCATTGGTGGTGTTCCTCAGATGCGATCTGAGGAAGGTCCCACTGAACTTTCCTGTGCAAGATTCTTCTGCAATGCCGTTGCACTATATTATGTATGTCAGACACGAATGCGATTTTGACCCCCCATAGCCTCTATTGTAGGATTGACAGTCTCTCAACAGGCACAGCACAATTTTGCTAGACAGAAAAGACTGAAGAACTGAGATTATTCAGTCAGTGGATGATTCAGCCACCACCGGATCGCCATAGTTCTGTTGAACCAATTCAGAATGTATGCCCGTTTCAGTGACTCCGAAATGCAATGATTCGTGTTTCCATACAGCAGCTAGTGGAATATCCTGATTCAACGCCCCAATCCGTCGAGCAGTGTTTTTCTACTTACGATGTGTGGTAGACGCTTTGATAATTGAACCAAATCACTGAGGGCGATGCTTTAGAGAGACGTCGAAGAACATATCTACAGACCAATGTCAATGCGAACACACTGTTAGTTGTCAGCGTCAAACAAAGCTACCACCGTACGAATATAACATTATCCTGACACATATAGGCACTGAGGGAGATCGATCTGGCATTCATTGGCGTTGTTCAGAAATCGGTAGAAGTCATCAAAGACGAGAACGCCGTACGATGATCGATGACACTTACATATCCTCTCAACTATGATTTGCAGACCAAAGAAAATACTGTGACTGATTGAATGAGTGAGGAGTAAAAAATGCGGAACAGGGACTGGTTTTTCTATTGGACGATTCCAACTTGTTCTGCAACTCCAAGCGCCACGGGTCTACATACTGTACATCCTGAACCTTATAACCTACATACAAACTCAAATGAAAAACCATAAAGGGAATATATTATTCATCCTGAACCTTGTAACCTACAAAGTACGAACTTATCGAAAAACCATAAAGAGCGGGGAAAAATGCGACACGTATATTGCCACAGAAAAGGGCTCACGAGGACTGCGATATACATCCTACATATCAAGTACAACAGTAGATTAGGAATTATACAGTATGGGGGAAGTACTAAAGAATGTAAGATTTATGTATATTCAAAGGAATGGAAATATTTTAGTACGTAGAAGACATCTCGATGGCTTTACTGGCTGTGGACCCAACGTGTACTCCCTTGAGCGACGGGGCATCTGTGATTTCCAAGCGTCTTGCTCGTAGAGAAAAACCTTCCACAATCGTCGCACGAAAATTCACAGATCTTTCCATGCTTTGCCACTTCATGTCGTAAGCGATCGTGCTGACGGGAGAAGCGCTCTGAGCACCCCAGTGTGCAAAGGAAAGACACTTTGGGCTTCGGCTTGTGGGCCTCCATGTGGACTTTGAGCGTGTATTGACTGGTGAACCTGCGCGAACACCCGGCTAGTAGGCAAGGGAATCGTCGTCGATGATCAGAATGGGAACTAGAACCGGAATCTGAAGGGGGTGAGGGAGTGCGATTTGTAGAGGATGGTCGAGAGGATCGAATAGGTGGCCACGAATCAAGTGTTGGTGACGACGATGCAGACTCACTGCCGCTACCACTTGCATGTGGTTGATAAGACGGTTGACAGCCAATGACAGTGCCAAATTGCATATCAAAGACATTTCCAAATGATTCATCCAAACTACCAGTTGAGGCAGGGCTATGAACTACTGATATACAGATGAGCGCAGTTTTTTCAGGCGCATGATTTTGACTTACAGTCCGGCGTACTCGGTGAAAGAAGAAACGACTCAGAAACGAAGTCAGCACCTGCGGGAGCAACGAAGTACTCCACAGGCCAGGAAAACACAGATTGTGGGACGTCGTCAACGTAGTCTGCGTGTGAGAGATGAGGTCGGGTTGCGATTACATTACTTCGTCTCCTTACCTGGACGACATGCGAATTGTGACTCCAACGCGAGTGAATCTTCGTACAGACGATGATGCTCTGTATAAAGATAAGGATGATTGAAAAGGTTAGGCGGAGAAGATCTAACCAGAATTTATCGACCCAGATTCCTGGATTAATGATGAATACTGTATTTCATCGTATGTCGGCTGATAATGGAACTCGGATGATTTTTGAGCGTAGAAATTTGGATCCTGCACTTCGTAGGACGATGGCGCCAAGTGAGGGTAGCCAGCGGAGTCTGAGGAGTGATTGTCAACAAGCATTGAGGAATAATATTGTCGAACATACCCAAATAAGGATAGTTATGCTCTGAGTTAGAAAATGCAGCCGCCATCGTGTGTTAGGTTGGAAGAGGAAGGGAGTAAGCGTCAAAATGCAACTGAGAGGGAAAGAGCGCACGCGACTGGCCGCTGGATTCGAAGCTTGAGGTTTTTATTCTTTCCGTGCAAGGAGCTAAGTATGTTCAGGAATCAGATTAATTATGGATGGAAGTCAGGGGTCGATTTTGGAATGAAATTCAACCGTTCCTGGAAGTTTTTACCACGCCACATAGGGCCAGACCTTCTGACTTTAATTTGCCTCCGTTTTCATCTTCCTCCGGATCCGTCATCGCAGGCTTAACTCTCTCAATTATGAACCAGCGACGACCTCTACGGCTAAGTATCCCCGTTATCGTCTGCTTTTCGGGCTCTGTTTCGTGTTCATAAGAAATTATCTCTCTTTCCGCTTCCTCCCGGAAAGAAGCATTTTAGGTACTACAACTTAAATCATCTCATATACACAGCTGTCTGATCATGATTGTCTTGCTCAGGTTCATTCCAGCTGACAGGCGTAATCACGGATCGTCAAGCGATATTCGCCGATTCCTCGTCGCCGCGACGTTACAGACACAAAAAACGTGTAAAGTAGTATCTTTGTATACAGGTTACATGTATAGTCCTTTGTTCTGTTTTTATTTAGTGGCGTTCATAATTTGGAAGAGCGACGTTTTCGCGTTGGCTAACATGAACGAAGAATATGTATTGAAGAATTCGCCGAGAAATATTTCGCAGGTATTGTTCTCCTGATCGAGATAAGATGAGATTTCCTGGGGCTCAATCGACACGGCTAAACGCTGTCTTGCATGTAATAAGTTACTGATACTGCGCGCGCACAGATACTAGTACTATAAACAAACGAAATGTTGTGTTTTTACCCTACAAAAACCACTATCAATAACGGTACAAGAGTTTCGGTTGTCGTTCATTATTGTGCAGCGCATTATTCTGGAGAAATTTTCGATCTTGCACGGAAACAAAACACAATGCGGGAAATTGCAACCGGAAGAAGAAGTCCCGATGATGAACAACAAAAAAGTCAACCTTAACGAAGTGCTGTCCTGTGCTGTCTAGGCCTAGATCTTACAACCCCGGTACAATCCTGTACTCACCGCTGTCATGATAACTTATACCGACAAGTCGCACTGATTGATGCGTATGTGCTCTTGCCAAGACCGTAATTTTCGGATGCCTGACTCCGGAGGCCTGACTGGGCTTGCTTTTACGCTGAAGAACGCGATGCATTACAGAATATCTATATTTTGATACGTATGCAGACTCCCTAAAAATCCCTAGAAACCTTTCAAACCTCCACATCCACATGCTGAGGTATTTTCTCCTCCTGGGCGCCCAGACTCGAAAAGCCCTTCGCACCTTGAATGAAAGCTCTCACTTTCTCCATGTCCTTTCCGGTCTTTTCTGCATTTTCCACACCACCGCTAACATCAACCGCCCACGGGCGAACTTGCGATACGGCCTCGGCGATGTTCGCCGGTGTCAATCCTCCAGCAAGGATAACGGGAAGAGGGTATTTGGAAGGTGTAGTTGGGGAAGACGATAGAGTACCATGTTTTGCATGCCCGTTTGCATACCCGTTGGCGTGCCCGGTGGTGTGCCCGTTGAGATCTCCATTTGTTCGTACCGGGGAAGGTTCTTCAGCGATGTTTCCATTACTTTCTGATGTCGTCGTTTCGACAGAACCTGTAGGTACAACTTCAGGGGCTAGTTCAGCAGCAGCGATGTTGTAGGTAGCGCCGTCCGGAATAATCTCGCCTGCGTCGATGACGCGTTTGGCGAGGTTCCAGTCGACGACTTTGCCTGTACCTCCGCTAACACCACTCCCGTCGTCTCTCATTGAATCGAGAAGGATAAAGTGGTGGTTTCCCCCACGAGTAATTCCGTCTATACCTGAGTCCTTCCCTACATGGAACGCACGAATGACAGGAATAGGGATGTGTCGTGCCCATTCGGTTGGCTCTGAGCCGTGTAATTGAACCATGTCTAAATTGCAGTATGACACAGCATGGAGGATGGTAGATAAAGACGCGTCTTGGAACACACCGACAACGAGAGGTCTGGATATTATCGAAGAGAGCCGGTTGACTTGGGATGTGAACCAGGGTACGTTTAGAGAAGAGTCGTCGAGCGAATTGGAAGGCGAAGGAGTAGGTTTTGATGTATGGATGGCCTCAGAGATACTTTTGCCAGTGTCAAAGTCGATGTAACGACTCGACTTTTTGACGAACATCAATCCCAGCATATCAGCACCAGCCTCTGCAATGAACAACGCCTCCTCCGTATTACGAACACCACATATCTTGACCAACGGTGCTTCGGAGCGCCACTCTCTTGGAGCGAGCTCAGGCTCAGGCAACGATAAAAGCTTACGAATGTAACCCGCAGGATCCTTCGCTCGCATCAAACTTTCCCCAACAAGCACAGCACTAACTCCTTCCGAAGCATACTTCTTCACATCGTCCGCGCTCACTATCCCGCTTAATGCACACAGAAACACGTCCTTCCCTTTAACCATCTCGCTAAGACGGCTGGTTGTAGTCATATCCACCTGGAAATCATGCAGATTCCGATTGTTCACTCCAATGACTTTGGCGGGGAGAGACAACGCAAGTTCCATTTCCTTCGCGTTGTTTACTTCGACAAGAGGCTCCATGCCAAGCTCCAAGCTATATTGGTATAAATCGCGAAGGAGGGTTTCGGAAAGCATGCTTACGATAAGCAGGATGGAATCTGCACCCCAGATACGCGATTCGAGAACTTGATACCGACTAAGGATAAAGTCTTTCCGTAGGATTGCAGGTCTATTTGGCAGATTGGCAACGCTCATACGCGCGTGAAGCATGTCCTGCAGAGACCCTAAGAACCACTTGGGCTCTGTAAGAACAGATATGGTGTTCGCGCCAGCAAGTGCGTAAGTCAATGCCTGGGCGGCAGGTGAAGTAGCGACGGAGATGGGTCCTTTGGAAGGCGATGCGCGTTTAATTTCAGCGAGGAGAGAAGGCCGGTCTTCCGTGTTCTGCTTTAGACGGGGAAGTAAAGGAATTAGAGGTGGTGCAATGTTCAAAGATAGGAGAGTCTGCAAATCGGCGAGCGTAGTTCCTGGAGTCTTTTGTGCCTCAGAAACATCGGCAAGCCGCTGTGTGTAGATCTTATTGAGTATGGAAGGGACTTTTGATTTGGAAGTAGTGCCTTTGTTGGTGACAGGAAGGTCGAGATGGAAAGGGGGGAGTGTGGTATCAAGGACCCGAGCTTCCGGGTTCTCCTCCCAAGAGCCACCTCGGAGGGCAAGGAAGTTCCGCAGAAGGTCGTCACCTCCTTCACTAAGTATACTTTCGGGATGATACTGGACCGATTCTAAAGTGAACTGACGGTGGCGTATGCCCATAATGACACCAGACTCTTCGGAAGCTGCAGTTACCACGAGGTGTGAGGGTAATGATGTAAGGGCCGCGCTAAGGGAGTGGTACCGGATAGACTGAATGCTCTGCGAAACACCCCTGAAGCAACCTCGGTCGTCGTGTCGTATCCGACTGACTTTGCCGTGCATAATTTCACCTGCATATCTGTGAGCTGTTAACAAGAGTGACTCCAACAAAATGAGGATTGCTTACGCGATCGTACCACCATGCAAGTCTACCATACACTCGAGACCCATGCATACTCCTAGAACAGGGACTTTACCTTGAAAATACTCGATAGCTGCATTGGATATTCCAGAGTCTGTCTTTGGATGACCGGGTCCAGGTGATATTACGAGTGAATTAATCTTGAGCTCCGGGAATAACGAAGGAGAGAGAGCGTCGTTCCTAATGACTGTAACCTGAGCACCAAGCAGACATAGTTGCTGGTAAAGATTCCAGGTGAAGGAGTCAAAGTTGTCTATCATGAGCACATCGAGCTGTCCAGTGAGGAAAGGGGGTAGAGTGGTTGCCATTGTGAGATGAGAGCGATGGTTGTCAACCGAGCAATCAGCCTTTTTATTGGGACCTCGGGCGAATGCAATCAGATAGTCACTGACTGACTGAGTTGGAGATTCGAGTCACAGCCTAGAAGTTTTTCCGCGTACGAATCCGAGCATCAATTAGGTCAGCACTGCAATTGGTATAAATGCAACGAAAATTTTGTGTCAAAATCCATCACAGTTAGCTGAAGCTTGATGCAGATGCATTGTTTAGAGGAGTAAGTATTGTCAAAGCGAAATTATTCATGGCTATGACCGGGTCAAGTTATCTTTTTTGATAAACCGTGATGCCGCGGCGGACGCGGCCGTTTGAACTCCGTCATGAACGCGCCCAGACGCGTTAAACCGACAGTGAACAACATCTCACTCGGCCGCTACAGAGCCGCCGTTATCGCAATAAAACAGATAATGGGTCTCATTATACAGACAGTACTGTAGTGACCAGACTGTGCAATGTAAATCACAGCTTCCAAGTACGTTATGAAGGCAGTATAAACTTGGTATATTCAGAGGATGTGTTTTACGCCCAGTAAACTCAACTGCAGATCTACCGGTTGGTGTCGCGCTCGAGATATAGGATCCTTCCGGTCTGTGGCTCCTGTCCATGGTTTCCTGACCGCGGGGACAGCTTGGACGCGGAACTAGGACAGGAGAGGATAGGATTATGAGTAGCCGTTTGAATTCTTTTATCGGACATCCAACAGCAAAGAATGATGACCGGCTTTAATAAAGTAAGTGATCAGTATCTTCTTTTCACTAGTGTACCATCGGATGTCCTTTCGCGATCGCAGGTCTTGACAACGAAGAACTAGAGAACGGGTCTAAAGCAGTTCCACCTCCGAAGTGATTCCCACAAGGTGGACGGAATAGAGTTTGTGAAGATCGTGTCTTAGCTTTAGAGCTTGAGAGGCCTTGAGGAACAGTTTTTAAGGATGAGGCCGTATCTTGTAAGCTTGAAAGTCAATCTCAAAGGTGGTGTAATGATAAACGCTCAAAATTCGGAATCTTGGGGGATCTCTCTCACGGGTTAACCGGTTTTGGAATATCTCTCGGTCTACCCCCGATACTCCCCGACCTACGCAACACTCTTTCCAACCACAAAGCTCAACCTCTCGTTATCGCTGAAGCGCCTTCCTCACCGAGCTCTCGTATCAGATAAAACATTGCGACTGGTTCCAGGTTACAGCGCTCCAAACTATAAGAAAGATATCCCAGGAACAACAGACATGGCAGTATTCAGGCAGTATACTGGCAGTATTTTATATGTGTTTCATACAATTGTGACTGTCAAGAGAGTAACAATCCCATCTGTAGCAATCCCATCCTCAATCCCTGTACTCCCAGGCTGGATTAACCCAGTAATATTCGTCCCCACAGTCGAATAAGTCGTTCCACCGAATGATGTAGTTCCTCCGCTATTGATAGCTGCTGCGCTAAAAAGATCCCTGCCTGTGTCGTACCCATCAGGCGCTGTCGTGTGTCCTTCCGTCACGTTTTCTTCTGTCGAGACGCTGGAGAACAAAATTCAGACCAACATACAATCAAGAGCAAAAGTCATCAGCTCGATACGTACGCCAAAAACAACGCTCCTGTAGGATGCTCCGTTCCATTTTGAACAAACACTCTGCGGTTCGAGTCGGATAGAAGAATCAGCTTTTGTCGCAATGTTCTGCTCACCTAAAATGATTCCCTCCAATCAAACTTTCCAAACATGTCCCAAGGACAGAATCACCATAGTCCTCTCTAAGTTCGATTGTCTGATTCACCCAGCCGTTTCCATCCCCAAGATTGGCAGACTGTGGTGCACCCGAGTGGATCCCGAGGCATTCTGTCGAACTAGGGATGTAAATGTGAGTTTAGATTTTGTACGGACCGTTGTTATCATGACAGTAGTTTGAAGGGAATGAACCATGACGAGAACGTGCAGGGGCATCATGATGTGGAGGAATGAACCAACACTTACAACCCAATTGCCTTTGCGAAATTTACGATCCCGTTCAGCGTAAGTACATCAGGAGAAGATTGCGCTGATATGATCACCTATTGATTCTGTGAATGAGACGAGCAGGGTGAATTTGCGTGTTTTGCAACTCACGTTCAAAGGCTCCCCAAGAACTCCGGGAACTCGTCAAAAAGTCAGCACAGTATGAATAATGATCATCAACCGAGTTCACCTTGATCAAGCATACTCCCTCCATTCAGTAACGGATTGAAGAAGTCTGCGTCGGTCGCTTGACGAGGAGCAACAGGAAGAATCCTGAAAGAGAGTGCGAACGCGGTAGCTGAAAGGAGGGACACAAGTCGAGGGAGCGAAGCCTTGGGATAGAACATGGTATGTATGTACTACGTGGAGTGAAGTTATTCTGCAAGGAACGATTTAGCACGCCTTGGGTGAGGCTTGAAATCCAGCTAGAACCGACGAGCTATGGTGTGAATACCAAAAACTATTTATACGGAGGTACATCTGTCATCGCACGAACTTTAACAAAACAGAACAGGCAAGAAGTCGAAACTGAATTTCATCAGGCGTTCTAGTATGTTTTGTTCCCCATGTGCTTTGATCTGAACGTGAATATTGCAATGAATTTCTCTTCCTCGTTCTCTTGACGAGAGCATATGGGTGTCGCTGCTATGAACTACGAGCTCAAACGTTCGTTGAATCGAAGCCTCGACCTCTGTAACATGTGCAAGAATGTTTTACTATTGGGTGGAAGACATACCACTCAGTAAGGGGTTGAAGTAATATTTCATAGCAGTTTCCCAAGTAGGCCATCTTTGTTACAACCAACGTTTGGTGAATGGGAACTAGATCTGACACCTGTCAATGCAGATGCAGATGTTATAACGCCAATAGCTTATGGTCGTCTGTCCAGTATGCAGTCCGATAACAACATAGTATAACGCTGCTGATGATGAGCTCTTGAAGGAGAGGTATCGGAATAGTCACTAATGAAGGACGATAGTAGCTTGTATATTTGTGGTTCGAGCTATTTTACAGTTAATCGTCTATCTACCGTTCAATAGACATTGTAGTATTTTCACGTGGAAGGGGAGTCTTGAAGACCGAGTAAGAATGAGATGGCATTATAGGCTGCCCAGGGGACGAATTCTAAGGGGAGGTCAGCAATTTCCACAGTGTGTATCACATAGACAACGCACGAGGAGTCATATGTCCACTGTAGTAGAATTCAAGGTCTATGCCGAGCCAAAAAGTCAGATCGCATTGTTACCATCACATTTGAGAAGGGAATTATAAACGTACAAGTAAGCCCACGTTCAGTGTGTTCGTTACCAAACACGCCAAAGTTCTTAACCGTAAAGGTTTCGTTCTCAATGGGAGTCTGGAAGCCTTGCGCCCCATTCCAAGTCATGTTTTGAATGGCAATTCGGGTCCCTTCGGCTACGAGGATGAAGTCTGCAAGACCATGGACGACGACTACCCGTTCGGATTTCTCGATCACATTCGGGAACACACTGAGCATAGAGGCGACGGATTGATCGTTTCCTGGGCGCCCTGCGGCATTCACGTATACTGATCCTTCCGAACAAATATCCCAGTTGATGTGAGGAGCATGGATGGCATCTTGAACCTAGGATGGGTGGAATGTTATTTCAAGTTCGAACTATCCAAAAACCAAGACCTACGTCCGTTCTAAAATGTAGAGCATAAGTATAAACTTGAATCCTCGGGGAGAATACATTATCACGGGAATGCTTACCGGTTGAAGTAGATGAACTGTTGTGTGGATTCTGGGAATCCGAGTACACTCCAAAGACTGGGAAATGTATCTGACACCCTGAATTATCAAGTTCAATACATCTACACTACGTTATGGATGGCAATCCATTAACGTACCTATAAACATCGAACACCGGATTCAACCTGTTCAAATACTCTCAGTCAAAAAGACAATAAGAGTCATTCAATCATCACGTACACTCCAACAGCCTGTTGAATTGGACTGTGTAGTCTACAGCCAGGCTTCAGCGTCCCGAAAGTCCCCTCGACTACACCAGCTGGGAACGGCAACTGCCCAGCAGGAGGATAAGTGACGAATTTGTCGAGGTAGTCAGTATATCCACAAGTGTCCGAAATATTTTGGAATTCAGCCCATTGAGCTTGGGTAAATGGGAAAAGGTCAGCATGAGCCTGACACGATACATTCATTGAGCAATGTTCAGGGAGATCCGAGAGTTTCTGAAAGCCACGACTCACTTGTGCAAAGCGGAGTGCTGGGATCTCATCCTGGACGACATCGTAGGAGAGTGAAGGGTCCGCAATATCGATGCCCTTCAAGTTCAAATCGAGGAGATCTGGGTTTTCATAGATGAAGTTGGCGATGTACGGAACGTCTTTAAATTCCTTTTGGTTTAATCATGAACTACAAGGAAGACGGAATATTCTTACAGAATCCCGCGTACTAGGACAATCAATCGATTGAATAAATATTCGAATGGTTTGACGTGACTGGAAACTCACACTTTCTCCAGAAAGGAAAAAGTCCTTCCCCTTTAGTTCCGAAAAGACTTCGAGGAACTGGCCGAGGAAGCCTACTAGTTGCGCCGCGAGCTCGTCGTCGTTGGTGATATTGGGAGTACCTTGGGAAAATCCAGTCTTCCAGTACACAAGTCAGCAATGTGCCCATACAGGACAAAAGAAATTGGTAGTACCCCAACTGGTTGCTCAACCCATAGCATATGAGCCAAATTAGTCCACGCAAATGGATTTCTGTAAATCGATACGGCCTTAGTAAGTGATGGCAGGTGAGAAGAATTCGTACATACGGAGTAGGCTCGGATTGACCCCAAGACCAAGCTATTTGGAATTCATCAATAACTTCAACGAGAGGTGACGGGATCAAACGAAGTTCTACATACAAATGGGGCCATTTTCTTGTAAGAATCCTTCGAGAGAAGAACAACCGGGTCCGCCTAAGGAGCGAAAGAATGTCAGGCTGAAAACATTAGTATGAAAGTTGCGATTGACAAACCATTCGTCCAGAACAAAAGTTTGTCCCCGTTAGTAATGTTGTTTGTAGGCCAGAACCTCAATTAAAATCGTCAGAGTAAACTCGCCTTCGGCTGGACGTATGTGATTCACCAGAAGAATAGTTTGCGTGTTTCGTTTGGGTCACCGGAGATGGGTAGCAAACCACTCCAAGAAGGGCCTAAGAATCCGATATCAGACAAAATTCAAACCCTTGAGGGAATCGGCGAGCTTACCAGCGTCAAAGTTGACTAGGGTAAGAGGGTGGTGAATTAACGAGAGACTCAGAAGGAACACAGCTAATCTGCGCTTACCATCAGGAAGGCTAGTACCGGGCACGAAGAATTGTTGAGCAGCAGGGTTTGAGAAGTTGATTGTCTGAGGAGGCGCCTGCCTCTTCGACAGAAAATCACTATCAGGTCCCAAAAAGTCGCGCATACGCTTGAGCTGGTCCCGCTGGATCTGTTGCGATTCTTCGAACCCTGGATTCGCTCCTCCGATACCAAGGACGCCTCGAGCGGCGAACAGAGTCGTCACCAGAGCAGCGTATGTGAAATCTAGAAGTCTCATGGAGTCAAAGATACACTCAGTGGTGTTTACAGCTTTGAGTATTAGGAGGGAGGTTTATATACCAGAGGTTATATTTTTGAATATGGTCCATGCGTTGAAAGAAGTCGAAGTGGTGAACAGAAGTATGCTTCAGAATCAATCAGCTGATGGACATTTACTCCCCGATGGCATTATCTTGAAGCTGGAGGCATCTCCGGTATATGACAATGAGTTATGGCATTGACATAAGAGATTGCAAGACACGGGGTACGGGAGGAAGGATTCCTGAATCGCTTTGTGCGTCTCTATGTTGATTAATAGTGAAGGATCCTGAGTTTCGCGTTCAGCAAACACAAATGGTTACTCAAACTCGACGCGATTACGCGTCATCTATGCCACATGTTCATAAAATAGATATGATGATTCGGATACAAACCAAGGCAGAGATTCCCATTGTTCCTGAGCAGTGCAGTATGAGATGAGTTCGGAGTCACGATCGACCACGCCGAATAGCAAAAGGATCCGATGACGCCAAGAAATTGTATTCAAACCGAAAGTAAGATAGGTGCATCGAGGGACAGGCGACTCGTGACAAATCAAGAAGACGGTGCGGCGCGGAAGCTGTAAATAGGAACTAATAGCATGGTGGACGAACCTGGAGGTCTCTCTATTTTCACCGGGAGACTGGGATAGGGCTATAGATGACTTGTAGTTTTGGATGCTTTCTAGGGAGTGATGGTGGTAAGGGATGAGAGACGCGACTGCACAGCCACATCTTTCGTTGTGCATCGACATCAACGATGGGGAAGCGCATCGGATTTTGGAATATCTTTCTTGCTGTCTCCCTAATTTCCCTTTTATTTATCTTTAGCAAGACATTTTCCCTTGTGCGCGAGGGCCGGTCATCCTTGGTGTACGCTCTTGAGTCGGATGGGACAAACACAACTTCCCACAACGATCAACAGATTCTTCTCGTGTCTGGCCTCTTTCCTCTGTCCAAATCCAAGCATTCTGCCGAAGATTATCGATCTTGGTTAACTCTATTCCTTGGGTCAGTGACCACAGATATCTACTTCTTTACCACTCCAGAGCTTGCAGAACTTGTCGCAGATGTCCGCGGAAGCCTTCCAATCATCATAAACACCACCTTTTCAACTCCTTTTGATATCCCACCACTCGCGAATCTGAAGGTGTCCTATGAACGGATGCATGCAATAGACCGCGAGCGTTCACGCCACTCTGCCGAACTATACGCTATTTGGAACGGGAAGCCGTATTATCTGGACGAAGCGGTGAAGAACTCTGAAAAGCAGTATTCGTATGCATTCTGGAGTGATGCGGGGAGCTTTAGGAGTGACCATGTGTATCGGGGCTGGCCGAGCAGTGCCCGTATAGAGGAAGTCTGGGACGAGGGCAGTAGAGTGAGCGGTGTTGCAAAAGAAGACTTGTTGTTCTTTCCTATGTGGGAGCCTCCCCATGCAAGCATGAAAGACTGGCAGGAAGCACTCGGTCCAGTGGATACTGACTTCAGTGAAGGCATGATCCTGATCCTCTCGATCCTACAGTCATCCATGATCTTCATTTTCTAGGCTCATTTTTCGGAGGATCCCCTCAAACCGTTCGCTGGTGGAAGGAGCTCTTCTACCTGTATCACGATTATTATCTCTCTCAAGGCATCTTTGTTGGCAAAGACCAGACGTTGATCAATGCTCTCTTCCTACTCCATCCCTCTCGAGTTATCACCGTATGGGTCTCTGATCCGGATGCTCCTGCGCATCAAGGTCTCGTATCGTCCATTGAAGGACCTTTGGGAAGCTGCGGTGATAACTGGTATTACTATCAGTTCTGGCTCTCAGACGTGCACACCCGGAATCAGATGCGCAAACTGTGGAACTCGAAATCGTGGTTTCATTGGTGGAAGGAGCGTAGTACTTGCCGCCTTACTCGGACTTTGTCTATCAAAGACGTATTAAATCACCGCTTCGGTGCCAACTGGACCCCTCCTTCCGCGGCACTCGCGCCCTCCTCAGGAAGTGTACCCTCTTGAAGGATCTGCTCATCGTTCACTATTTTCTATATTGAGACATTGTCCAATATCGTCTAATCTGTAAACTTTAATTATGTACATGGCCCTTCTATGGCGAGTTCTTCGTTGGTTGAAAGCTTGAATGATTTGTTCCTGTAAAGTGGTCAAAAAAAGACTAAAAAAGAGGATCAAGTTGGTGTAGTAGCTTATGTGTTGGAGCTTGAAGTCAGTCTTGGGTCGGGTCGGGACCTCTACATAGTTTGGACCAGGCTCCGCTTGAACCAAAAAGACCGGCCTCATGCTCTTTCAATTGGTTTTTCTTTTCTTACATTCTCCTCTCTTCCTGTCGACGACCAGAAATATATCCTACTAAAGGAAATCGTCTGAGGCCTGGTTTTTGTCATAAATGTCGAAAAGCCAAGTTCGAAAAGATGAGCCAGGGGAACCAGACGATAATACCCAGTGGATTGCTATAGAACCACAGCGGACAGATGCTCCCCATCGTACGTCTTCCCAGTTCTCCAAAGAACATGACAATCAATCTGCAAACATAGCCCCTCTGGCATCTCCCAATCCACCATCCTTTGACGAATCACAATTTGATGTTATTCTTCGCCGCCAACGCGTCAGACCGCCCCTCGGACCTTCTCGCAAATCAACCACCATTCCTTCGCGTTTCCTGAATCTCTCCAATGAATTCGAGTTTGCTGGATGGGGATCATTCATCAATCTCCGGTTAGAAGCCTCTGATTACGAGGCGGGAGAGGCTCGAATCAAGATGAACGACGGGATGAAAATTCTTGGCCAATTCACTGCTAGTGCACTTGCTGGAAATGTTAGTTTTCCGCATACTATGAATTTCTTCTTGTCTTCTATATGCATTTGCCATTGACTAACCCTTCTGTCTTGGTGCTAGGCCGTCCTTGGAAGCGTGTTCTACGCCCTTCCTGCGGTTGTGGGAGTTGCTAGTGTTTAGTGTGTACAAAAATAACGATTCCCTCACCATCTAATATCTATCAATAGCTCTCCGATTTCCTTATTTATCGCCACATTGACCCTCTTCGTCTGGCGTCCCATAATGGAAGAACTTGGGTCAGCATTCCCTATATGCGGCGCTCCCTATTCCTACCTGTACGATATTTCCTTCTCTCTTTTACCCTCGTCGGCACTGAGCCATTCCAAGTTTAAACATATCTAACAAGAGTCTAGCTCTCCTTGGTGCCGCCCTCTTGTTCCTCGATTTCGCATCCACATCTGTTGTCTCAGCAGCCACGGCCACCTCCTATCTCGCTGGGGAAGTTGCGTTACCTTTTCCGGAGTTCGTTGGGACTATTATCGTCCTATTGATATTTACAGTGGTCAGCTTGTCTGGGATGAAGGAAAGCGCTAGAGTCGCACTCTGCGTGCTTACTCTGCACATGGTCACCATGACTATCCTAATCATTGCTGGCGCTGTACATTGGGCGAACATCGGGAATGGCCAAATCATAGAGAATTGGCATAATGGAAAAGCTTCGTCGGCTTCCGAAGTTGCAAAGCAGATTTTCAATGGATTCTGTCTCGGAATGTTGGGACTCACTGGGTTTGAATGTGAGTAATGATATTGTTACTACCTTGATTATAAAACTGATCCTGTCGTAGGCATACCTGCCTACATAGCGCGAATCAAGCCAGGCCGTTTGCCCCTTGTCCTTCGCAATCTACACTATCCTGCTATTGCGCTAAATTGCGTATTGATGACTCTGGTTTTAGCTATCGTCCCACTAGAGTCTATTCTGCAAGGTGACAACATATTGAGTCTGCTCGCCGAAAAGGTTGGTAACTGTTTCTGTATCATCTCGAGTACTAAATAGTCCCTTCTAGACCATTGGAAAAGGAATGCGGTCGTTCATTGTTGTGAATGCTATCATTGTGCTCTGCGGAGGAGTACTTACAGGTATGAGTCCCCAAGATGTGTTTTGAACATGATTGATATCCTGTACTTACGCAGGTATCCTCAGCGCCTGTGAACTTCTGGAACAGCTCACTCTCGATCGCATGATTCCTAAAAGTTTCTCCCGAACCATGCCTGTGACAAATTCTCCCTACATTTCAGTCATTTCCTTCATTGCTTTCAGTGCAGCCATTTATGCCAGCACAGGGGCTCAGTTGAGCATTGTTTCAAAAATGTGCACAACCGTTCATCAGTAAAGCATTCCAATGGAAGAGCTGAATTCCGTTCTCTCTTTCCTAGGTTCTCCCTCGTATGGCTGGTTGTCATGTCCTTATTTCCTCTTGCCCTTCTCTTGCTCAAATTCAATAGAGGTCGTCTCCTGAGAACACCTAACACTCCATTTTGGGTGGTTTTACTTGCTTTAACGTTGGTTCCTGTTGTTTTTGCTGGCAACGTTGTTGTGGACCCCACAACCGCGGGGTATGATAAGCCCTTTGAATGCACCCGCTATTACTGATGCTTACATTTCACAGATATTTTGCAGTGTATCTAATCGCTATCGTTTTCTTCTTCTCCGCCACACAAAACAAAACCCGCATCTTGAAATGGTCTTATGGTATTTACGATCAATTTCCATCATTGCATAGATGGTCTTTGACCAAGTCTTACGGAGAGAGGATCATCAATCTTATGAGGACTCTCAAACGTCAGCCAGTGGGCATCCTGGTCAAAACAGACGAAGTGAGTATTCAATCCGTATTCGAGTATTTCGATGAGAATTCGAACACCTGTGTCAGATAAATAACCTGTTTCATATGATACTGTATGTGCGCGACAATGAAGAAACAGCATGCGTCAAAATTGTCCATTTTGTCGATGAGGAATTTGGAGTACCTTCAGAACTAGAAGCAAATGCCCGAAGTATGCGTCTCTACCTTCATCTAAACACCAGTTTTAACTCGAGTTGTTAGTCTTGGATGAGGCCTTTCCCGAAATAACGATAGATCTCGTAAGTCGTCCGTTGAACACCGTTTTTTCTTGATTTGAGAATATCCGGAACTCTATATAGATAATAGTGACTGGATGTTTCAACCCTATCAACGTTGCAGCACTGGCTCACCGTCTTAATATACCACCTTCTTTGATGTTCATGAGCTGCCCGGGGCCTACATTCAAATATAGGGTGGCCGACTTGGGAACAAGGATAATAACATTGTAGAAATATAACTGAATGAGCGAAATATGGCTAAATGCAGAGATATATGACTGGACGGGTGCTGAACACTACAATCACTGAAAAACCCCTAAAACATGTACTGTTAGCATGCATTCAGGCAGATGTATGGGCCGATACTGTACATACTGTACATATACAAGCAGATGGAGATTGACTAGGACTGTTGAGCTTGCATAGGACTGGGTGTAAAGCAAGGACATTGCAGTGCAAGATTGAGTGTTTCCAACTAGTCAGAACTGTGGGAGGTGGAGAAGACCAACTAAACCTTGACTTACCCTTCGAAATTTTTGTAAAGAGCCTTACTGGCAATAATGTGTATGATTCACCGAAATTGGATCGGTCAAAGCGAGAAATACGACCCACGTGGCTATGTGCTATAATCGGAGATCGTCCAGGCATCATCAGGCTGACGTGGGTGATTACTTACATACATATATGCTTTTGAGCTTACCAGCTGTTTCATTCACTAGATGCTTAACTGCCTCAGGGCTGGCTTTCTCTCACGCAAGGAGGTTCCAAGGTGGTCTCGGTCTTCCTCTTCTGGTATAATTTTGATGTGTGTTTTCAAACGCTCATTAACCTGGGCGAACTTCGACCTTACAACATGTCTCTTACTCACTTCCTCATAATATGTTCTCCGTTCTTTGGACATGTGCGTCCAATCTTTGCCTTTACTATGAATCTTTTGGTGATGTATCCTGAGCTTCACATAACTTATGTCACCACTGGAACAAGCACTTCGGGGTTGTCTCCTTCATTCGAGCAGGAAATGACGCTGTATGGGCTTCAGGACGAACCTCGCTCGCGCTTGCATTTGGAGCTTTTAGGAGAAGGCAAAAAGGATTCCCTGGTGGAACAAATGGTCTCGTTATTTGCCTTGATACCGGCGTTTCTGGAAGAGCTCTTCACTCCCGGAACTCAGCAATCGACTTTCAAACAGGTGCCTTCTTTGTCAATCATAGACGTATGTCTTTCTATTGTTCGTCGATTATTTGGTATTGATTTTAGTTCGATATTAGATTTTGGCCTTACCTTCAGTCGACCTCTTGGATAAGATTTACTTTTCAAAATGCAATACATTGCATAAAATACCCGCCTTATGCTACTCCCCAACGAACGCGGCCACTTTGAATCTGTGAGCTCGATTCGGGAAATTACACAACCGGCAACCCTTTACAATCTATTCGTGTCAGATATTGGCTGCGCAAGGAAGAATATCCTGAAACCTTTTGGAGACCGATTTATTCACAAGCGGAGAAAGAAGTGGAGACTGGCATATATGAGAATTTGACAGTAGATCATGTTGCATACAAGGTTCGTACTTCGACAATGGCTTTTTGTCTTTTAGCTAAACGCAGTTCAAATAAATGGAATTGAAGATCTGGTGTAGAGCTTCTAATATCGATGCCAAAACAGTCAGCCTACCCCCGATGCATCATCGTAGGTTGAATTTTGCACTTCCATAACCACAAGCTGATTAGAAACTCTCTTGTCACAGATGAACTTAGTGTGTAACTTTTCTTGTCAGTGTCAAATTGATTACAGCTGAAGGCCATCTATATTTGCAGACCCGCAGACGGATTCACTGGACACCAGCGAAAGCTCGGTAGTTGTTTCCCAAGCGCAATTAGCCATATCAATCACCAATCGTATGGACCGACTAAACGGCTTCATTATACACACCACTCCAATTATGGAACCAGGGGAAGCGGAAGAAATGCAGCATATATCGCCAATGCACCTTTTCTATCATATTGGGTATGAATCTTTGATCAAGTATGCATCATAGCCAGTTATTTGAATTGTGTTGTTCGTAGCCCACAGTATCCGGAGACATGGTGGACTGATGGAATACCCACGGAGGTGCAAGTCCTTTCTACCGAGGATCGAAAAGTCGTATCTTTCTTGGATGACATGCTCGACCGCTATGGAGAGAACAGTGTCGTATATATCAGCTTTGGGACTACCTTCCTTCCTTCCAACGCCCCACATTTATTCGATGCACTCTTGAAAACACTGCTCGGTGCAGAGCCGCCTCTGCCATTCCTGTTCGCGGGTGCCATTAACAATAAACTGCTGACGGCAGATCATCGCGAGGCAATCCAGAAGTCTGGCCATGGACTATTGGCCGGGTTTGTTCCCCAACAAGCGGTGTTGAAACATAACGCGACTGGATGGTATTTGGTGAGTACTGCCTAGAATACTAACTCGGAAGTTGTGATGTGGATAACGGATGATAACATTGATTAAGTGTCATGCTGGTTCAAATTCTGTTTCCGAAGCGTTTTTGAATGAAGTCCCTATGATTCTGTGGCCATATACTATGGATCAACCTCTCATTGCGTATGTGCATCCTAAAGACTAAGGACAGTGTATTATTACCCACGAAAACCCATTCTCTTCCATCAGAAATCAACTCTCAGTCAGACTCAAGCTTGCATATGAACTTGTTCAGGTGCGGAATGGTGAGAGCATTGGTCGGCCAACACATCGCGGCTCGATAGTTGAAGGAACGCAGGAGGCGATAGAAGAGGAGATGAGGGAGATATGGAAACTAATGAGAGGCAAAGATGGAGCCGAGATGCGACAAAGGGTCATCGCTTTCAGCAAGGCTATGAAAATTGACCACTGGCAAGGCGCTGCGCGCAAGGCAATGGAGGGGTTCGCCACATTCCTGACGGAGTGATACACCGATAGTAGATGTAGATTGTATGTACACCTACATATCAACAGTAGTAATGAATCTTGATAAATCAAACCCGTCTCACAGTCTATGATCAAAAAGAACCACCATCCTCTTTATCATTTGACGACTTCTCATGCAACTTCTTCAGATACCAGTGTGCTTTCCCTAGCATCCATATCGGGAATGAGAATTTAAAGTTGGGATACGCGATCGCGCAGTTCTTGTTGAAAACACCTTCAATAGCTTCTTGAGCCCACGACCCATCCTGGAGATGAAGTATGAAATTACATGAGCGGCATATCTTGTCGGAATTCAAGCACTTACAGGAAGCTGCCTATCCATCACAAGCTTGACGGCTTTCTCCAAGGGCTCTGCATACGGATAGCCAGCGTACATGAGAGCCATTGCTGCCCAACAGGATTGAACGACTTGGGAATCTTTATGTTCGATCCAGGCCGCCTGCTCGCACGACTGAAAAAGGCAAAGCATGGGCAACAGATTTACCAGCAAGTTCAGATCCACGTACTTTATAACTCTCTCCCCAACCTCCATCTGACCTCTGCTTGCTGATCAGAAACTCACAAGCCCGCTGAGAGTATGCGCTGTTGCTATAATTCTCTCCGACGAGCGCCAGGGACTCTGTGGCAAACATCGTGGCGTACGTGAAGCATATTCCCCATGAGCCTACCCAGCCCCCTTCAGGCTTTTGTGCTTTGTGTAGATAGTCTATTGCTCGTCGTATGGTGATGCTTTACCCATAAACACATCAGCTCTGCATAGCAAGATGAAGGATTAGCTCACTCTATATCCCCAGAGCGATAATCAGGTACGTGTTTCCGGAAGATGGCAAGTGCTGTAATGACAGATGTGGTACATTCTGGGTAACAGAATTCTGTCATAATATCGCCTGAGGGGAACGACTTTAGTACATGTAGCAATTGATAGACCGATATTCACCGAAAACTTCAGCAGGGTTCAACCATTCGAGCCACTGTGGGCCTCGAATCAGCTCATACGAAGCAAATCCGCCATTGGGATTTTGAAGGGAAAGCATTGTGTCAACGGCCCAGCACATTCGTTCCTCGGATATGAGTTTAGGAACGAAACTAAGACGGTTGAGAAACAATTTGGCAAAAGAACGTGACACAATACATACTCGAGTCTTTGTAGGTAGATGGCCGATTTGAGGCCTTCACCAGTACAATCACTGACTGTGTAGCCCTGCTCTCTTGTGCTGAAACCCCATGCACCTTTCGTTCGATGACGAAAAGCCTTTTCGAAGTGTTTGGGATTATCCAGCATTTGACCTTTCTCTAACCAGTCGAGCGCTTTAATTAACTCCCCCTGATTCTCTTCTAGGTCCGCCAGTCCAGTCTCGACGACAGCCTGGGAAATGAACGCAAGGTCCCAAAGTTGGCTTCCGTTCGTACCACACATCATCATACCTTCAGCCCCGAGCCACATGAAATCTGCCCGCTTTTCGGCATGCAATTTGAATGCCTCTGACTCCCTCCCTTCATTATGTACTCGTGCGATTAAATTAAACATTTTGGAGACTGGACCCAACGTCTGGTATGCGGTGTTTTCGTCTTCCATCACAATGAGGTCGTAAACCTTTTGCAAAGCGAGTTTGCGTAGGGGTGGAAATGAACACATTTCGTACGATGAAAGAGCAATATTGATGCCATCGAATATTTTGCTGTGGGGTGCGTACAAGTCTGCTTCGGAGACATTATTACGCTGAGCAGGCCAGTCAATGGAATAAAAATTCTGGGGGTATAGTTCTTCCCTCAAAGATAGTATGAGGTCGTTCTCGGGAGCAGAGAAACGTACGCCATAGAGATAGGACATGGGTATATACACATTCCGGGTATGAATCCACCATCGGTGTGGATGGAAAGGTAATTGAGTAGGAAGAACGAAGAGCTCCGGAGGGACCGGGTTGTTTCCTGCCCAGTCGTACACATTGAGTATAGACAGCCAGAATTTTCCCCAAGAAGGAATAGCACAAGCACCGCCGAGCTTGTGTAGTGTTCCGCGAGCCCTGATACAGACCGGGTGATCAGCGGATACACCAAGAATACGAAGAGCGGCGTAGTTGAGTGCAGTACCAAAGACTGTCGAATGACCTTCTACGTGGCTGAAGGATGAATGTTTAGTAAGGGAATTCAACACGCATGATAACAAGTAACACGTACATTCCCCAACCACCATCATCTGGGTGCGCTCGGTTCATGAGATATCGAATCATTTCCCCGCGCTCTTCATCCTTGAAACCCATTCCAGACACATAGGATCCAATCACTAAACCGGGAAGTAGAAACATTGGTCCTCCATATTCTCCTGGCCAATGACCATCGTGAGCCTGCAGGTTCTTATAAAATTTATAACCATTTTTTGCAGCTTCGAACGCGTCTTTCGCGGGACTCAGCTTCGGCAAGTCCTGACATTAGGGTTCAGTGCATATTTCATTGGCAGTGAGCTTATACGTACTGTTGGCAGTCCTATCCAGAATTTATCGACCGTGTTTTGTGGCCATTCTTGAATTTCCTCGTCGGTCTTCAGATAATGCCAAGTGTGTCTACCATTGTCATTCACCAGAAGTCTCCAGCGGGAATAGTCCGTGAATGACGCTTTACACGACTCGGGTACACAGATAGGATTGTACATGGAGGAAAACTGAAGCCTACTGGGAACATCGTTTTGTGGATCGTACCATATATAAAAAACCGGTATTATGAACAGACGCGCATCTGATAGACCCCAGGCGCCCTGTAATTCCGAATTTCAATTTGACGGGAGTTTCTAGGCATACACCCAAGTAGGCTTCAGCTACATATGGTTCATCACGGTTACATGTAACCTTAGACTTTAGTCCTCTTGGGATATAGATGGAAAACTTGTAAATAAGATGACAACCAGGCCACTTCGGTTACGTTGATAGCCTCGAGCTTTGCTTGAGCTGTTCCGGGATTTCCTTAATATCCAGCTCTCCTCGCGCCAACACATCTTGGCTTCTTTGAAACCGGCCGTCTGTATTAATTACATATATGCTAAACTCATGCAGGAAGTTCGAACTTTTGTCCTTGGAGTACTCTGGAGTGATGAGTCAGAAAAAGTAAAACACCAGGAATGACGAGACGCACTTTGTAAAATAGATGTAGAAGAAATCTATATATAAGCCAGTTTGCACTATTCCTGCGGTGATAGCGATGGGATCGACAACGCCTTCGGAGAAGTACCTGGTGAAGTCGTACAGACTCAGAGACAGAAGAAGGAAGACCCAAGACACACTGCTCACCGATAAATCCAATTTGGAATATATAGTGCCCGATATATACCCAAAGCCGCAAGGTAGTGGGTAGTAATTGTCTCTGCCTCTCCAGTTCGTTGAAGCATGAATAGCTGGGGGAGAATTGCTACGGATTCCAGGAAAATCGAGAACGACCAAAGAATTTCTGTGAACCAGAACTGATAATTGAATATCAGTGATAGGATGACACAAGGCCCTATCAAGTACTCGAGTCTGAAAGTGTCAATGGAGGGATCATTCGTGGGTCTGGACGGACACGTCAGAAAATATCAGCGTAGAAATAGCAATACGACATACCGGTATCGGAATTTCATGAGGTACAATATGTAGCAACTGCTTCCAATGAAAAAGACCTTCATAACCGTGTTGTAGATCGAGATGAAACGGAAGAATAAATCAAGGTAACGGGCGACGAAAACTGCAACGTAGAGGGCTTGAGTTTTGAAGGAAATGCCTATGTGAAAGGCGAATCAGTGTCTTGCATCGTTTCTGACAGGGCGAGGAAATATTTTGGACAATGGCGGCGGTAGCCATAGGACACAAAGTGTATTGAACGAACCTCGACATGACCGTGACGTTCGAATTTTATGCACAAGAATGAGGATGGAAGCGAGATGCGACAAGTCACCTATATTTGCAGTGATTCGATTTAGCTTTAGCTGACTTGCACTCGTATTTGATGGAAAATATACCCAATAAACGGAAAAGATTCATGGCGACCAAGTGAGCGAATTAAGGTAAGAGACGTGTTCGATACACTCGTGTTTAGGGCGGCTGACTAAGCAATTGGCCTCTTTCCTACACACACTCACTACCAAAATTCAGTTTCCATTTTCTCGACCTTCACGGTGAGTGTTTCAAACCTATATAGTCTCAGAATGATGCTCTAGTAAAAGGGTCGACTCCTTCCCTCTTCGTTTGCTGAGAAAAGGACCCATTTACCCTTCGATCGTCATCAGTATCCCGAACCATTTAAACGCGTCTTTATCCTCAATGAATCCTCTAAAAATCTCTGAGGCTCATTGTAAGGCTGGACTCACATTCATGGGCTCCATACATATAGGCTGCTACGGTTCAAAGGCCTATACCCTGGCAGCAAAGGCGGAGTCATACAAAGGGGGATGGTTGCGGTCAGTCCGTACCATCTTCAACTGTTCGTAAGCCGAGCTCGCGAAGGACCAGTACAACTCTTCGCTGAGTGGTCTCTGGTGTGGTCATTCTCGAACATACAGCCCTTGGTGCATGTCATAAGTATCCGGACTAGAGCACAACGTTCGTCGTATGTGGTTACATGCATACAATCTGTTGGTATGGGGTGTAATTTTGGTAGAATCGGGAGGGTATTTTGGGTCCTTTTTGTATGCTCTTGAGGGTTGGAGATATGAGATTGAACGTGATCCAGAAGTCGGATCCTGATTATCGATTTTTTCTTTCTAATTTCTTGGGATGCGTATTGGTTGGCTGATTTTCACACTGTAGACTTGTTCCTGGAAGACGGCATGAATGAAGGGCACCAGCGATATAGTTCAGGACTCATGTTAACAGAAAAACCTTGTATCATACATTGGTCAAAATATGACGCTCATTGCTTATGATACGATGTTCGCGACTTTTTAGTACGTCGTGCGGAACTCCTATCGTGTACATTATTGGTTGTAGATTCGTTGCTGTTGTTGCCTTCACAACAATCACGACGAAGTTCGCGTTCCGTGGCAACAAACGATTAACTGATGGAAGCGACAACAAGCACACGTATCTCCTTCCACCAGTGTAACTCTGTGTAACTGCTCTCTTGGGCTCTCCCATCTTCAGTCCACCGTGGATCGCTGTGTAATCAACACGTCCGTGGCGGGACCACAAAGTTTGATTTTTATCGCTTTCTTTTTTCCTTGCCGTTCTGGCCACTCACTTTCGTTTCTTATGACGGCAGTAGTCCGTCTACTTGTTTCGTGGTGGCTGCTTTCCCTTATTTCGGCGCTGGTCTCAGCTATACCAATCTTTCCTGCAGCACCTCACATCCTCGCAAGAAAGACGGATCCAGTGATATCTCATTCAGCGAATGGATCTGTTATCATATTGGATCCCTCCACCCAACAGACTATTCCACAAGGACCCGGTACTGATGGAAGTGGCTTGGGCTTCTCCCTCCCGGCTATAGTTTGGATCGTATTTCTACTAGCGATTGGCGCACCTCTGGCTTTGGCAGGTATCCGGGGCTGGAGATGCACTACTGGTGTTGCTATCGGTTTGGCTGTTATCGTTTGTTGTGAGTTTGTTGTTGGCCCCTTCCTTTATGCAGTTCTTCAATGCTTTTCCCTAGCTTGGGCTGCTATCATCAATTCCGTTAATCAAGTCGGGATCTCCGACATCCTCCTTACCTTGATCGTCCTTGCCTTAGGTTTTCTTGGCCTGGTCGTTGGTGTCTTCGAATTTTCCCGAATGATAGCTATGACATTACTCTGTCTCATCGGGGGATTATCATTTGGTGTGCGAATTACTTTATTGAAAACGAACTTGTTGTTTTCAAGTTTGGGATTGAACTGGTTGATCATTGTGGTGTTTGGTGTGGCGGGAGGCTTGCTGCTTATTTGGACAAACAGAATCGCAATGGTACGTGTTTCGTACATCTTGTCTTGCTTGTACTTATCTGATCACTCTTGTATTACAGTTGATTGCTTGCGCAAATGCTGGCACCTTCTTGATGTCCCTCGGGGTTGATTTGATTTTCAACAAACAGTCGGGACTTAGTTTTGGACTGAGATCGCTCTTCGACTCGAACGACAACCACCTCGCGGTGAGTGTGCTCGGTGCAAACGGTTCAACGACATTCGTTCATCTTCCCAACAGTACTTCATCGAAAGAACTTACCGCCCGACCTTATCTACCAGAATTATCCTCATCGCTTCACTAGTCTTGACGTACGATATGGTCTATCACATTCGAGATTGAGAAGATGGCTGACACTAGTCACACATATAGACCTGCTTTCGCCTTCGCTCAACACTTGTTATTCAAGCAGCCATTTACCAGAAGGGGTCCTCCGCTGTCCGATGACGACCTGTGTCTCAATTATCCAACTGAAGACCTCAGCGCCAACAGGGCCACTGCGTTCTTTTCAGGAATTTGGGATGGCGCCAAACTCAAAATGAGCACCAGTAGATTCAGTGTCTAATATGAATCTGGGTCTTTTGCTTTCTACTGTATACACTCCTTTCACCCACTTGCGCATCCGCTTATCCTGTGCTTCATCTCGCATCTGATGTCAAACAATGTACTCCCCAGCCTACCACACAGAGACATCCTGCTTTCGGTGTATGTAGTATGTACAACATGTACACCTTATTCTTACCCGCCGATTCGCTTAATACATAAGACAAGACGGGCTTGTATTTCCATTCTAGTGTGCAGTATTCATACACATTGGGTCAAAATACAAAAGATTTGTACTTCAGCTCCAACTCAAACTTCTCGCCCTGGCGTAACTGGAAATCCTCGGCGGAGGTGATGGTCTGGGGGACGGCAACTTCCCTTCACCTTCACATGCCGACGCTGGTGTCGGTGGTTGTGTTCTTTCTGTATCCGAGGATGGGATAACGAGACGAGAAGCACCAGCTTCACTGCGAGTCCGTTTGCGAGCGATTGCACTCTCCCAGACATTTCGGAGAGGACCTGTGTCCTGTTTGACCTTCGTTTCAATGATCATATTCTATGGGTGGAAGTTGGCATAAAAGGTGCGATATATATATATATAGCATGCAATTACCTTTAATTCGACTACCAACGCATCAATGACCTCCACGGTTGGCTGCAGGACCGGTTGCATCTCAGAGCGAGTACGTGTGGAAGGATGTAATGACTGCATTTCGGTGTGCAGTGTAATGGAAGCTACAAAAAATGGATTGAGCTCCGCACACAATTTGCATTCGGAAAGAAAAAAATACCTTCACGATCACAGAATGCAGCCAGACTACTGATTTGTTGTAAAAACTTCTGTTGTTCATCTTGCTCATTATTAGGAAATAGTTGTGGTGCCACTTGAGTGAGTGCGATGCTTGTGAAAATAAACATTTGATGTAAGAAGAGAATGTGTTGATAGACGACTCGGTGGGGGAACAAGATGTGCAGCAGATTTGGGCGAGTGCCACCGTTAGTTGGATCCCAGAACGCGAATGAGAATACGGAGACAGCAGAGGGTGAGGGATTTAGGACATATGCCAACTCAGATCCAAAGAAAACGAAGAACAAAAGATAGCGCCACTATATTGGGATCACTGAGTAAAGGAAATCACGAATCTCAAGGGTATCACATACAAATTTGACGGGACTTTGTTTACCTAGAGCAGAGAATACCAGCAAGCCTATCGCTGTGGCTAAATGGTATCCAGAAGCTTGAAGTAGACCGTGATGTAGGTATTCACGGGATGTGCTTAATTTACTCCATTGCAGTACATCGGGTCCAAATCTACAAACAAACGCGTATTTATTGAGATTTGTTTTAGTGGCCAACTACAGGGAGCACACCTATCATATGCAAATCTTATTGTAGGATTCTTCAACGCCTCAAATGCATCTCTCGTTTGCATGAAAAGTTCCGCTCCCTGTGGTCCCACTCGGTCAGGATGAAATCTCTTCGCGAATTGCCTGAAGGCCAGTTTTAGTCCGTTTTCGTCGACGAGGGGTGAGACTCCGAGGATTTCGTAGAAGTTTGGTGCCATATTATTCGAGCCATTAATTAAATTGTAAAGCAGGTAAGCAAGCACAACGGTAGCATAGGTGTAACGATAAAGTTGACTGTAAAGTTGTTGACCTGGGGCAGGTGATGGACGACCGGAAAGTTGTGTATATAGTTGAAGAACGATCTTTAAAGCATGCCGGGTAGCGATATTGGGCACGAATGTCCAACCAGCAAATCCGAGTAGTGCCGATATCATCAAACAAAGGAATTTGGATGACTGTACTTTGATGAGTAACCCTAGAAAGAAAACGAAAAGAAACATCTTACTATCCACTAGGTTTGAAGGACTGAAGCGTCGGGAGAAATGTGGCTACCAGCAGGAAACCGCTTGGAAGATGTTTGATGAAGGAAAGTACTTGTACAGTGGAGTTCAGTGGAGAAAAGAATGTCACATCGCGAGAACTTTCATGTAAGTCACGTTGAACGAGGTATGTACATGTATTTACTCGACTGTACCACACTGGTACCGAATAACAGATCAAGTAAAACCCACTTCAAGGAGTAATTAGAGTCTGCCCACAGTACAGAGCCTCGTACTACGTAGGAATATAAACCCTTTTTCAACTTGAATGACCCGCCGAACTTCGAGTCAGAGTTTGGATTGTCGGTTCACTGGCTCCCAGTCTACTCGTTCGATCTGTACAAAAAGGCGATCAGACATTCGTCGGCAGAAGAAATAAAAGAGTATACCAGTTCTGGAGTCAGGTCATCAATGCTGGCAGCCCCAAGTAATCGCATCGAGGTCATAATTTCTCGTTCGAGGATGCTTAGCATTTTGGAAACGCCCACTTCACCATAAGCCTATCGGTAGTTGACATCATGTATGGGGTCATGACCGCAGTGTGATGAAGACTACTCACACTCAAAGCATAAAGGAACGGTCGACCTAGTCCAACCGCCTTGGCTCCCAAACAGATAGCTTTAATGACATCTGCATCGAAATCCTGGATCAAGCCGACACAAAAAAGAAAATCAACGACCGGTACCTGTTCCCCGCCGTATCCCGCCTAAGACAGATCTTGAATTTCGGTTGTGGATTAGAGATAAAATTCATTCTCACCATCAATATACACTGGGGAATTCAACACTGATTAGGAAAAGTCAAACTCATGGCATAGGGCTGACCTTCCAGCTTCTCAAATACATCAGGTCTTTGTTTGTGTATCTTGTAAAGCACCTCAAGAGGAGGCAAGGAGCTATTGATTTCTGTTTGCGTAGGCCCGAGTTAGGGAAATAGTGTAACAAACTCACTACTCTAACTGTCGACCTAAGTGCAGTGCAATCAAGTTAGGATGGCAAAATGATGGAAATAAAGCTCACCCCCGTGGTTGGACAAAAGTATGCCTTCTACGCCCATTTCCGCAGCCAAAACCGCATCCTGACCATTAAGTCAATTCACAAGCCAGCGTAGTACTGGAGGAACCTCAACGTGAAACCTACTTCGACACACTGGATACCTGAATACCATAAATCAGCTACCGCGGTTCTTGTGCACCAATCAGCAAACAGACCTTTCAGAACGATAGGCAATTTGGTTATGCTCCGAAGCCAAGGGATAGTTATTTGCCAACTCATATCTGCATCGAGGACATTATTACGATCGACATGCAAGGAGCTGGTCCCAAGTAGATTCGTTGCTCCATCAGGATCACCCTCCGAATAATATTGAATGTTGCCAGTCTGAGCTTCCAACACCCACGGGCTCCTTACGTCCCTCTCTCTGGTAGTAATTACTATCGCATCCACGGTCAGAAAGATAGCCTTGAATCCCAATTGTTCTGCTTCCTGGACAAGGTTTGTTGCGACTGCTAGATCTGTGCTCTTGTATAGCTGGAAAAATAACGTCTGCGATGGCAGAGCGGCAGCAGCAATCTCTGCCCTTGAGATGGAAGCATAGGTGCACACCATTTGGATGATGTTGGCAGTTCCACAACCTCGGGTGATATTGAGTTCACCTGACCATAAACGGCCTCAACGTAGATTTCAGTGGATAATGATAGTACCAACCTAATGGGTGGCCGAGCTTGGCTGTTGACGCGCCGGACACGAACACAGGGAGAGAAGAATGAAAACCTAGGATCTTGGTCGAAGGGTCACATTTCGAGACTGGCCGCATCACACGACCATGGAAGAAAAACCTGTCGAAGGCCCTAGCGTTTTCCCTAAGCGCTTTGTAGCACTGTCAAACACGTTTACAGGCTCGACGAGGATACAGGTTCTCACTCAATTCATCCTCTGCTCCTGCTGAGAAGAACGCTAGCGCGCTATGCGGAAGTACTTTGCGAGCAACATCCTGAAGAGAACGAGAGAGAAGAGAGTCACAGCCGGCCAGGAAGTATTATGAAGGACATCTCACCTCGATATCAGCCAGGTTCAACAGACGATTCAAGGGAGGCCTTTGTTTCATCGCTTGCTCAACCTTGATCTCGTCTTCTGTTCGCTCCCGTTTCCTCTCTTGAGCTTCAAGGTCCTGAATGTCCGTACTATTGAGAGGGCCTAGACGCTGCGCAGAAGACAAATATTGCTGAATTGCATCTGAAGGATGTATAGGCTCGTATGCGGAAGTCGCATCCCGACCAGCATACTTCAAAATAATACTAGGACCTCCGGGATGCTTCTGCATGGATGTGAGGTTCGATTAAAGCTGGATACATATGAGAACGACATGCCGAAAGGAACTCGGTTACATCATAAACTTCATTCCTGATAACGATCCAGCAGGACCTGCGAAGCGCATCATAAGTATTCAGCAATAAAATGAGCAAAGGCCGTGGACGTCGACCTTGAATCTCTGTGCTTGGACACTTCTTCTATAGACCAGCCCATGGAAGTTATCTCGATAGAATACTGTCAGTGTGCATCAATTTGAACTTTCAAACTTCAGAGGATTCGGACCGCGATGTTGTTCACATGTGAGGACGCCAGCAACCAATCGGGAAGGATACAACGGAAAACTCTAGGCGTAAGTATGAGAGTACCAGTATATATAGCGTGGCAGTGACTGGCGACGGTGACTCCGCGAGTATATGCGCCTAGTAGTAAGCTCACGGATAAGGTGTTTTCCCAACTAGGTTGCTTAGCTATGCGTGGTACATATATCTATGATGCCCTTCCAAAATAACGCAAAATCGAGCCTGGTGCGATGAGAGCGGTGAAAATTTGACGCGAAATTGGATTTGTTCTCCACTCCAAGGCTCACAGTACAGAGGAGAGTATCAACTGCTGATTAAGAATGATTAAGCTCGATAAGGACAAGAACTTAGAACATGTAGAGAGGTGAGGTGAAAATGACATTAGTACGCCTATATAGAATTCTAGCCCATTATGCAGATTGGCAAACGTAAAGCACAGTGACCAATATTATTGTGTTTCGAGGCCGAAATGAGTCTGACGCGTCCCAGCCGAAATGACAGCATCTTATAAAGGCTGCCCTGGGTTTGGGTTGAACTCTTGAACCATCTTTTCATGGCCGAAAGTCTTGCATCCGAATGTACACCGCTGAAGATAAAATACGATTCTTGCTTCAATGCATGGTTTGAAGGATATCTTGTACCTGCCGTATCAGCTTCCTCTTCTCCAGAAAAATACTCCGAGTATTCACAACGCAAGGCGGACGAGTTTCAGGAAAAGTGCGGGAAGCTTTGGGAGGAATATAGGACTTGTGTGCAGGTACGCCTTGAGGTGCTTGTTTGACTACTAGTGTTCTGAAGATAATGTCTTTGGTTCAAAAGAAATCATTAAAGGAGAAGGGTTTGGACACAATGCTTCAGCAGTCAAGAGAAGAGAATCCGCTGTCTCGGCCCCCACCTCTGCCTCCTTCGTCGTCATCGTCGTCGTGAACAGCGCTGGTGATTTGTTTTTATTTCTATCCTAGGTCGATTAGTATCCTGCTTTTCGAATCCTCCCTCCTTTCTCGTGGCAAGGTTCTGTCATAGCTGTCGAATAAAATTGTCATTATAAATGCACCCAACTCATCAATATTCAAGAATCACAATGAAAGCATTCACTGCTGCATTGAGTAGTCCGCGGCTCTGGGAACCGCTCAGCTGTAGCCGCTGAGCGTGTAAAAATAATGTATAACCGCGCCCGAGATAAAAATGCTAGCCCTTTCTTTCCGGTTCCATAAACTCCTTTCACCATCTGCCGTTTGGGCATCTGGCATGGCCCACAATGTCTGGTCGATATATCTTGAAGAGCGGCTATGGACAAGTCGGCCGTCGTCCCCGGATTCTGTACGTCTTCAAATTAAACCGATTATGACAGTGGTTGCTAATCGATTCCGTACTTATATCCCAGTTCTTTCATTCGTGAGTGCTCTGAACCACAAATTGATTCTCTTTCACAATCTGAACTCGTCTATATCTTTGTAGCGAGGACAATCTTCCTTCAGAAGCTCACTCGACTCAACATATGCTAACCAACTCACTCGATCAACCAAAGCCGCCTTTCGCTTCAACGAATGCTCTTCTATCATGGCCTCCCCTTCCGTCAAATGATGCATCCAACAGCACGCTATCCATCAATTTCGTTCCTTCCAAATTCTCGACCGCCCTTCTCAGTTCGGAACGACCCCGGCGTAGGAAACGTAGAAATGACGCTGGCGATTTCCTTACTTCGGGAGGAGGTATCGAAATATCAGACGACGAGGACGGATTTTTAAAGGGTCATAAAGACAGTAGGAACTTACGCTGGAATAAATTCAAGTGGATTCTGTTCCTTGCCAACCTGCTTTTTACCCTCTACTCCCTTGCAATCCTTGTCATCACTTTGCTTTTATGGTTCGATGTTTTCCAACTCGCAGACGTTATCCGCGTCGGAAACAAAACCGAACTCATTCTCTCTACACTAGCAGCTGCGTTTGGCCTTTTGACCTCAGTCATCGGATGGGCTGGAATCCTACTCAATAATCGATCTTTCCTTGCTACTTACACGTTTCTACTGTGGATCACCTTCGCATTCCTCGTCGTCCCAGGATATGTCACGTACAAACGCCGCGCATTCAATCTGGAAGGGAAACTCAACCTGCAGTGGTCCAGGGACCTCGCCGAGGCTGGTAGATTGCGGATACAGAACAAACTTGCGTGCTGCGGGTACTTCTCACCTTTTGTGGAAGCCACGATCAGCCAAACATGCTACTCTCGTTCTGTTCTACCGGGGTGTAAAGCAAGGTATCTCGATTTTGAACGTAAGGTAAGAATAGCCTTTATCTTTGTAACATTCTGAATGTCTGATTTCTTGGTCGTGGTTTAATAGGTCCTTGACCGGTGGTATCTAATATGTTTTTGTATCGTCCCCGCACATATTGCGGTCATGGTTGCCGGCTTGTTATGTTCCAACCACGTAACCCGTCGTTTTGGTAAAGGAATGATGCCCAAAGCTTACCGCATCGGCTCGCATAATATGGCTGCGATAGTTCAAAATTGTGCGAAGTAGGTTGTTCCGTGAGCGATGTAATATAACACTGATTGGTATATGTAGTCAACTCTCCGAACAATATGGTCTCGAAGTTGCTTCAACCTTTTTATCCAAGGCAGAGTCTTTGAAAACTGTCAATCACTCAAATCCTACTGCCCCTGATTGACGTCGTGTTGATCTTTGGTCACCTCGACGAACACACTCATTATACGCCTCTAAGTACAATCGGAACATCCTTTCATTTTATCGTTATATACCCTTACACCTCTACCACTATATATGTAGTATTATTCTGATTACTATGAAAAGTTGTACACTATATGAACAGTGAATTCCATCGTTCCACAAAAGATTCCAATTTACGTTGTGTCCTATTGTCGTCCAGAATCGTCAAATCCTGTCAAAGAACAATCAAGTTGGAAGTCGCTAAGAGATGAAAGGGACGACAAACTTTTTGCAAGCGCTGAATCTGCGCTGCCAAGGCATCGCCATTAGCTTTAGCATTGTGCTGAAGCGTTGCCACCGAGGGAGAAAGTTGGAAGGGTGCTGAAGAGTTCACGGGAGAGTGCGCATACATAGCATCCAAGGCGGGACCATGCGGGACCATGCTGTAAAATTAAAATGAGAACAGTCAGCGCAACATGACCCAGTGCGCAAAGATAAGCTAACAGAGAATTAAGCATTATAGGAATCAAAGAGCCGAATCGTTCCTCTTGATCATCCAATGATTTCTCCTTCTCTTTCAAAGCCTTAAGCTCTGCTAGAATGTCATTTTGATTCAACAAAACCAGAGGGGGCATATCTGATGGTCTGACAGCTTGTAGGTCCTTCAACAGAGTTTTCATTTCATTTTCCAAGGAAGAATGATTTATGAAGTTTGAAGATAGATCTCGGGAAGGATCGCACGCTTTTATCCTTGCTGCGTCAACATGATGGACAACCTCGTCCATTTCTTGTCTGAAAGTACCAATAACAGCCAGTGTATCATCGATCACAGATTGTTGTTCGGCAAGGAGGGCATGCATTCTTTGAAGAGGAGGAAGTATAGATCGATGAAACTGGGAAGAGGCCTACATAGGAGAGATAGCAAAGGAACGTGAACACAATGATTGAACAGAGTTTTTCCATGAACTGTACCTTGTCCAGCACAGAGGCACGAGCTTCGAGAATTGCAAGTTGGTCCATATTCCAGGCCAGCTCCAGTTCCTTTACAATCTTAGGAGAGCCAGGATAAACTTCTTCGTTTACTGTTGTGACGCGTTGTAAGATATCGTATATCTCCCCTTCATCTGCATCAGCCTTCTCTAAAGTACCCATGAGCGATTTCAGCTGTTGACGGTACGCTGATTCTTCCGCCAGCAGTAATAAACTCGAGGATCCAGTCGTATCTAGACCGATGACATGTTGTAAGCGTAAAGCTTCGAGCTTGAGGTGTGCAGCACTGGGAAGTTGATCCATCCATGTGTCGATCGCACCAAGCTGTTCAATGACATTCTGGATAATTTGTTTACGAGCCTTCAGGCACCTCGTTAGAGTGTCACTGGTAACATCTGGAAGGAGGTCTGACGATAATTAACGCTTTCGATTAAAGCCGAATTGAACCAAGCGCGCGCACTTTCTTGTAAGCATTGCAATAAATCAAACGACTTCGAACAGGTACCAGAGATAAGTGTATCCACCTGACAAACAAATTTGTCTCGATCATTCGAAGGTATGGAATTTGCACACCTCCAATGACAGTTGTTCTAGCTCCTCTTGCTTTTTGCTTATACTACCCTCCACTCGATCTATTCCTATCGTGATGCTTTGAGCTGTTTTCCGTAACTGCTGAGAGATAGTTCTACGGAATGATATCAAGCAAAAGATTGGAAACTTAAGTCTAGAATACTTACTTTGTCTGTCGCAATCGATGTTGAAGCAAGAGAACCTCCTGTTCGAACGTGTACGCATTGTTATCGATAAGGGCGGTTCGAGAGCTGAGTTACATCAAGTTCCATCAAAGAACAACAAAAAAACTCTGCACACCTTTGACGACTAGGAGGAATATAGTTTGAGAAGTCAACCTCTACATCAGAGTTCGCCCGGGGCTTTGAATCCTGCAGTCTAATTATATTGGATCTTAGTACATCCTCAAGTCCAAGCAGCATAGGAGCAGATAGGAGCACACAGCTTCACTTCTTCTGCCTCTAATGCAATTCTTGAAAGAACTGCCTGTCCCGAATTTTCATCGTCTTCGGAATGGAGTTGTGCCGCAATCCATCCGATCAAAGCTTTTCCAGACGGAACTTGCGTGACCCATTCGAGTTCATTGGGTGTATACGCTGGTCCTCCGAGACACGACACAATTGTGCAGAACTTTTGCACGTCCGATAGAGTCATATGTCGAGAAGGTTGAAAGAAGGTAACCACGTGGTTTTAACTTCCGACTGCGACGAGCTGCTCACGCCGCACGGCAACAACCAGCAACAACCAACTTGCTATCAGATCCTATCCTGGCGGTCCTATACTCCTTACACTGATGTTATATGGCTTTCTCTTATCATGGAAACGTTGGCCGCCTCGTTGACAGCAAATCAAAATATTATCTGTGCTAGACATGTGCAGAGCGCAAACTCAGATGAATTGAAAAGTCATTCTGTATGTAAGTATACCCTCAGGGATTTGACTTTGCTCAATAGTCAGCGGCCCTTTTCAACCCACTTCCCAATGTTCACATAGCTTCCCGCAGTGGAAATCGAGAGGCACTGCTTCCAGGCCTACCATGTTTTTCGACCACCGGAACCTAGCTGTGTCGCGGAGGAATCGGAAGAATTTTTGACCAGCCAGTTCAACGCAGGTCATTCCTGATCCAGTCAGAATACACGTATCGTTTTCAGAACAGTGCCTTGATTTTCCCAGCAATTGCTGTTGAATATGAATCGATTGTTGTCCCAGTTTGGAAATGCAATTATACAGCTGTGTGTCAGCGGATGACTGCCACTGTTCTAATGTGGCGATCTATCTTCCGAACTATAAAATCTTCAGGTTCTCCTGTGACTTCTTTGCCACTCCACTCTCCATCACACTTTCACTACTCGTACGGTTCCCACTGTTTTCAGTTCTCTCATGATTCAATTACTCGACATGACCTCTACTGCCAACGCCAAATATTGTATGGACTTGGAGTGAGTAGGCTTCTTTCATTCCGTTACTCTAATAATGACGACTACCTGCATTTCAGTGAATCTGAGTCCTCTCAACGAATGCAATTCCATGGTCAGTATCCTATAACATTCACACCAGTTGATCTGCTAACAGATCGCGCACCCGCAGTCATTGGAACGAAAGACTTTATATCTCCCAAATCGCACGGGAAGAGACCTAGTAATGCTTTCGTAGGCATGAGAGTAGTCGGGGATACACCGAGAGATAAAGCATACCTTTCGACGTCTGTTGTTAAATGCAAGAGTGCAGATGAACCAGAGTGGTATGATAACCTCGGACCGTGAGTGTATATCGTGAACTTGACAAATGGTCGTGGAGCCAATGAAATTTCCCAGGATGTGGCTTTCGCCATTCTCAACTATCTCATTCCATGTGAAGACTCGTTCAAAGTTTTCGAAGACTACAGCAATACTAGCATCTACCGAAACCTATACACTGAAGAAGCTGAGAAAGATGCAAGGGCACATGGATCGTCAATCCAGTATGTTGGCAACTCTGTCTAACCAAATCCATTCCCCACTGATATGCATTGAAACATAGCCATTGCCCTGCCGCTCCGCTCTCATAACCCCCATACGGATCTTCCGACAGGCGGAGTACTTATCATAAACATTCGGGAGCTGTCAACTTCGAAATCGGCTATGGAGGAGTACATTAGTCTCAGATCTGCCGGGAGTCAACGAAGTAGCCTCGAGGACGGAAGCTTGGAAATTCAAGAGGGCGTATCTCCTCTGTCTCCAGTCTCCAGTGAAAATCGAACACTGCCATGACGATATAGATATTGAGATGTTACGAATGATGATCTGGACCTTCGACTACCTGTAAAATATACCAAATGAGATGTATTATTTAGGTTACAAGGCATGAGGCTGTATTTCTTGTATGCATTTGTAAACACTGGATCCAAGTTATCACATATAATTCCTTCGTCCAATCTCCCCAACTGATACTAATTTTGCGTCCGTGAAACCCTATTTTATTCTTCCGCTAGTACGGGAGAACATCGTCTTCAAGTTCGAGTTAATACATTTACGCATATGCACATATGTTCAAAGGCAGTTGCTAGAAGACTACTCAAGAAATCGTAAAACGTTAAGAGAGAAAGAGGGGCGTGGATGTATCATTACATGCAGACTCTAAATGTCGAGATGGAATAGCTAGGGAATAGCGAGTGCCATTTTCTCAATTTATCGACGCTACGAACCTTTTCCAAAACTCTGACGCATTATTTCCATCCTCACTCTCTGAATCTTCACGTATACGTAACAGGATGAATCTTCGCTTTTCGCAGAGTCGAGTGATAACTATTTTATCCCTGATCATGGATGAGTACAAAGGAGTCGAGGCTGTGCTCCGGCCCCATGGTTAACGAGATAAGATAAGATGATTTTTTTCTTCTGCTTCTCCCCCCAGCTTCTCCCTCATATCGTGAATGTCGCTGCTCTCTGATGCAGAATCTGACTCAGACTTTCAACTTACAATAAATGAGCACTATGCTCAGGCGTTTCAGTATAAGAAAGAGCGCGAAGAGCTCGAACAATGTGTGATTTTCCCATTCACGGATTGTTCAGACTAATAACACTCTTACAGTGAAACTCAAGTACGGCTCGGATGAGGAGGAAAACAACTCGGAAACAGATTCTGAGGAAGATGAGTCAGAAGATGAGGATGGGGAAGAACTGACACCTGCGGTGGATGCTGCTATTCTACGCACACTGGCTAGGATCAAACGAAAGGATCCAGAGATATACAACAATAAAACGGGTATTTTTGAAGGTGCGCACTCATACTCTTCCCTCACTGAGATCACTAAGAAGTATTTAAAGAGGAGCAGAAAAAGTTGGGTTCAACCAAACCTGTCTCCAAGCGGCCCAAGGACAAGGTACGTGTTTTATAGCGGGAAGTTTCAAGCTTACTCTGAAACTCCACAGGCAAGACCTATTACAATGCGCCAAGTGGCCATGGAAGCCCAACTGCAAGGCGACTCTCGTTCTCCGTCGCCGGAACCTCTCACTCATTCAGAGGAGCAGCGACGCCTGCGAGACGAAACGATTGCCGTGTTTCACCAGCTTGGCGATGACAATAGTGAAGGCGACGATTTGTTCGTTCCTCGTGAAAAAACCAAAGATGAACAGGAACAAGAAGAAGAAGAGTATCGTTCTTTTTTGGAACGGGAAGTGGGTGGGGATTTAAAGACCTTGGTCTCGGTTGAAGAAAATACCTGGAAGGAGGAAACTCCGCCATCAATTGAAAGCAAACAGAAGAAAAAGAAGAACAAGAAGGGCAAAGTCGTTAAGAAAGTCGAAGATGACGATCAGGAGTTTCTCATAAAGTATGTGTTTCGGGTTTTCCATCACCCTCGTAGATTGAGTTTGGGTATCCAAGTTACATCCTTAACCGCGGGTGGATTGATCGTTCAACCAACCGTGTGCCAACATACAAAGAGGTCGTTGCCCCCAAGAAAGGTAAGGGCAAGGCTACAGATGAAGAGGGGAGCTTGGAGGATGCAAATCCCTCTCATTTCAAAGAAGACATACACCCAACAGCTGACTCTGACATTGATGAGGAGGAATTCGAAGAAATAGTTGATCGGTTTGAAAGCTCGTATAATTTCCGTTTCGAAGAACCGTAAGTCTCATCCGATTCGATTTCCTCCCACTCATGTTCAAATTGTGACCCGTTCAGTGATGCAGCTGTCATTCAAACACATCCTCGTCAGATACCATCTCTCATTCGGCGGGAAGATACTACGCGAAAAGAGGCTCGTGAGAGGCGGAAGAAACGACGAGAAGAGGAAATAGAAAAGAAACGTGAGGAGGTGAAAAGAATGAAGGCGCTCAAGATGAAAGAGCTACGAATGAGACTGGATCGGATTGGCAAACAGGGTGGAAAGAACGCTGAAGATGATCCTGGTGCGTCCATCCTGACGTTCGTTCTGCTCGAGAAATAACCATTCTATCTCCTAGCTTTACAAGAATTGGATCTCGAGGGTGAATGGGATCCTGAAGCGCATGATCGACAGATGGCAGCTTTATATGGCGACGACGCCGACTATGACGAAGATGGTAAACCGTCCTGGGACGATGACATCAACATTGGTGATATAGCGATGGCGAATAATTCTGAGAGTACACGCCAGAAGAAGAAAAAAAAAAAGAAAGGCGAAAAGGCAGTCGAAGAGGATGGAGTATCCGTTGACGCAATGGATGCTGACATAGACAAAGTTGACGACGATGAGTGGGATGGGACTGAGGAAATGCGAAAGAAGAAAATTGAAGAATATATGGACGAAGTATATGGTTTGGATTTCAATGACATGGTACGTGCACCCGTCAAGCTACCATATTCAGTTATCAATATTTCAATTTCCAGGTCGGCGGAATCCCCACAAGGTTCCAGTATACACACGTCGAACCAGAAAACTTCCACCTCTCGCCAACAGAAATTCTGATGGCCACCGATGCCGAGTTGAACGAGTACATGGGTATCAAAAAGTTTGCGCCATATCGAAAAGCTGGGAAATGGGACTCGAACAGGGGTGATCGTCTGAAGGAATTGAGGCAGAAAATCGGGGAGAGGGGGTACGGCGGAGATATAACACAAGACGACAAAGCTGTTAAAAAGCGAAAGGGCAAGAAGGAGAGGATGAGAATGAAAACGTTGCTGGATCCGGATGTAGGGGAAGATGTAGAAAAGGAAGTCGAGGTTACAGGAAAGAGTGCAATGCCTGAGAACTTGAAGAGAAAGCAGCCATCCGGGGATGTACTCGATGAATCAGAGGAAGCAGCACAGAAGAAAAAACGAAGGCGGCACAAGAAGAAGAATCATAGTGAAGATTCACCATGATATTTCAATGATTTGCCTACTACAGTTTACTCATATCGTAAATCTTGACTCTACTCGGGATTTAGGTGGCTTTAAGTTCTAATGAGTCGATCGATGGTCCTGTTCTCTTATATTGAATGATTGATTGAACCCGTTCTTACAGTAATGTTTGAAAGGATGCTATAGCTGTTTTATTCTACATGGATTGTATCTGCTGTACAGCGTCAGACACCGTGAGCACCTCACACTACAAATCAGGAACAAATCTTGTCATTCATAAAATGATTGCCGAGAATGAAGCCTCGGTGGCTCGGTGGCTTAATGGAGATAACGATTGTGTTCACTGTTGATCCATTTCTATATGTTACTGGCTTCCAAATTTTGCACTCTCACACTTGTAAGTATAAAGCTTGCTAGCTCGCTATTTTCATCTTCAGCTCTACCGTCGTTTTTGCCCTCCCTCACGCATTGCAATTGCAATTTTCCGACCTCTCAAAAGTCCACCGGTTTAAACACGTCGTTTAAGGAGCACATGCCATCTAGCTCGATGCCTGTGTGGACACCCTCCTCACTAACTTACGTACCTCCAAAAGAACAATCTCCCAATGTCCAGACTGCTCTCGCGTTCATCGAAGCGCGCAACGCTTGGTTTTCTCGGGCTGCTTGCTCCAGTGGTGTCGGTCAAATGATGTCGCTCTTTGATGAGAGCCTGGAGCATCGCATTTTGCCACAATCTTTGGGTAGGCCAGTCCTCAACAAGAATCAATACAGGGAGTATGTACAAGGCTTGCTTCGTTTCATCCGAGACTACAAGGTGCGTGTTAAATTTCAAAGTCATAAATTTATTGACCTACTCTGTTTCCCAGATATCGTTGCATGAATTAATCGAGTCAAACGACAATTCCATCATTATTCATGTGCGTAATCTTCCTGGTATTGCAATACCGATTTTCTCCAGCTACACCATTTACATAGGCTTCTTCGGTGGGGGCGAGTTTAAGCGGAGCTACATTCAAAAACGAGTATATGATCATCCTTCATTTTACGCCTTCCACCGAACTGGGAGAACTACCCAAAATAACCAGTGTAAAAGAGTTCGTTGACAGTAAAACAACTGCCGAATTCTTCCAAGAGGAGAGACGGAGAGCTAAGCTCAAATAAGTATGGCGACGTCAAAACTTGATTTCAACAAGGACTATGGAGACATGAAAGAAGGGGAATCGATACCGATGGATAGCATATACATAGAAGCTTCCACAATAGAAGAGGTTATCGTACTTTGTAACATTTCTAGATATACGAGCTACCCGATGTACACAGTGAGAAGATTTCAGAAACAAGCGAAGACTCGATACTCACTTATATAACATATACATTCTCTTTAGCCACCTTGTAATCTTCTAATTTCTTGAAATATTCAAGCCGTTTCTGTCGCTCAGAATCCCTCTCCTAGAAAACAAAGGAATTCCTGAGCTGATTGTATTTATTATCACAGAATTCCCACCTGATCCCCAGTATCACTCTTATTCTGTTTGTCACGCGTCGTGCCCCGCAAACGTTTGGCGTCGGCTTCGTGGCTGTTCGAGTCAGATCGACGTTTGCCATTCCTGCGACTGGATCGTTTAGGCAAGAGCACCTTCAAATCTCTGGCTAACCTCTCAGGATCAACGGACTTATCACCATTTCGCTGTCCTTGCCTTCTTACGGCTTTTGTTTTCATGCGTTTTCGAGGCTGGTAGTCCTGAGAAGCAACGTCAAGGCAGTCTTTTTCATCATCGGAAAGTGCCTTCTGAATCTTAGTTTCATCAGTGTTCGTCGCCTTCGCCAAGCCTTGTTTCGTCACCCGGCGAGGCTTCGCGGGAGAAGGAGAGCTCGGTAAGGAAGGACTATCAGCATTTTTGCCGGACGCCCTTTTGCGAATGCGTGGTTTATGTGGGGAGTGAGGTGGTTCCCACGACTGTGGGTAAGGTGCATTAGAGGTCGTAGTGATGGACTGTTCTTTACGCTGGGCCTTTAGCTTAGCTTCAAGCGCGAAGAAGCCGAAGGGATCCGAATTTCGAGCAGAGTAGGTGGAGTACTGTACATCAGCTGGTTCTTCCAGCATTCCATAGACATCAGACTCGAAGTCATGTTCTTCCTCAACACTGACTTCCTCGTAAAACGGTGTTTCGAGATGCTCAGAGGCCTCCGAGGTTGCTATTGGCAGAAAGTCCGGGATCTGTGATGAAGTAGCAAAAGGAGATGATGGAGGAAGAGGGGAAGATTTTCGCGAAGACTGCTGTTTCAGGGAAGCTTTGGCTCTCGCCCCAAGTGCATCTTTGGGAACTTTCGGTTTACGCTGTGGTCTAAGAGCAGAGTTCAGTAGATTCGACTTGTCTCGTGCGCTCATCTGCATTGCTGACTGCGATGTGGACTAGGGCATCGATGGCGGTTGAAGTTCAAAATCGAAAGTTAACACGGCACGTGCTCGTGAAATACTATGTAAGTACTTAGACTAGCGCCCGTTCAACGTTCAACCGTGATTGTGCTTCTTATATTAATTGATCTGAAGATTATCAATCATCCACCGAAATATAACCTGAGACAACATCGTCGAATGAAGAAATATGTGTTTGCACAGTGAGAGGAACCTTTCTATAGTCTCGCTGGTTGAAGTAACACTCGCTGTTCAGTTTCATGGTTGGGAACACCTTCGTAAGTTCAGTCACTTTTCCTGCCTGCAAGTAACTCTCTGAATACGATCGCTGCATAGTCTTATACTGAAAAAGATTGGCTTGATGATATAAAACTGGCTCACGAACACAATATGTACGCTCAAGAAGTACTCAAGGGATGGTGATCGCTGATTTCCAACCATTGACTAACCCGCTCCAGCGATGGCTTTGCTTTGAATATAGGCAGGGAAAAGTGGCAGATAGATAGAGTTTCCGACTGCTTTGCTGCTGCTTCGAGAATTGAAGCTCCTTTCTGGTTGTTCTTCAGCTTTGATATGAGGTGAAGTATTACCAAACACTCTATACTGCTCAAAATTGAATCCCCGTGGCAGCTCACTTCCTTCGGCTACATCGGAGGACATTCATTATATGTACGAATATCTCGAAAGGTTTAGTAAGAGCGAACGAATGCTTCACTATGGCCATGGCTTGTTTGTGTCCACGTTTGCTGGAGAACAAAGTCTATTTGGGCAACCTACTTTGGACCGTGCCTGGTGCTTTGTCAAAGAACGACTTGCATTCGCAGCTCAATCTCCCGTGTGTGTTTTGCGCTGTTCCACCGGGTTTCAATGCCACTAAACTGATGCTTAGATCCATTATGTACCGTCGCTGTTTATTGACCCCGCGCTCTACTCTAGTATGGAGTCTTTGGACGGAGCTTTTAATGTAAGGATGATCAAGATGATATCTCATTGATTTCCCATTCAAACAACTCCTTACTTGTTCGTACAGTGGAACGGTAGCTGGCCGATTCAGTTGAATTCGAGCTCTTCTCGCCAGGAAATGGAATGCTCCAGTTTGGATTCCGACAACCATCACCTACAAAATCTCAATGGGCGCACTTTCATGTCCGCAGTTTCTCCCTGGTTTTTTACGGTACGAGCTCCGCATTGAATTCTCTAATCAACTAGGAAGGAACCAGGTTTATAGCACTATGGTCCTGATAGTTGGAACAAGAATGTACGCCTGTGGGAAAATTTCGTTCCTTTAAGCTTTAATTAATAGATTCCTCTAGTGGATATATCGAGGGGATGACTGGCTTTATGTGAGGCGCTGGGAGCAACTGGTCGCAATGAGAGATCGGGTCGACATCATCCAGATAATATCTTGGAATGGTAAGAGGCCTACATATGAGCCTTTCCCTTCTAATCTCAAGAGTGACGCTTTAGATTACGGCGAATCACATTACATCGGCCCTATCAAAGGTATACAACCCAAGTCCCAAGGTTGGGTAGATGGGTATCCCCACGATGCCTTTCTGAAATTGACTGCCTATTTCGGCCGTGCCTTTAAAGAAGGCCGATATCCTGATATAAATGAAGATCGTATTTTTGCCTGGGCTCGCCCACACCCCAAAAGCGCTATCGCCTCTAATGACCGTGTTCCTCGACCAGAAAATTGGGACTTGGTGAGGAATTTCAATTCTAGACGTCCTGACGCTGATCTCTCTTCACAGACCGACGATAAGGTGTGGGTGGTCGTGCTCGCAAAATTACCTGCCACGGTTTTGATTTACGGACCAAAGAATCTCAAGGTCGACGTGCGCGAGGGTCTCACAAAGATATCTCAAACTCTAGAGCCCGGGGATGGAATGGAGATTGTGATGCAGCGTAATGAAGTCGTTGTGACCGAATGCTCCCCCTTAGAATTTACATTCAATCCTAAACCCCTGCTGTACAATTTCAATGTATTTACAGCCTGTTCTTAAAAAAGACATTTTTTCGTCGTATTTCTCCTCAGATCTGTAGATTATCTACTCATTAGAATTACTACATTGACTGCCGGCTCGGAGTTGGAGTCCATCTACTACGCGCCTATATCATCATCATATATGTCAGCGCCACCTAAGTAGCGCCACATCACTTGTCTCCCTCCGCATAAACTCCGAATCTCCAAATTGCGCTCATGAATACTTGTCTTTGAACACTCCCCATGCAAAGGTCTCAAGATGCTGAAGTATGCTTGGAAACTCAATAATGCCATCGTCTCTCATGTTACTTTAGTCAGTGTACGCTCAAGCTACGAAATACGAATTGGCTCGCGACTATGACTCGGCCTTCCGTTTGTACATCAAAGCCGCAGAAAATTTCCTTCACCTCAGTAGATCTGCTTCTGCTGCTGAGAACGAAAAATCACAATGCAAGAAGAGCGCCAGCAAGGCGTTAGACAGGGCAGAGAGAATCAAACAGATGACGGAAAAGTCGAGGTCAAGCACGAGTTCAGCATTAGGCCAATCCAAAGCCACGACGAAACTTACCCCAGTTAGTGTGGACTACTTCTCTCTTGGTGCGTTGCTGTTTTATCATGCAAGATGTTGCTGATTGTGGCATCAGAGGAACAGTCGTACGTGTTGAAGAGGGGCGGGAACGTCAACGGAGCAGTATTTCCACTATGGCACGAGCCTGGACCTAAATTGTGTGTTCGTTCTATTTATTTCTTGCTATTCCTGATCCATACCATCATAGTATTCAGAAACAACCCCGGCTCTCTTCCTTGCAATCCAAATACGGGGCTGTTTGGAGGAATGAAGTCGAAGGTGTTCTCACGGAGGATCGCCCTATATTTCCTCAAGATATATCACAGAATATCGTCACGGATTGTTCCGTGTGTGCTTCTATATCTTGTTGTATCGAGCATGACAAGCGATTTGGGTCAAATGTGAGTATTAAGATTGTAGCCGGACTTGGCTGTGAATTCAAGCTTCTCGTGTAGCTTGCGAAGTCGATCTTCCAGACATCCTTTCAAACATCTAAATCTGCCAATGTCCTGCGATCGGGACATTCATATGACCTCAAGCTGCTTTTTAATGGGGGCTGGAGACGAGTGAGCACTGTCGGCTTCCATACCACCAACATAAAAATTGATATTCTGTCCTAGATTAGTAAGATTGAGTTTATCCTTTATTGATTATATCGTTGAATTCTTGGCAGGCATTGACGCACAACTACCATATCATCCGACATCAGGAGTTCCGTTATGCTTGGCCTGTAAATCATCTGATATAGGCCAACTTGAGGCTAGGAAATTGAAAACATCCTGGCCGAGTATCCTCGAGAAGGGGGTGAGCATCCTCTAGCGCTTTATTTGACTGATTATGACATGTAGCTTGTTAGTACATGGCATTAATGGGCGGATATGACTTTCCTGGATCGTAAGAGTCTCTATGATGGCACCTTGAAGTGGCTCATTGGGTTTTCCACTTAGGAACACCACCATTGACCTCCAGTAATTCAGACCTTTCTAAACAGCTGCCTTCTCTCACTTTCGAACAGCGCTTTGACAGGCTGGATTCCTGAGTACATTGAAATCAGAAGGTATGTGGTTCACATTCAATAATATTTCTTTGGCTTAAGTATCCTAGTGCAACTTTCGAAAGCGAAAAGACTTGGTCCAGAATATTGAAAGGCTACACTGGTGGAAGTTGTATGTTCACCCTTGGCACGGGCACCAGACCGGGCATTCAGTGGAGAGACAGAATTCTCCTTTCAACTCATAGCTACGCTGTGATCGGTGGGTTCAATATATTATGTATACGCTTTCCACTGAAAATATTAGCTAGATGTACGCGAAGAGGAAAATGGGCGGTTCGTCATCGTTCTTGATTCTTGGGCTCATTCCGATTCTCTTGACATCGCACTTCGGGCACGACCGGGTATGTTATTCCCTTGTCGACTCAGGTAGTCGCTCATACACATCGAAAGACTTGCTCGAAATCCCTTGGTCAGAAGTATTAAATGTTTTTGAGGGAATATATCTGAATTGGGATCCCAAAATTTGGCCGTCAAGTCTGATATATCATGCGTGCGTCACGCCGTTATCCATTTCCTTCATCAAACCATTGGCATGAACCGTTGTGTTCCAGGATGTGGAAACCAAGTTCGGACAGAAAAGGTTCGTGACAATATAACAACCTTCGTATAGGATGTCAATGGCCTGTCTTGTATAGTATGCACTCACCAAGTTCGTGCCAAGCTTGACCGCACTGGGTCTGATTCTGAGGAGATCTGGGTTCTACTCACGAGACATATCAACGACACAAGACAACCTGGAAAATTCATTGCTTGTAAGGTCCAAGTAGAAGATGACGAAGCAGGGTGTTCCGTTGTATGTGATAGACAACAAGTATCACACAAGGTACGATAGTACACGGCTTGTAAAATGCAATCCTGAACACTTGCAGGGAACATTCACCAACAGTCCTCATGTGCTAGTCCGTCATACACGTTTTCGAAACTGCAATTTCGACTAACGCTTCATAAAGACTAAGACGAAGATACCGACGCTCACCCAATCTGTCTCTCTCTTAATCTTGGTCCTATGCGAGGATCCTACTGAAGACACTGGTTTCGATGTGACGATATTCGCACCGAAACACTTCAGACTTCATTGGGAGAAAGATATTCCCAAGTTCCCTTTCTCTAAAACGGTCTGCTTTTCAACTAAACATCATCTCGTTTCTGATTAGTTCCTCTACATAGTTGGAAGACATCCTGACCAGTAAAAACTCTGGTGGAAATCATACATATCCCACCTTCATGATCAATCCTCAATATCATTTACGTATATGTTCTTCCAAACAGGACAAAGTGAGAACAGCAAGACGTACGACAGTCGTCGTAGAAACCAACAAGGACCTTCCTGTTCAGGTCATGATTTGCTGGTCACAAGGCCAAAGACTTTTTGAGTACGATATCAAGCTTTGATTTCTTCTCAACTGCTAACTTGTCCATTTTTAAGACCTTCACAGAAGAGCATTGCTGCTACTTCGGGATCATACACTCATGGACTTGCTCGACTTACCACTCAACTTCTACGTAAGTGCTCTTTTCAAGTTCACTACTCTCGCCTCCTCCACCACCCCCGTCACCCTTTCAGCTTTAACTCCCACAGTTGATCGTCTAATCTGTCTTGTAGCTGGGGATTATAGCATTATCGTGTCCACATTCGAACCGTACCAAACGGGGGCATTCTCATTGAGCGTAAGTAGTTTCGCGAACATCGAGGTCACTCCGATCCCTCAGGAAGGGGCTGGAATGTACAGAAAGGCTATCAAGGGTACATGGTAAGGACGTTGTCTGGTTGACAGGGAAACTGAATGAAGAGTTTTGTAGGGATACCTTGTCAGCCGCTGGAGGACCGAGCTTCAACCGATATTTCCAAAATCCAATATATGAATTGAACCTTCCAGCACAATCTCAAATCATGTACAAGCTCCCGCTGATCTTTGAAAATCCAGGGAAGGCTGACCTAATGTTCGTTTATACTGTAGGATCCGGCTACAACTCCTTCGTCCATCTGCGGGCGTCAGCTTGAACGTCACTATTTATCCTGCATCAGTAAACAGAATATCTAGTGATCACCATGTTGCGACTTCCGGTCCCTACGACGATCCAATCACCGGAGTGGTAACCTCTTTGACATTATTACCCAGAGGCCAATATTGGGTTATTCCTTCGACTTATAATCCCGGAACGCAAAGTGGATTTCAATTGATCATGTTTAGCACACTCGCATCAATTGAAGTTAAGCCAAAACTATTATGAAAGGAGTAGGAACGGATTAAAGTTAAATGACATCTTTACTGCGTTCAACATCTTTTGCGGAGAAATGAGTCGGAAGTCAGGAGAAATTGGTTGACTCTTTTCAAGGTATCCCGTGCAGGATTGGCTTCCGGTCTCGCAGCAATAATCCACTCCAAGCGCATCCGGATGGTTCGCTTGTCTAGAAGGGTGTAATTAGTGGGGAGACAAAGGATATAGATGATCAAAGTGTTGTATCTACCAGGAATAATATCATGTAAACCATCTACCACGAAGTTGCCTTCATCATCAAAATATTTTTGGAGTGCTGCAGTTGCTACACCGATGCTCAAATCCTTGCCACTATCGCAAGCAATACATACGCGCATTCCCTGGGCTAGTTGCATTTGTACGAATTCCATTGCACGAGGAAGAACCATTTGCAAAAAATGAGCATGGCCCTTCTTTCCATTAGGTATGGGAATGTAAAGCACATTCCGAGCATCGTCTGCAGACGTGTCATTCCGATCGCGAGAAGAAAGGACAAGATATGCAACATCCCCGGATTCCCCAAAAAATATAGCGGATAGGTGTCCTGGAGACCTCACTATCAGGTCAGAGGTTGCACACAGAAGAATGCGCCCATTGACTCGAGCGACGGCGGAAGGTAGACGGGCGGTATTAGTATTCTGCGCGCTATTTACGCAGGAGGTGATGATTGTCTCCACTTCGGATCGATTTGCGGACAAGATACGTTCACGGTTGTGCCAAAAGATGTCAGGATTAAGACCCTGAGGACCACGGTCAGTAGCAGAGGGCTGACGCAAGGAGGGGTTGGACTATACCATCCCCCATAATTCGTGATCATCTCCAGAACCTTGGATGTACACGAAACCCCCACTACGCCTGTCAAACCCCTCTTCAACCTGACGCGAGGCAGAAACACAAATAATGGGGATGAAGGTCTGTTCTGTTGGAGAGAACTTGGGAAATGAAGATGAGGTCGGGGTTATCCATATCTTGAGAGATGCGCAATCAGTACGGGCGAATCATTGTAGACCAAATTATGTCTGCTCACTGGTCGAAGCGGTAAGGACAAGTCCGGAAGACTGTAAGACGATTTCTAAGATCCAAGATTTAGTGATGATGCTGAGTGAACATAGACATACAGGAATACATTCAACGATTCTGCCCAACCATCCAGCAAAGGCACGATCTGCGAGTGCTCCTGGGTGCTGACCACGCCTGGAGGTGTATGAAGTGAAATGTCCCAGTTCTGGCGAGGCGTTTCTCTATGTCGCAAACGCACTGCACGATTCACGACAGTACACCAAACTGACGTCTAATGTTGACCACTAAAGTGTTATATATGAATGAAGATTGCTCACTCGGGACTGTTTTTGACAAGGCATCCGGCATTCGTTTCCCCGATCTCGTAGAGTCAACTAAGACGATCCTTCACGCGTCTGCAATGAGAAAGGCATTTGAAGGACGCTGAACATACACACCCTCTGTGGCTCAAATTTAATAAATGTAGATTGGCCCTCCGAAGGTTGAACCTCCAATTGGCAAAGTGACCATCAGTGGACTTGAAGTAAACAGGATGAGGAGCAGCCTGATAGAGGGATCAGGGCTCAATACGCGCATCGAAAATTTGCGAAAAGCATGCCAGACAGGGATCTGTATACCATGCCCCGCATCTCAAGTTGGCTGAGGTTTAATGAGAACGAATTGGATTCTGAACGCGAATAAAATTTGATCGCGTACGGAGGAGAGGGAAGTCGGGATAAGCATCGTGGACCTGGTTTACAAAGTTAATATCTTCTTCAATTGATTTCAAGCGGTTATAGATGTCCAATGATTCTTTTCTAAGATGAGAAAAGGTTTTATTTCTGTCAGTGTTCATGGTCGTCGGTTTGGGGGGGTGAAAAATGGGAGCACGTGAATTGATGTAATCATGACAGTTTAGCTGAGGGTTAATATAACTTTACCTTCAATCATGTTCTCGACCTCGTTATGGTCCTCGGTCCTGACACTTCTTCCTTTCATAGGGCTTGCGCAGGCTGCAGCTGACACCGTTCCGACAAAAATAGGCAATCAGACGATTGAGAGGGTGTGTACCAGCAAAATCTCCTCGCTGGCTTATTTGACGTTCAACAGACAGTACAACTCCGTACACACTCATTATTTGCACCATACATTGACCAAGATCTGCAAAATAGGTCCGACTGCTATCTTTTTGACTTCGAATCCAACGTGCTCATTTTCTGTTGCAGATGGTGGGATTTCGGTGCCGATTCTTATGTCGTACGTGTTCATTTACTTTGCTCATTTCCAACTCTGAACTCTTGGTAGAATACGAATAAACATATTCGTCTCACGCGGAACCGCCCCTCACAAATGGTTCGTCGAAATTCATGCATCAGATTCAGTAGTTCAAGTCAATCATATCCTATGATAGGGCTGGTTATGGTCTCGACTTCCATTAACTTCGCAAAACTTCGTAATTGAGGTGGAATTCAAGGTGTGCTGCGCCTCACTGTAATTTTATACACAAATTCTTACCCATCCACATAGGTTTCTGGGGAATCAGGACATCTATTCGGAGACGGCATGGCCATCTGGCTAACAACAGAGCGGACACAACCTGGCCCAGTGTTTGGCAGCAAAAGTCTGTTCATCACGCTTCAATGGAATCCCACGCTCACGACGCGTTTTCGTAGATGAATTCAACGGCTTGGGATTATTCTTAGACACGTACGATTGCCTTTACAATGTCAAGAAGGTCGTGGACTGATTCCATCTCCTTATGTATGAAGCTATGCGAATGCTCGGCATACTTTTGCTTTTCCGCGCATAATGGCGATGTTGGGAGACGGAAAGACAACGTACAACTACAACAATGACGGAGATGGTCAGGAGATTGGGGCATGTTCAGTATGTCTTCTCAATAATCATTTAGCAATACAATCATTCAGCTATACCTCTCTCTAGGCGAATTATCGGCGAACGAACGTCGCCACCAAATTGAAAATCACATATGTCAAGGACACCTTTCTAGACGTAGGTTCTTCTATTTCGAGCTGGCCTATGCAGTAGGTCTAACCTACTTTCTCAACAGGTTAAAATTCAGTATCAAGCTTGTATGTATATTTTCCCTATCCACCTTATGAGGATCTGACACCGTTTCGACCTATAGGGGATGAATGGACCGATTGCATTTATGTTGAGAACATTTCACTCCCTCCAAGCCCTTTTCTTGGATTTTCTGCCATGACTGGCGACGTCGCAGACGCACACGAGTATGTGTTCAATTTTCAATAGCTACCTACTGCTTTTCTTATCATGTTCTACAGTGTTATCGCCGTAACGACCTCATCTGCCATCACTTCCGCCATCACTTCTAAGACATCGAAAAGCATCCCTGGCACAAAAATACCGGGTGTCTCCTCTTCAACATGGACGGGATTTTTCTTTAAGCTGTTCCTATTCAGCGGTGTCTGTGTGGGAGGGTATTACGGATGGATGGAGTATCAGAAGAGAAACAAATATGGTGGAGGTATGGCAAATTTTGGAGGTATGTCATTAAGTGGCGGGGGTGGTTTCGGTGGGGTATATACAAATCCGAAACGGTTTTAAGCTATCCGAGTAAGGTGTATATGATATAAAGCAGAGTGCTATCATTGACGTTGGATGAGCCTGTGAGATACTGTTAATCTTGAACCCATGCACTATAACATAACATATTGACCATTTTGGAGGGAGAAAGGGCACGTAGTTATATTGTACAGATTTATATAAGTATGTATTGAGTCAAACATCTACTTGCAGGATAAGAAGAATACTACACTACTGGGATTGATATGCTACGTGAAATGTGCTGGCAGATATGCAAAATGACAGGACAGGGTGGCGTCAATGCGACGAAAACTAGTGACACAGATTGGAAGCGAAGATGATACTACTGCTACGATGGATAAAGACTACACTACAAAGGGATCCTGATGCAAGAGATGGAGAGAAACATGTAACTACGAGCAGGACCAGAGATATACGGAGAGAACAAAATCAGCCCATGAAAAGGGAAGAAAAAGGTTATAAGAAAAAAGATAAGGTTCGAATTGTACGGATTAAACTCCGTATCGTGTAGCAAGCCGTTCTTGAATGACGGGGGGAAACGCTGCAACTTGAGCAGCCCACCCGGCTTCGTCGTGCTGCTTAAAGCCTTGTAACAGCGTCTGGAACATATTATTGAGTTCCGGCGATGGCTGATTCCACCGGACGATTGAGTTACAGAACCAAAGTAAACTCTGCATCAAGTGAACGTGATGAGTAGATGCCCCAGATTCAGGACTATTACTCACCTTCGCAATACCAGCTGGATTTGCTTGTACCATGGTACACAACCCGCGGAATGCCGAGTCCTTCTCTTCGTTATCCCGGATTTCATAAAGTGCCTGACACCAAGCTTGGGCGAATTCAGGAAGATGTGGCGCAACAATGCCAGGATGCATGAGGCCGATACGTCCTATTGATACAGCCGCATTCTCGTGCAAGCTTCGAGGTGCCTTGGGATGAAGAAGGATCGGGATTAACCTCGAAATGAGTGGGTTCACCCATTGTTGAAATTCGGCATCATCTACAATTATCATTGAATGAGCTTGACATTAACAGAAGAAAAGGGTTGGTTTACCTCGTCCGTAGCGTAATGCAACTTCTCCAACAGACCATGCTGCATTGTTTGATGCACTGACAAATTCAACTTTCGGCTCCGGGTCCAACTGCAAGATCAATTCTGACATGATACCAGGCATGAAGGGCCTCAAGATACTGAAGCAACCCATGGCCATGTCACCAACGAGAGCATACGCAGACTGACGAACAGGAGCTTGCGGATGCTTCAAGCAAACTGTGAGTAGAGTCAATAAATTTGGTTGGCTCTGGTTGATGAGCACTTCCAGCGCCATGCCTAGGCCCTGAGTAAGGCCCGACAAAAGATCCAGTGCCACTACTAGGAACGATTTGTCTGGTTCGTCGAGTTCAGGGTTCTGTTGAAATTGCTGGTACTGAAGAAGTGAGGTGTGTATGATGGAACAACATCTCTCGAAGACTGGAGGTGCATATGGAAGAAAGGCTTGTCCCATAGCAATTGTTACTGAGGCCAGGCACTGAAAACAGTTGAGAGATGATAAATTAAGGGGATGCATAATATATACCTCGAGTAGTGGTATCAAATCAATATCATCGTCTTTCAGCTTCGCCCAACGATTAGTGAGCGGAGGCATTAGGATTTCAACGTATGTCGGATTGGAAAGCTCGCGCCCAACGGCGTCAGCTAAGGTTCCAACGGCGTCATATAAGATTAGCATATTCTTGTGCTGATACTTGTCGAAGGCGAAGACCAAATTGCGCAAGACCGGCTCGAGATACGGCGCAAGTTCTATCCCAGCATCTTCTTCCAAAGTCGCAAACGCACTACATCCCGCTTCTTGAACCCGTTTGTTATTATCGAGGACCATGCGCAAAAGCTTTGATACAAGGATGAATAATTCGAAGACTAGCGACTCTAAAGGAAAACTTACTCCTTCCATTGTAGGTATGAAGTATTTTTGCTTGTGTTCGTCTGAAATGGGTTGTGTAGTCCAACTCGCATAACGCCCGAGCGTCCAACAAGTGATTGACCTGACAAGAGGCTATGTATTCTATTAGCGCTGCGCGAATGAGATGGCAAGAATGAAGGATACCTTCGAATCATTAAGAGTGTTAATGAGGTACGGAACGAGAGTTGGCAAGTGAGGCTCGATCGCTTCAATACAACCTGAGAGGCAATGTGAACAAGACAGTCGATAGCATCGAGGATCAACACGACTTGCCCTCTGCCATAGCACCAAGTGCGAGAATACCACTCTCCCTCTGCAGCCAGTCATTACTCCATAATTTGTCTTTCAAAGGAGCCAGCAATACATTAAGTAAATCGCCGCTAAACCTGACAGCGAGGACATCAAGTGCAGCCGCAGCGCACTTGCGAAGATTCCATTCAGTGGACATCTCGTCCACAAATTCGTCGTCATCCAGATAATCATCATCCTCGTCGGAGTCAATAGTCTCCTCACCGTACGCACCGATGCGAGCTTTCGGGGCTTCAGTGGGCTCACCATTCGCGTCCCGCTCGTACCCGTGTGACTTGCTACCATAGTGGCGAGGCTTGATATCCGTCTCTTTGTCAGGAATTTCAGCATCTTCAGCGTCACCTTCGAGCCATAGCAAATCGTCTTCGCCGTAGATCATGCAGTCCAACAAGACTGGGGCAACCTTGCCAAGTAGAGGCTGTAGGAATGGGGCCAGTTCAACGTCCTCAGCAAACGTCAACCAAAATTCGCATGCTTCGAGGGCAACATTCTCATTCTTGTCCTTTGTGGAGTAAAGCATGTACTCGGCCACATGGTCCATCTCGGGCATTAGCTTTTCTGGCCGTGCAGCGAGCAGCAAAACAAGAGCTTGACATACGTGTCGACGGACCGAAGGGTCATCGTCGGAAGCTCGTCTGAACAAACAAGCGATGAACGAATCGATATGAAGAAAGAGAGATTGACAGTTCACAGGAACAAAATACGAAAGGCAAGCGACTGCATGCGAACGCATCTTGGACGATGGGTGGTCTGCAAGGGAGAGAAATTTGGGGATCATGAAGTCTAGAGGTCGCGTTCCACCGATTTCTACGTCCAGTTTTCGCGGATAATCCTCGCAAGCTTTCTCCAATACGTTGAACGCGGCCTGATCAACATTTCATGCAAAACCCACTTAAAAAACAATTGAATCTGCGTACCTCTTGCTTATCCAGATCGGAAAGGTCCAACATGTTCACCAACTGAGATAAACACTCTGGCCAGTTTCTGGGTTCAAGGACTCCAAGGAAGGATACGATATCTTGACCAGCGGCATTTCGAATCATCACAGACCCGTCATCAAAGGCGCGGAGCACGGCGGCCTTAACATACTGGGCCACTTCTGGAGATGAGCTGAGGATGAGACGTGCGTTGTTTTTTAAAAGGTAACCGGCTATCGTTCTAATTCGTTCTTCTTCTTGTGGCATCGCTGTCAAGATGTGGGCCAGATAGGCTATGTAGTCTGGGACACGGGTGAAAGAGTTGAGTTTCTATAAATTAGATAAGTGATCAGTGGAGAAAATGTCGAAAAACCCTCTGTACTTACTTGGGTGATATTTCGCTGGACAGTGACGTTCATGTCTGTTGATTCATGAATGGTCGACAGAATCTCCTGCAAACCTGCAGGCTGAGGGTTCCAAGACGACATTATATGGTGAAAACGCGTTCAGAAATACAGAAATTCGTGAAAAGAGGCGAGGGTTGGAACGTGAAAGAGGAACACTAAGATTGTGGTCACGGCCAGGTTACAAAATGTCACGGGTGTCACATGCAGAGTCATTCATGATTCGAGGTAAGTTGGAACTCGGCACAGTCCCACATAAGTACGTTCGTTCCATTGCAATGCTCCTCGACGACAGTGCAAACTCAAAGTACATAGATTCTTGAGAGCCAAATAGAATTCTCGTCGCGATTCCTTACATCCCCTTGGCAAGTTAAGTACAGTGATCTGCATCTCGACATCATGATGTCCATGACAGCAAAACAGGAAATCTGATGATTTCTGAACCATATAAGACTTGACAAGTTCGATGAATCGATTGATCAACAGAATGAGAAAGAAGGCAATGAGGAGGGGAGGCTTCCGAAGATACTCATCATTGATGATGAGAACAAGAGATCGAATATGTCGAACAGAAGGACTATCGTCCTCTTCATTTTAGGCCGGTGTAGAAGATGAAATCCAACTCGACTTGACGTAGTAATGCTCTCAACACGTAGCACCCAGAGGGCTGACGAGTTAGCGTCGTTCCTGTGAAGATGATCGAAGGGCCCTGTTCAAGACAGACATCGGTCAGCGCTCGTAAGAACCACGGCAATAAATTGGCATTGCCGTGAAGTAATCACACTTACAAAGCCTTCTAATCCATATGCCATCGAGGTCCTGTTGGCCAATGCCTACGAATGATTAAGAGCAGTGGATATCGGCGCGCACAGGACGTTTCCTACTCCCCGCCCTATCAAGTACATATCTTCAGATTTTTTATGCTGCATGTCAAGTCACAACCAAAAAAATGAACTTGCCCGTTAAGAATATCGACACCACATACACACCGCTTGAATCATACTCAAAGACGTCTTGTACAATCCACTGGCAGCCGGGTCCGAGAACGCCATACGTAAAGGCGAAAATGGTGTACAAAATTAGAGTGGGAGATAAACCCCATTAAAAAAAGACCGCCAATGTGGATCCGAGTGGCGATAACACCATCAAATTGCGTAGATTGTAATCAGATAACCAACCGAGGAAAAGGAGAATCATGCGCTGAAGATTCTGGAAGATGATTATTTCGTGCTGACTCCTGAGCAAGGCTTAGCCAGCGACACCTACAGGTGTTCGCCATCTAGAAGGCGCCCATCGTCCCTTCGATTGGGCTTAGATTTTGGGACGCAAATACTGGACCATCTCAGTATTACAAGCAAGAAAAGAGAGATCAATGATATGCTCACCTTGGAAGATGAGAGTATGAAATAAAATTTCCCAATACTTGAGTGATATTGAAAACCGATAAGATCCAGGAAAGTGCGAGAACTAATAGATTGCGCGTTTACATTCGGAGATGAGGTCTCCAAAAGAACCGGCAACGGACCCTGAATACAGCCAGGAATGTCGCCTGTGCATGCTGTTGAAGAATGTTACCTAAATGCATAGGATTACAGTGTAATAACTTACTATTGCAAGTGAAGTAATCTTTTGGCCGCTTCGATTGCGAATGGGCAAACCACCAACACCTTGAAGGACAGTTTTCACGAAAGAAAAACTTCGTACTAAAACCTGAGTATGGTATTCCATTTGCCTGTGAAGATGAATTAAATTCCAAAGCAGACTTAACAAGTTTCGGATGTACCAGACTTCTCGTGAGAGAGAACCATTTGAAGAGCCAGATAATCGTAGGGTAGGGTAGTATAAAACACCTTTTTGATATAAGATCGGTCTTCAGTAGTGAATAAAATAAAGCACGCACACCCTCCAACACTGAACATAATGCCCTGCGTCAGAATTAACTCCCCCGGATTCCGCGAAAAAGCTGCTCTAACAAGTCCACCAATCGATAGAACGTATTCCACGCGCATCACCATTTTTTTTTCCAATGTGGATATCGGCCCGTAGGGGGAAGCAAGACGATAGAAGACATGTAAAATATCCCCATACCGCAGCAAGAGTTAATAGTACTAAGGAACTGTGTTCGAAGGTGGATGAGGAGATGAGGTAGTATTCGAGAAACACTCCGTCAGAGAAGGGAAGACTGCGGCCTGATCGAAGACTATTGTAGAAGCCTTGAAATGGAAATGGAGAACTGAATACCAGAGAAAACAGTCAAGGACCCATGCACTACTCAAATACGCCTAGGCGTGAAATCCTTCATCCCAAAGTATAACCGACATTGAGTAAATCAAGTGATCCAAGTTCGGAAAATTAACGATTTTCCTGCAATTTTTCTTACCGCAGCACACAAGCTACATCCCGGGAATCACTTGCGGGACGAGTCTCGACAAACGTTGATGCACTATTGTTCCCATCGACAGGTTGTTTGAACGTGTCACAGCTGGGGCAGGTTTCCATTGTTGGATCCATTCTATCCTGTAAGCTCCAGTGAGATCGGTATTGTAAATGAAAACGTGGTGGGTAAGGACATACCTCAGGAGGACTGTTGCGTTGAAAAGGTATGTGGTTTAGACTTTACAAAATGCACCGGATTGACCGGTTCTCCTTCTCATTTGGAGTTTCTGACTGTTTATATCACGGCCATGATCGTCAAAGCCGATGTATCATCTTGGTTGAAGGATTGAGTTGAGACTTGGAGTTCAAATTATGGCGTTATTCTTCGAAAACGCCCGCTACAGTCGGGAACGAGTTCAATCACCGTGCCGCTGATCATGAGGGGGTTGCAGGAGACCTCGAGAGATGAATTAGCAGGTGACAACTGGTCGGTAGAGAGAATTTTATTTATACAAATAGATGAAAGGTGGCAAAATGAGTGACGCGAAGTTTGGCGCCTGATGAAGAAGGAATAGAGTCGGAATTGGTCGCAGTTCACTGGTCCCCAGGTAAACACTGTCAGCACGCTTACATATTTATTCTGATCTTCTTTCATACCACATCCAGTGCCGGTCTCGCATGATGGATGACACGAATCAAAAGGTTTCTGGCATAAATAAAACTAGTCTAAAAAGGTGACACTGACAGTTTTCTTGCTAGCCTTTCGTTCATCTTTCCATCCTCCCTCGAATTCCCGACTCCAAAACCTGCAGGCTCCGTACCTCCGCATCGGTTGTACATCGGAGCAGGAAAACATTCCAGTCGCCATCGCGGGGATCCGTGCGGCCAGCCTACATAGGGCATATAATTTGCGCGGTTTCACATGCTAAAATCCGCCCTTGACCTTAGGAGCTATTTTACGTCGAAGTACCCGACTACTCTCATCTTTGCTCTATAAACCAATGTCGCGCAATAACGGATCCAAAAAGCCAGTCGGGTTTGCTACTCATGTCACTGCTGGCGGGATTGCAGGAGCATGCGAGGCGGTCTGTATCCTATCTTAGTTTCTCGCGTGTATTCCACTGACTTATCATTTCAGCTAACATGCCAACCTCTGGATACTATCAAAGTCAGGATGCAGCTATCGAGATCAGGCCGACTTCCTGGGGTATGTGATCCTTCTTCCAAATTCGCCATTACCCCACTCAAGAGTTCGCGCAGACAAAACCTCGCGGGTTTTTCGCTACTGGTACCTACATCGTTCGTCGAGAAACGCCTCTCGCACTTTACAAGGGCCTTGGTGCCGTCCTCTCCGGTATTGTTCCAAAGATGTCTATCCGTTTCGCCAGTTTCGAAGCCTACAAGACCGCTCTTGCCGACCCAGAAACAGGCAACACGAGCATGGGAAACATATTCATAGCTGGATTGGGGGCTGGAACAACAGAAGCCGTCGCAGTAGTCACGCCCATGGAAGTTGTGAAGATCAGACTTCAAGCCCAGCAGCATTCACTAGCAGATCCGTTAGAAACGCCGCGATATCGAAACGCTGGTCACGCTGTATATACCATCGTTAGAGAAGAAGGGTTCTCCACGTTATATAGAGGGGTCTCGTTAACTGCTCTTAGACAAGCAACAAATCAAGGTGCGGTGGATTTGAATGTGATATGCGGGGAAATTCGCTTATAGACGTCGTCTTCATTTCAGGTGCAAACTTCACTGTATACCAGGAAGCTAAGAAATTTGCCCAACGACTACAACCTGGCGTGGAGGAGCTCCCGTCATACCAGACAATGATGATTGGTCTATTGTCAGGCGCCGCAGGGCCTTTGTCTAATGCGCCCATCGATACAATCAAGACCCGTATGTCCATTCACGTTTCAACTTCACTATGCTTGTACTTACTTTCATTTTTCCAGGTTTACAAAAATCTACCGCGACACCTGGATCTTCGGCACTTTCTCGAATCATGACTATCGCAAGAGAAATGTGGATACAGGAAGGAGTGAAGTCATTTTATAAAGGGTTGACGCCTCGCATACTGCGTGTAGCGCCTGGCCAGTCGGTGGTATTTGCTGTGTACGAACGTGTCAGTGGAATGATTGAGAGGATGAGACCGAGTACTGGGGGCGATGCATACTCAGAGTGAACGACGGACATGTTGTACAGTAACTTGATTCCACCGCGTCGTGCTAGAAAATATACATGTAAATCGTGGGAATTTGCGGTTCTTGCTATTCGTTCCCGGTTCAGGCTGCCGATTAGCAACTCCCACATATTAATTGACATCTTCGATGAACAGTCCGAGTGAATCTTCATCACATGCTAAAATACCAAGAAGATTGCCTCCGGAAGGAGCTCAAGTCCTCCGAGGTGCGTTAATTCTCATCTATATGAGTGGACTGTGCTCAGCAGATCTATAGAGGTATTTAACAAAGGTGTCACCCATCCCAAGAAGCTTCAACGCGAAGCTCTTCTCAAAAAAATCCATGTGCGCATTCAACAGTATCTCCGTTTCGACAGTTGTTTTAGTCCAGTCCACATTACCAGGCATTAGGCTTAACCTGGTATACCGACGAGAAAATGAAGTCTTGGTTCATTCATAACCGGAGTGAGCGTAATTGACTTGCGAATACGCTCATGAATAACCTTTTTTTCCGTTCAGAGAAACTAATCACGCCTCAAGAGACAATGGATGCTACCGTCGTCAATTCCACCGCATCCCCTGTAGACATCCACAAACTGACTATCAAGATTCCCGGCCCAAAACCTGACTCAGATCCAGTGGCCGAACCATCGTCTGCTATGACCATAGATACCCCTCAGTCTGGCAGCGGTACTGTTAAGCACAAGCGTCGCAGCGGCAAGGCCAGGTTGACCAACTACCCTTCGATCAAGCTTTCTGCAGTCCCTCAGCTGGTAGTTCTCGCAGATACAACAAAAAAACCGTCTATGAGGTTGATCGAGACCTGGGCATCGTTATTGAAAGCCTCACCGGACGATGTAGAGCGATGGGTGAAAGACCATAAAGCACAAGGGGCGAACCAAGTTGAGAGTACCGCTCCTACAGTACCATCGGGCCCTTCAGAGCCTGCTCGCACCTCAGTACAACCAGACGAATCCGAATCTGATGAAGAACCTTTGATAATAGGCATTCACTCGCCGCAAATGCAGTCAGAAAATACTTTAATTAGCCAACCGCCCCAAATACCACCCAGAGATCAGCTTCTCCTTGCTATCCATACTCGCTTATCTAGTGCTACGAATGATTCATCATCTCCCGAGACAGTCTCGGAATTCAATACACTCTTCAAGCCGTATGGAGCCATGATGGAGCGTTTCGTTCAGGATATAGAGACAGGAAAGCTCGAGCGTATGGGTTGGGGCTTTAATCGAAAGCTCGTTCAATCTTGATATGGCCATAAGTTCACATTATAATCTGGTGTATGTACGATAAATGATAGCAGTTATGTATATAGATGCAGGGTACAATAGTGCATAAGTTATAGCCGCCACTCAGCGAAGAATTCACTGTCACGCGAAATAAAAGCAAGCATGTAATCCACCGTTGTTCCGCCATCCTCCTCTCCATCTTCATGGTCTCCCTCGTGCCCTTCCCCAACGGTCATGGTTCCTGACCGACCCTTAAGAGCATCCTCTTGATCATCTCCCCCAACAACACCCAACCCAAAATCTGCTTTATCTGCACCTTCCATATCCACCTCCTCCCGTTCTGCTATTCTCGCAGCCAGTGAATCCTCGCTATCTTCAAATTCTCCCAGTGCTTTTGTCAAAAGTCCACTATCAATTCCACGTTGTACTCGAGCCACCTCAATATTATTAGCCTCGTCTTCCGAATCGAATTTGAAAATAGATCTCCAGTCGAATTCTCCTTTCTGGATCACCATATCGTCCAGGAATCGTTTCTGATTGGCTTTTAGTAGCATGGCTTCTTCAACGGTGTGTTCGGAGATAAAGCGGTAAATATGTACATCCCGGATTTGACCTATACGGTGAGCTCTGTCTTCACACTGGCGGTCCATCTGCGGATTGAAATCGCTATCGTAAAATATAACGGTATCGGCTCCAGTCAAGCTATACAAAAGTGTTTCAGATGCCAAGAATTGTACGAATAGAGCTAAAATGCTTACTTGATACCTACGCCCCCACTTCGAGAACTTGCGATAAAGCAAAATATTTTCTCGTCTTTATTGAACCGTTCAGTGACGTACTGCCTGTCTTCAATGCTAGTAGCACCGTCGAGCCGTAGATACAGATAACCGTGAAAATTCAGATAGATCTCAAGGATATCCAGTATCTTCGTCATCTGGGTGAACAACAGCACTCTATGACCACCTGCCTTCTTCTCTCTAAGTAGAGCAGTGAGCCGTTGCAGCTTCCCGCAATCATACTGGAGAAGAGATGGAGGAGGAAAAGCTATGCTTAATTTCACAGCAGATTTGTGAAGAACGTCGTCGAAGGTCAGAGGAACGCTTTTCAAGATGCTGGGTAACAGACCAGGAAGAGCGAATCGAGCGACATCGCGTGCGACCACATTAGATGTGATGAAGGCAAACCTATCGATCACATCAGACATTTCGTTTGAACGCTCCTCATATGATAACACGGCTTTGTGCAGGGAAGGAAGCACAGTATCCACGAAGGCCGCTGTCCTTGTGTTGACATGACATAAGGGAATAATAGGGTTGTACATTGAGCGAACGAGAGAAATAGTTTCGGAGCTGTATATAGGCGATCTAGAGTAGCGCAGACGATTTAGATAGGCCGTATGAGACCACCGTGCTGCAAGGCTCGCGCGACGTCGCCATTCTGCATACTGTAGAAATTTTTCGATTCTCCTAACGTCTTTCGGGGGGGCGGGACCAGGATGTTCGCAAAGTCGCATCATGATTGCACCCGCAGCTTCAGCTTGGGTGCTCAGCGTTGTGGCGATCGACGTATTCTGAAGGTTGAGGAAGGAAAGTCCGAGAAGTTCAAAATCAAGTTCTTCACTCTCATTTTTCAGAAATTGACGCCGGATCAAAAGCTCCTTGATTTCGAAGTCGGCAACAGCAGAGCGATCCATCACAAAAGACGTGACAATAGGTCTAACCTCGAAGAGATCAGGATGATTGCAGACTTTGCGCAGTTGCATGAGGATGTTGGCAATCTTTTGGTAGACACCAGATCGAAGTGCGTCACGCGTATGGGCCCTCGCCATGAACTCATCGTATAGAAACCGCTGGCGTTTGGACAGCGAGCAGAGCACTAGGTGTTCATATTTGTTCGGCAATTCTTTCTCGACATCCCGCTTCAGTCGACGGAGAAGGTACGGACGAAGAACCGTGTGCAACTTCGATACACGTTGCTTCGTCTCATCGTCATGAACGTTACCCATTTCGATCGCTTTTTCCAGTGGATCTGAGAAATGATATGAATGGGATTGGCTAGGTACTCATGGCTGGTAATTAACTCGCGATACTCACTTGAAAACCACTCGCCAAACTCTTTCAGATTAGCGAACTTGGCACCAGACATCAAGAACTGCAACAGGGCCCACAATTCCGTTAGGTTGTTTTGTAGGGGTGTACCAGTAAGGAGTAGGCGTCGGAAAGAGCGAAACAGCAGCAACGTATTCCAACGCTGAGATTTAAAATTCTTGATCATATGAGCTTCATCTAAAACCATATAGTACCAGTTCTTCCGTTTAAAGATGTGGGCATCACGGCTCGCGAGGGTGTAAGAGGTGATGCAAACATTGAAGTGATACTTGTCATTCCAACCCTGGCGAAGTTCTTTCCTACGCTTGGTACTTCCGTGATAACACAAGATCCTGAAACCAGGAAGAAATTTCTTGAACTCCATTTCCCAGTTCAGTAGAACGCTAGTTGGTACAATCTACAAGGAGCGTCAGACGCCACGAAATGATATGTCAAAACAAGGAACATACGATGAGGTGAGGGCCCCATATACCTCTATCGCATGCGAGATGAGCCAGCAAGCTAATGGTTTGTATGGTTTTACTTCAAAGAAAATAGATCAGAGACGGAGATGCGGGAAATATTAATAAAAAGTCTACCCCAAGCCCATTTCATCAGCGAGAATTCCATTAAGATTGTTTGAGTGCAAGCTGGCGAGCCATTCGAGGCCAGCGAATTGATAGGGCCGAAGCACGCCTCTGAGCAACACAGGTGGTGCGATTTTGTTATCCGGATTCCAGTCTACGTGCGTTACTATGTAAGGCGTCAAATAGGCAGGAAATCGGGCCTCTTGTGACTGATCATCTGAATCCTCCTGGTATTGAGTTTGAAGGAAGGAATATTCCATTGACTCCCCATCGCCGTTCAAAGGCTCCGAAGTCGAATTGTTGGGGTCTACTGTGGCAAGGGAGTCAACTGCAACGGAGGTGAAAGATTCTTTGAGACCTAATCCGCCCGAGTTTGCCTTAATGGCTAAGGTTTCAGACATAAATTCACCCCCCTGAAGTGAAGCCAAGTCCACGATAGGGATGGATGCTTCGAATTCGTTCGGCGGAGTGACCACATCTGCAGTGCTCGGACTGCTCGTATCACCGTCCAACGGCTGGTCCAGGTGAAGGGGAGGAAATGATGTTGAACCATTGATCGGAGGGAGTACTTCGTGCGTATCAAGGGATGTGGAATCCCAAGGCTGGTTGAGAGGCTTTGCAAAAATAGTAACGGGCTCGGATGTCCCCAAGAGCGGAAGAGACGAATGGGAAAGATCGTCGGAAGTCCCATGATAATCAGAGGTACTGGACGCCTCCCGACCTCCCACGGAATCCATGTCGATCACGATATCCGGGAGAGTAGATTGATCTACTTCAATGGAAAAGTCGTATTGAGCATGAGAGACGACTGATGCCCCTTGTTGATTATTACCTTCTTCCTCATCCACGCCGATAACAGTGTCGTCGCCTGTCTCCTTGTTCTCGTCTTTTTCCTCCTTTCCGTCTTCCGCTTCATCCTCACTGTCGTTCTCAGTCCAATCCGAGATGCTACTACCGCGACTGTGGGAACGGGAACGATCTAGCCTCGTTAAATCACCGTGCTGAGTTTCTAAGATATGTCCTGACTGGTCTAAAATTGCATCCAAGTGTGCACGCCCTCGCCGGACTTCCTCCGCCACTAATTTAAGGCGCTCCTGCTCACGGAGATGCTATATGTACAGATTGACAATGGTCCAAAATGGGTGAAAAGATAAAGACCCACGAAGACAGCTTTTTTCCACTCCGCAACGACCAACTTGATCGTAGCCTTGGCTAATGCTCTGATCCGCTTCTCTTCCTGAGCTTTCATCTTCTCTTGTTTCACTGTCTTTACATCCCAATAGTTTTGAATGGCCTTGGCTATTTGTCCGGCAATTTCCACTCCTGAAGGCTCCTCGCTTTTGGACTCCAGATAAGCTGCAGCGTCTACAATACAGTGGCACCAGATATCAGAGGACTTTTGTTGCTTGTTTGCAGCTTCTGCGGGTGTCAGTTCCAAAACAGAGAGGTCATCCAGAAGACGACCTTCTTCTCGTAGCTTCTGAATACGTTCCAAGAATTTCGTCCGAGTGCGAGCACGTTTAACCAAAGTATCAGGAGGAACTTCCTCTGAACCGTCTGTCGTGTAACTCGAAAGGAAGTCAGACAAAGAATAGTTGTATTTTGGAGGCAATGGTCTTTGAAGTGGGCTAGAAACAAGAGGTGCCGGACGGCGAACGATGAGCTTGATTCGTTTGACGGGTGGCAACGAAGCTTGGAAAGAGGTGATCGAATCAGTTGGCGGCTGTAAATACAGGTCATATTCACATACGAGAAGCAAGAGATTAATGTGCTGACTGTAGATTCTGGATGCGACCCATGATCTGTGAGATCAACCTTGCGTTTTGTAGATAGTACATTCGAGAATTTTGATGGAGACTGGTTTAACTCTGCCCTATGATGTCGCGACCCTCCAGTAGGTGAAGACTAAGATAAAAGCTTCAGAACGTTCGGTTGTTGAAACGATGAGAAGGTAATAGCATACCAAGGAGAATTGAGGCGGAATTTCAGTTGTTAACCGCGATCCCCGTAAGGTGATTCTGCGCGGACTGCGAATTGGATCGAATTCGTTGACAGACGTGGATTCGGAAGGAGGAGCAATCATGGACGACCTGGGTGGCACACGTAGAAGAATGCCAGAAGGTCTTTTTGGTTTTGGAATTGAAATGTCAGGATGGTTAGTATGAACGCGATTTATGGTAGAAGCAAGATCCATGCACGCATTGCTATTATCAGATTCTGCGTCATCTTTATTCCTCCTCTTGCCTCTCGACGATCTGGTTAAGCTCGAGGATGTTGCGCCCTGAATTGCATCTATGGCTTTCCTTTTTCCTTTCACTTTACTACTCGATAGACTCGATGGAGAATCTAGAGTCTTTCCGTTCAATGATGAGCTATTGTTCGCAGGACGTAATTCCGACGCATCGTTATTGCCGAATGCGTTCCCTTTGCGATTGAAAGCAGATATTGACGCAGCAGGAGAGAAGCTAGAGGACTCCGGTAGTAAAAGATTCTTCCTTTCGGTGTGGGCACGTCTCGTTCTCCTAGATGGGCCTGGGGCGGAAGCACTAGCTGTTTCGAGAAGGTCATAGTTCGACTTATACTGGATATGTATTTAGTCCAGCAACTGGATTGAAAGTGAAAAACTAACATTCTGAAATACCGCTGAATGGTCTTGCTTTGCTTCCTGTCATAACGATCAGCTTTGCAAATCAACAAACAAAGAGTGCAACGTACAGCAGGATTGTATGAGAGCATCATACGGAAGTGCTCCATATGAAAAGCTTCTCTCACCTGCCGGTTGGAATTAGGACTGGCCCAAAAGAACACAAAGTAAGACGCACAAGAGAATCATGGCCCTCGTAAATTTGGGTCAACTCGGCTTCTTTTTCTGCTATTAACGAGTTCTTCCTGGTATCTTCCAATCCTCCTTCTTCAAAGCCGCCTTTAAGCTCATGCCCTCCTCCTGCTTTTGCTAGAACGGCAGGTTCTCTTGCATCCTGCCTGCGACTACCACGACCACTCCTCAGACTCCTGATTTCCCCACTTTTTGAGTGGCGTGAAGACATTGGAGACGAGTTATGTTAAGACAAATTGAACGCTTTCCATTCGGAAAGCGACAAGTTTCGAAATGCTAATGTATGAGAAAATATTATTGATCTCGTAGGATTGTGTACGGTTTTTGACCCTGTTCTGATAATGGTCAGGATATTCTGGGAGTAGGAGCGTCGTTTGAAATAATAATGAACATCAATGGTCGTATGCAGTACCGTGAAGAGAAAGCCACATTTCTGTGATTCTTACATGACTGAGCTTGATTACTGTGCCAAACAAGGCAATACAACTCTTACGTTGCACGACTCATCCCTGTCGGCTCAGAAGATGAAATCTTTCAAGCTACAAACGTTACGATGTATGTAACATCGTAACAAAGATGTCACTATTGATTTGAATAAAGTTGGTAGTTATACACAGCGCTTCATTCGATTTCCAATAATGCAACAGTGGGTATTAAGTGATATGCCAAGGAGATGGAGATAATTACAGGCTTAGACACCCTGCGGCAAAATCTTTGGGTGAATGGAATCAAAAATCAAAAGTATAGATAATAGGAGGCACTGCTCGTTATGAACATTCAGAAATGGAGGCTTGTAATAAAATACAAACAAGAGGATCCGTCCATCCAGGGTAATTTTGGGGATACATGCACAACTCCTACGAGGTGTAGGAATATTCGAAGTCCGGAAAACAATGTCCATACGGGTCATTAGCGGGTAGACCATAGCTAGCAGTCGCTTCGAAATCCTCATCATAATTGTCAAAGCTTGAGCACATAACCTCAAATCAGTATTTGAACAACCAAAGGAAATTCAGAATGCTCACGCGCTAGCGTCGCCGTCACCAGAAATTTTCGGGAGGTATGGCGCGATGATATCTCTCGAGCAGAGTTTTTGCCAATCCACCTCTCTGAACCATGGGTGTGCAAAAACGTCGCCGGCGCCGTGTTGCATGTTCCCATATCGCTTAGAAGGGTCGCAGTCCATGAGCTTTACAATTAAATCTTTGGCCAAGAGGGGAAATTCCTCGTTGTTTGCACTGGGCCATCGAATATGAGCAGGACCAGCAGTAATCTTTTCGTAAAGTATGGCTGGATTTCCTTGAGCTTGGTGATATGGCGGTAGCCCAGTAAGCATCTCAAAGATGAGTACGCCGAGGGCGTACCAATCTACACTCTTGTTATAACGCTGCTGACTGATGATCTTATAACACGATCGGTATCATCAAGAATTTGAGATACGCGGGAACATACCTCGGGAGCTAGGTAATCGGGTGTCCCACAAAGCGTCCAAGTTACAGATGAACAAGCTTTGGCAAAACCAAAATCGGCCACCTTGATGTGCCCATCGGAGTTGAGGAGAATGTTTTCTGGCTTTAAATCACGATATACGATGTGGAGCGTGTGTAGGTGATGTAAAGCCAATGCGACTTCGGCCGCGTAGAATTTTGCGACAGGCTCGGGGAATCTCTGATTGCGAAGTTAATACCAGGATATTCGATTGTCAAGAGTAGTACTGACATTCGACCTGCGCAAAAGAGTGAAGAGTTCACCACCTGGTACAAAGTCCATCACCATGTAGAGGTTGGTCGCATCTTGAAACGTGCCCCATAGATTGATGATGAAAGGATGTGAGATATCGGCGAGAATGTACTGTTCGTTGTTGGTGTGTTCGATCTGCTTCATCCTCACAACCTTTTCCTTTTTGAGGACTTTGATCGCATAAAAGCGAAGATTGTGTTTACTCCGAACTAGATGTGCATTGGTCAGGGGCAATGGCCTTGCCTACGATGAATGGGATCTCACCTAGGTGAACGCGGCCAAAGCTTCCAGTGCCGAGTGTGCGTTGAATTATAAAATCCTCTAAGCGGTATGTGCCTTTATGCTTCCTAGGCCGAGCATTTAACGATTTCTCCTCCTCAATGTAGTCTAGGCTATCTCCTCGTTTGCTCCAATCACTTGCGCTAAGAGATGTTCTCTCAGTAGAAATAGACCCTCTGTGGTCATATTGAGGTAGAAGTGAAGACGCAGAGGAAACGGCGGTAGATGGGATGCTGGAGATCGGGGATTGAATGGGAGATGAACTATATTGTTCTTTACTGTAACCGTGAAAGTGAGAACCAAGTTTGTCCGTCATTCGTTTGAACATGAAAATCCTGCTGAAGAGACAGTGATGGAAGAACGAAGAGAAAGATGAAAGGGCCTCTTCAGTTAGTTCATTGTTCTTTGTGAAGGAACAAATAAACAACTGGATGTCAGGTCTTCTTCCGAATTCGGAAACAAAGCAACCGACCCTAGCCGTGAAATCAAATGCCCCTACTCTACTCTTAGTATGAATACAGCCCCGACCTACCAACTAATACTACTATAATACCACTTATATTATAGTGCTTTGGATCGAATCGAATGTCTGATTCAGATCCCCCAAATGTTTACGAGACCATAGTATCAGTTACTGTGCTACATTCTCTGAAAATGAACATTTCAGATTCTCTCCAGTTCATTTTCCACTCTATCGAACGACTTGAAGGTAGTCAGGAAACGAAAACATCACTATGATTATGAGCATATAAGAATTACAGGATTCCACTATTTCATTTCTCCATGATTCAAACAAGAAAGACGATCTTGTTTAACATTTACTCATCATGAACGTCGAGTGATGCAGTAAAGGTAAGGTGTAGTATCAAGTTCTATGTGCAATAAGTTGGGACATTTACGCCACCGTACACGAAGACAAAGGCCACATACTTGCAAGTACATTTTTGGTTCGGATCGTCGAAGAAACAGCCTACGCGCTTGCATTAGGATCCGTAGGACTTATCCTCCTGCGACAAACCACTGTTAATAGTTTACATGAAAGTGAATGCTATTCTACGCACCTGTTTTTGACGTTCCTCAGCTTCCATACGTGCGACGAGCTAGTTTCCTTCATGTGAGAGAGTCATTAAAACCTGGTTGCTCAGACTATACTAACGTCTATGAAGAAGGAATGAAGTTCAGTGTTCTGCTTCCTCATTGAAAAATCAAAAATCACCTCTTCCTTTCTGTAATGTTTCGCGGTGAATCATGACAGCAGAAACAACTGTCCATGCAGTGAGCCCTGCGAGAGAATAGACCACGGTCCTGTGTATGATATCTAACACAGGCAATCTAGGCATGGTTTATGGTCAGGAATGTGATATATTATGCGAACCGAAATTTCCAGAGTGGACGCGAACCGCGGCCCGAAGATATATAACGCCTATAATATTCAGAATGTGACAAAGAAAAAGAGTGTTGTTATTTTCAGTCACCAGTATCCTTTTTTGCAGGTGAAAGTCTTGAATTGTTAGAACGTTTTCATTATTTCATTGCCCTACATACCATTATTTATTGACCTTATGGGAAATTGTGCGAATCTGTAAGTTATTCGCAGTATGGATTCTTGTCAACGTTCTTTTAATAGTACAACTAGATCTAGCTTGAGAGTATCATTATGACAGCGACGATGAAGAGCTTTATAATTTATTGATCTGCCAGTGCTTACTTTTCCCCAAACTCGGTCACAGTCTATATAGTACCATCCTCTGGGATGAGTAGATATGATAGAGGCAGCTGGGCCTGGCTGTTCCCATTGAAACGGAGCCGTGAAACTTATAATCTATCTATCTATCTAGTGTTTACGAAAATTCTGTCCTTTTGATACACGCTATGTATATACTTAGCACGTTCTAGCAGGGTCCAGATACAAATAAATATACGAGGTAAAGAGGAATCACCAGTGACCAAGCTCAACGAAGTTTCTGTCGAAACCTACCTCTGTCCATTTGACAGAGTGCCCAATGGCAACAGCACCATCGGGCTCAACGAATCCAACGCTTTCATAGACCTTTGCTGCGCTGCCATTGTTGTGCGCAACGTATAATACAACCTCGCTCCTACCAGTTCCTAGCAGGTGTTCAGTGACCTCTCTTACAAGGCGTTTAGCACATCCCTGCCTTCTCCAAGAGCGATGTGTGTATACTTTTGTAATGGTCGCCGTATCCGCAGTGTTCCTAGTGAAGGCTGCGATACAAGTGATTTTCCCGGAGACACAATGAACCCAGACTTGTTCCTTGGAAATGAGCAATCTGGCTTCCTTGAATGCTCCCTCACGTTCTAAAACAAAGGGTTCTGATTCTTCAGAGAATCTTCTACACAACTTGGCTACCGTTTTGGTATCAGCAGTGTCTGCCAGGCGACAGGTTCCGAAAGGAGGGAGTGTCGAAGGTTGAGGGATGACAGCAGTGCAAGACAGCAGCCTCGCCGCGTAGTAAGGCTCATTGTTGATGCTAACACCCGCAAGCTCAGACCATTGCTGTGAAAATAGGGAAACGATGATATCTGGCGCAAAAACGCTGTAAACTCGTTCTCGGGGCACGCTCTTGAATAGAGCTTCTGCGAGTTTCCGAAGGCGGACCTCGAGTGAATTTCGAGTCCAAAGCGATCTGGGCCAGGTAGGAACGATGAAAATTGGGTATTTTCCCAACTCGTTCTCAGTACAAGAGAGTACCATATCCACTGTGCCGGTAATACTGCTGTCATAGGAAATACAACAGAGCCATAGCTGGTTGAAGGAGATAGGCAAATTCGACCGTTCGCTATCGGATGACTTTCTCAGAAGGGGAAGAATCACGTTGGCATCGATTCGATTAGCCTCCAGAGTGCTAAACACAAAGTCAGGCAATTGCCTAGCGTGCGTATAGGACGATATCGAAATTTCATGAGTAGACGGCATTTCTGTGGAATTGTTTAGCATAAAATAATGGAACGATGACTGAAAGACTCAACCTGTCAGGAAAGTAGGCCGATTGAGAAGAAAACTGCAGTGGGTTATATCCCGCCGTCCATACTGCTTTTATACTTTCTTGGTCCTCAAACGCTGTGGATTTTGCTGTTATGCTCCTTGCGGTTTCTTTGAAGATGACTCGATGAATATTGACAAGAATATCGAACGAAACCACATCCCTAGGGTCCGGATCGAGAATCCTGTTAGTAAAAGTCGTCTTTGATATTCAGTTCTTACAGTAGACATTGGCACTGGTTTTGGTTAGTGTGTCGGAGACTGATGCAGCTTCGAATGACTTCGTCTAAGCGCCGGTGTGGTCCACCATTACTTGCGCATTACTCACATTTTAATGCGCACATGTTTGAGCGGTGTTGGATAGAGGGTATGAAACCAATCATTTTGATATCTATGAGCCCTCGCTTTGCGCCTCCATTCATACGTGACTCAACGTTGGAGATTATCATAGGCCATCGAAGAGTCACTTAGGCGCCTCCTCAATAAGCGCCTGCATCTATATTTCCCACGAGAAGGATGCGGTATGAAGGGATTCATTGTTAGAAGCGTTCTGAGCAAAACGTACTCGGAACTGAGCTACGATACTGTCTAGACAGCAACGGAGTCTAATCGAGATTGGTTGAACAGTCCTCGACTGAAAGCGTTCGCGAGAGCTTTGAACCCTCCTTCCTGCACTTCGGAAACAAAAAGATCATGCTGATCCGCCAGCTGTTCATTATTCCTCCGTATCTCTCGTATAACACCGTGTTCCCGAGCGCAGTTGGGGCATTCGGTCTCGTTGTCGGGTAGGCACCTGAAAGAAAAAGATATCAGCGAGAACTAAGGAGGACACGCAGAAACGCACCTTTGATGATAGCTGTGGTTACACATAAAATGGATACTGGGTAGATCCAGTTGCCCACCACAAGTAGAGCAACGAGTAACATGGAAAACCTTCGGGTGCTCTGGATCAGAAAGCTCCTGAACTTGATTGAGCTTTGCGGCTGTTTCCATTCTGTACGAGCTGACCCATTCCCGATCCTACAGCAGTAATGCATACATCAGTGACCTAGTCATGAACATAATAGAAAGAGGGAACTGACAGCTTGTATCTCACCCCGCTCCTGAGTTATGCGCTCGATGAGCCATTCCTTGACTAGACCAACACTTGCGACGTCGTTGCGACTCAACACTTGTATAATGCCTAGCGGTGGCATGATGCTCTCCTGGTCAATATGCTGTATTACCTCCTTCACGTCGTCCATGTGGCGAGAAAAGAGCACTGGGGATGAAGTCAAAAATCGTAGTACTAGGGTATAAAGATGTGGATGCTTTGGACCGTATAACTGAAGATGCTTCAGTACTTGTGTCGAAGCTTCGGGCGTGGCACCCTCTTTGTCACGTTCCATCCAGAACCGCAAAACGTCTTCGTACATTCCCATCTTCTCCCAAAGAAGGACTAAGCCCTTGGTATATCCTCGGCTCGAGCATAGGATAAGGGCATGCGTGGTATCATAGGGAATTGTTTCACTGCGAAGGACTCGGAGGGCTTTCTCCTTCAAAGCTATTTCATCCTGAGGCGCCGAAGATCCGAGGGAAGAGGATAATCCTGGAAGGGTGAGGTAAAGTTCCAGTAATGTATTCCAAACAGCTACTTGATCGTGCCGATCTTCCTCATCGTCGATGTCAGGCGTCGTGCTCAACCGGCTTGGATCAGACATATCCTTTTGAGAATTCTCATCGACACTCTGTCCCCATCTTCTCAACGCAACAGTTTCCAAAAAGACCACAAATTGTTCCATGTGGTCTACAAAGTGCGCAAAGTATAAGCGCGGACTTAGCCGTTTCGATAGATTCACATTAGGTGGACGCGCAGACATCGGCGCGATACCTATCGTCGATAAAGCAGTGGGAGGAGGCGAGATACCTCGTGGAGTGCCTGAGGCACCATCGCTGTTCAAGCTCCCGCTACGTCTTATGGTACTGCCATCAATATCGCCGACTCGTACGGTTTTGACTGACGGGGCAGCAACAGTAGCAGTCTCTGATGCCTGCCCTGCAATGGAGTTGCGATGGAGAGTAAGATACGAAAGGTAGGAAGCACCGCCAGCTGTGGACTTCGACACAGCACTGATCGGTGTTTCCTCTCCCGTGTTGTCGATGACCTCGACAGTGGTATCTAATGTTGTTGTACATAGGTCAATGAGCAGTTCTGTGGTTTCTTGCGGGAGGTTACTCAGTAGAGCTCTACCATAGCGGGCCAAGTTCCCTTCAGCCTATACAAAAATGGCCATGCATGAATGATGACGGATAACCGATTGAAGTAGTAGTGCGACATACAGCATCCATTCCCAGCTTCCTGAGATAAAGCAGTGCCTCCGAATATTTGCCAGCGTCTTCTATTTGTATCCTCAAGTAATCTTCGTGACGCTCGTACTTCTTAGCAAGATAGCCAGCGTGCTCGAAGTAACCGGCTTGCCTACAGACCCTTATCGCAGTATCGAGATCGAAAGGCAGTTCATCTGAGGCAATCGATTCCTCTCTTGAATACTTTGATTCCGTTTTGATGAAGCTGTCCAGTCTCGACACATCCTTCAATTTTGTGTAAGTGTTCAGCAAAAGAGTGGTGTGATCTGAGTTGGCAAGACCTTGAGTGTGAAGTTCTTGCAGGTATGTTACCAGATTGTGTATCCGTTGGGCATCCAGGAACTAGGTGTCCCCCATTAGTAAAATATAGCAGACCTTCCAAAACACGCTACCTTCCGTATCACGTAGCTAGGTTGAACCCAACCTAGTGTCTTCACGTACTGGGTCATTGCACCATCGTAGTCATTCTTGGAAGAATACAGATGGTCACCATACTGTCGGTGGATATCCGCGACATGGCTATCATCAAGGTTTTGTGTCTTAGCAAGGTTCAAGGCGAGACCGTATAACGACCTTTTGTACAGCATATCCAGTTTGGCCGAAGTAGACTTCTCGATAAGATGGGTCAGCTATGAAAGATATAATCAGTGAAGCAGGACTACACGAATTTGCAACATAGGTACTTCTCCGTTGTTGCCCAGAATGTACAAATCACCCCAAGGTGCGCTAAAAATCTCGCGAACGCCTTGTGAGAAGGTTCCACTGTACGCAACGAATTTATTGGCGTGATCGAACACAGTGACCTGTCCAGATGCAGTCAATAAATGGACGTATCGAATGATACACAACGAACCTTGCTAATCTCGGATGTATCGTCACCAGTGGTGCGAACGAAATTGCGGACGGTAGCAGAGGCAGCAGAGGCGGAGGCTACAAATGGAGGGGAGATAATGACAAGGTACGAGGAGTGTACGTGGATAGCGGATTTATTGCCTTCATAAGCGAATGCGTTTCCCCTGCCTTCAATAGCACACATATATATGGCTTCGTCGCGTGCAACGATCATATTCGACTCGCTCATCACCGCACAGCCTAGTCCAGCGCCGATTTCGTCTACCACCATGACCGAAGAACTGCCAGCGCCGCGTCCAGTGGCTTGGTGAACAAGAACATGATTGGTTGTCACGATGAACAAGTAAAGATTGGAGTCGGTCTGGTCTGTCGGCTCTCTCGAGTGCCTGAGGGCTGCGTCCGGAGCATGACTCAAGGAACGCAAAATGGGTTCACGGAAGCCTAGTCCAGTGATTGGTTCAGTGGGTGACTCATGTATCGTTCGTGGTTTGGGGAGAGTAGTCAGCGATCCAGAGGACGCCAATGATTGATCTAGATGTCGATATAAGAGGACTGTGCCGTCGCCAAGGCCTATGGCCAAGTGGGAGAGATTTGCAGAGAGTGCAACCGTGGACACCTAAATATCGTAAGGGTCAAATTCTATAGAAGCACAGATTACCTACCGGATGTGGTCTATTGCTAGGTTGAACTTTAGCTGAGCGAAGAAGAAGGGGTGCGGTTGTTCGTCTGTCTTTCTTTCCAAGGTCCCATATCTTTATGAGTGGTGACTGTGCTGTGTTCTCCTCCTAACCGATTGTGGATATGAGTGCGGGCAATACAACCAATGGGATCCGTACTCCAAGTGTAACCAGAATTCCTTTCTTCTCCACCATGTGTGTGACCCTTCCTCCTACATGAGCTACCCAGCTGCTTATAGATTCGAAGCCCTTGTCCAAAAGGTGAATAGAGCCATAGATATCGGCTACAAGGATTCCTGCGGAGGATGAAGTGATTGTTGAAATTTCGAGAGTAGCCTGCATAGTCGCCGGATCAGCCTCTGAGTAACAGAATTTAACCTCGCGCACCTTGAATATTTCTGGAGTTTTATTTGCATCATGTATATCTTTCACCGGAATGGGATCAAAGAATGAAAACTGACGCCACTTTTCAAGGTCAAAGAATCAGTCGGATTACCCACAATTGCACGTAGGGTAGGACATGAAATAACCTAGGGAAACGATGGGAGTATAACTCACAGCAGGCGCTGACGCACTATTAGTACCAGCGGAAATAGTTGAAACCATAGAACCACGTATCAAGCCAAAGTCAAAGCTAGACGTTCTACTACTCGATATCTTGACACTTGATACCCAGTAGTAGTAGAAGAGGATAATCAGAGCCTGATTGTAATTTACTAATTATTACCAAAATACTTGACTGGTCTGACGCTCATGTTATCATGTGATCTCTACTCTCACGGTGAGTCCCGAACACTCTTCTGGTCCAACTCTCATATACACAGTACCATGCCTTTCCTTGGCTATCGCAAATGGCCTACGCCCGCAAGTTTTTTTTACCACCAAGGGATTGGGTATCTGCTAAATGACTTGGCTTTAGGTTCTCAAGCCCATGTGGCCGTTCATGGTAGCGGGCGCCATCACTGTTTACTACGTTGCCAAAATTCAAGACATGGCTGTCCGATGTGTGTGTTCCCATATTCTCGCTACAATTATAGCTCACTTTCCATTGCTAGCTCCGGAATACGCCAAGGATCCCAAAAATCCGTATGCCACGCAAATATCAAACTCGTCGGCTCATTAGAAGGGTTCATACCTGGAGGATAGAAGAATAATTACTCTGGTCGATGTATCTGTCTGGCTACATACGCGATGCTATTTAAAATTCTACCACCAATTTACTCGAGCAGTTCCACTGCGCGGTCGTCTGTCCACTTTCCGTCCAGATATTCCTCAGCATCAGGTGATTGCCTGCAATGAGGATGAGATATATGTCATGAATGGAATGATAAACTAAGACCGGAAAAACAACGATAGTTTGGACATTGGGGATATCCGAAGCTTTGGTTCATCGAACGTTAGCCTCGTGGTATCAAATAATCGTGAGTCCTATATTCACAATTGCAGCATAAGAAGTAAGAACCCCATTCACACAGTGGTTGCTTGTACATTCAATAGGGTTTTGAACGTTAGACGATTGCTTGGCGACTTCGGATTGATGCTGGTGAAGAATGACGATTGATAGACGCATTAATGAAGGGGTTTGGGTGGACCCGCGATGTATTCTTGACGTCCCCATGCACGGCTGAGCGGAATTTCCTGGGATATGGGAGAAAGTGAGCCGAAGCAGGATAAAGAGTATCTATGACCGCATCATCTATCTCATTTATATATATCTACATAGGGATAGATGGATAATAATTTCTCCTCCCATCAAAGCTATCCTTATCATGACTGACTCCGAAGTACAGAATATCAATGCGAAGAGCTCTTTTGCCGAAGAACGACTAGGCTGGACTGGGTTTGTCTTTCCCTTCGTCTCTTTCCTGCGCGTAAGTAACATATTCATAGATACGTTGAATGGGAGCAGTATCCAGAAAAGAAGGCTTTAGCTTCAAAGGTCCTTGCTGCAAGCAAATTTACACCGATTCCAGAATTTCAATTCGTTCCTTTGCCCACCACGAACCCGGTACTCATTGGACACAGATGGAAGGAATACCATGACGTGCTTGGATTGAAAAGCATCGTCGACTTTAGCTGGGAGACGGTCCAGCGTGAGAAGCCTGATCTTCTACACCTCCTTGACTTCCCGTATAACGGTGAAACAAAGAGAGATCAGCTTTTACAAGGCAAGCTCACAGACAACAAATATCATTTGTGAGTACGAATCCACCTCGGTGCATTCGCGCTTGTTAAGCCCGTTCCTCAGTGTTCGCAATCATGGTGGGGTGCCTAATATCAACGAGAATGATTACGAGCTCGAGATTGCTGGTCTGGTTAACAAACCTATCAAAATCTCACTGAAAGACCTGAAGGATCCCGAGAAATTTCCGTGAGTTTCGTTTGCTCATTTCCATAACATCGTTGCTCAAGCAGTACACAAAGGCAAGCAGAGGTCACGGTGACTATCCAGTGCAGCGGGACTGTAAGTCCTTCAATCCTTCCAAATCTTTTGAGCCCGAATCCATTCCTATCTAGCGCCGCATCGAACAAATCAACGTATATCCCGGTGACGGTGACGAGCTCATCAATGCACCCTGGGGTAAGTAACTGCTATCCATACCAGAAAGTTTGGTCCTTCGCTGACCTGTGTAACACAGGCGAAGGCGCCATGTGGGTCAAATATGTACTCTGAGTTGGCTAGCATTATCTAAATCTCGTATTGCAGAGGGACAGCGGTTTACCGAGGTGTTCCCCTCAAAAAAGTTCTTAAACTCGCTTGCGGTGGTGTCCTTCCCGAATGCGAACACCTTGAATTTATCGGCGCAGATACTTATTTCAAGTACGTGGAACCTTGCATCTTTCATTCATACCATACCGAATCCATTTTACCCTTCACCCTCACCAGGAAAAATAATGTATTCAACTATGCCGTCTCAGTTCCTTTGCGTAAAGTCCGTGCTTCTTCTGGCACCGAAGTCCTTCTTGCTTGGGAGATGAATGGCGCTCCTTTGCCCAAAATTCATGGAGCGCCACTCCGCCTCGTGGTCGCAGGATATATCGGTGCTCGCAGCTGCAAATGGGTATATAAGATCAATGCATTGAAGGAACCAAGTATGGGACCAGTACAGAGACAGGAATACCTGTATTACACGCCGCAGGTACGACACGATGAACGGTTTGGCTTAGTGGAAGCATTGACCTTGTCCTGACCCCTCTACACAGATCGGGAAACAAAATGCAAAATATTCCAATGGGTTCTCGATTCAGAACATGCCAGTCTCGTATGTTTACATTTCACAGTCCATGTTTTGTGTGACTCACTCAGGTCGCCGTTACTAGGAGCGCCATAATATATCCTCTAGATAAGCAAGTCGTCGTGCATTCAGGTAAAATCACGATGCAAGGTTGGGCGTACAGTGGAGGCGGAAACTGGGTACAGCGTGTCGAGGTATCCAATGATGGGTAATTTTTATCACGTTCAATCCTGTTTCCAACTAAGTATAACCATGACATTTTCAGAGGTTCAGTCTGGTACGCAGTCGAAGAAGAGAATATGACTACAAAGGTAACTCCTGCTGTCCTCGAATTTTTGACTAAGAACTGTAAATCTTTGCTATCAAGCACTATTACGCATGGAGATTATGGAAATTCGACCTCCCTGTTGACGCAGAAGGGTGGCTTGAACTTTGTGTGCGGACATGGGATTCTTCCAACAATACTGAGCCTACTTTCGTAAGGTCTGCTTGGAAGTAAGTGGTCATCTGATGACAAAATTTCCTATTGACGTTACTTTAATATGAACGTTCTTGGGTAGCTGGGACCTTCACGTCACCTCTTCTGCTCATCGCATCAAAGTTTACAGTATCAACACCTCGCGCCCTGCGACCGCACAACGGCTACGGGAGCTTGAAGCACATGGGCAGGGTATTGAGAAGCAGTCATTATCACATCCAGCTGAGTTCACGCTGGAGCCGGAGCAAGATTATCTAGAAAAGTATAGGCAGTACCCTCGAGAGCCAACTGATTGACGGCGCGACGCCTTTCATCGAAAGCTTAACATAATGTAACTTGTTTCGAGATAAAGGCATATTATAATATCCTACAGTTACAAAATGAGAGGTCGTTATTTACACATGATGCACGTACTGAATATGACAAGATACAACCACACTGGTGACGATGTCTCCTTACGCGGTAGTCGCATTGTTGAAAATCAACAAGTTGGGTGTACCTTCAGGTAAAGTACCGGTGATCACACCCTTGGTGGCGAGGGATAAAACCGCGCGCTTCAATTGGGCAGCAGAAAGCGTCTTGGGAGGAACAGGGGCTGTAGCAGCTTCAACAATTTCCGGTGAAGGAAGGAAACTGCTGATGACGGGAGGAAGAGCAGCATGTATGACCTTGTACATGGAAGCAAAGGCACGCTGTTCTGGATCAATCAGAGTGGGCACATCGAAACCAGGGGTCAAATCCGGGTTGAAAGGAACTGAAGGGTATATCGAGAGCAAGTAGGCAAGTAGACCAGCGGTGTGAGGGGACGCCATGGAGGTACCAGATATGGTATTAGTCTCGTCGTTGGGCCAGGTTGACCTAATATTGAGGCCTAACAGAAGCGTGAGCGGCAGATATACAGCTCTAAGACATAAACACACCCGGTGCAAACACGTCAACACATTTGCCGAAATTCGAGAAATAAGCACGCTCGTCATAGATGGTCGAGGCTCCGACAGTAATCGCTTTCTCTGCGGCAGCAGGCGAAGAGCTGCAAGCATCTCTGTTTTCGTTACCTATCAAAATATATCAGTACATAGTGCATGAAGGTCAAGATAAAAACCTACCAGCTGCGACGGCGAAATGAAGACCAGAGTCGGTAGCCTTGTTGACAACTGCGTCAAGTGTTGGCGACTTACCACCGCCGAGACTCATGTTGGCAACAGAACCCTTGTGCTTGGATGAACCAGACTGTGCCTTCTGTTTCGCGGCCGCAGTAGCCCATTCGACACCCTTGATAACGTCCGACATAGTTCCACTACCGTTAGAACCAAGAACTTTGACTGCATACACTTCGGCTTTCTTGGCGACACCATAGGCTTCTGAAGCCACGGTACCAGCGCAGTGAGTTCCATGACCGTTGGCATCCTCGTCGACGTCGTTCTGAGGGATGGTCACACCCCAATGCGCACGCCCATTGAACTCCGGGTGGTCAACGTAGATACCAGTGTCGATGATATATACATCAACGCCCTCACCAGCGTAAGTTACGTAGTCGTACTTTGTGAAAGAGCCAAGTGTGAGTTTCTTACGGTGACTGACTCGAGCAAGACCCTGTTAACAAAATACGTCAAAAGATAAGACCTTTACGGGATTCGTTGTAACTCACCCAAGGTGCTGTTTTCTGTCGCGTCGTCTCAGGGTTCACAAGTATTTCGTCAGATATACGCACGACCTGGTCTCGTTCAATGTATTCGACCTCAGGCAGTGCCCTTAACTGTTCAACGACATCGTCATGGAAGTAGCCAGAGTAGCCAAACTCGTAGACGTGTCGCAATCCAGAATCCTCACCGACGAGGGGACTTTCAGTATGTTTGGTTTGCAGAAAGTTGAGATGATTGGCTACGAGAGCATTGGACAAGCCATCCCGGAACTTGACGATGTAAGAGTTATTGATAGTTCCATGTAGATGGTTCTCTTCTATGAGAGGAGCTGGAATAAAAGACGAGCGCTGAGCAGGCGCATTGTGATAGTTGGTAGAGAGCGGAGAGGAATAGGCCGAAGCAGCTAGAGAGAGTGCTAGTAACGAGGATGTTATGAACGACATGACTGTCTCTGTTAGAAGGGAGGGGCCCCAAAGTAGATAAAGGCTACGCAGTTGTTTGGCAACGGCTTTTTGATCAAACAGCAGCACGTGCTCCACTAGCACTCGCGTGTGATACGCATGTTCTACAGCTACTTACAGTATCTACAGCAATATACACGTCTTCAGACTGCCAATCCCAGTTTTCTCAGTGAGACTACATGACAGAACCCCAAATTCAGGACTCAAATGGATTTGTACATTCGCGGCAGACAAACCCAAACGCGGATATCAGGGCCCTGGCGCTAGACTTAATTCTGCAGCAGCTGTGTAGAAAAAGTTAACGCATCAGCGAAAGAGTTGAGCATTACCAAGACGGCCTACCGTGGCTTTGCGGTGACTCGCGAAGAATTCGAGGAGACTGACGCTGCTTACATAAATATCAAGTCATAATACTGCTTTGACTTTTGACCTTTCACGCCAACTTCCTGTAGGAAGCGATGATTGTATCTACGACACATTGTGCCCGCATAGGACAAACTATAGCTCTTCTTTACGCGTTTATCGCTATCCTCTACACCACCAATTATCTCCTCGCATCTCCTTTACGTGCATGTTTCTCGCTTTTGTTCAACCTTCCGACTTCGACCACCCTACCAAATTCCTCAGTTTCATCAATTCTCCATTCTCTCAATAAGCAAAATTTTCGCAAGCCTCAAGTTTCTCCTCTTCTTTGGAACACTGAGGCGTCTCGCCCAAGTGAAAGCTCCTGGCCGGCGGACATAGACAATGATCTGGTCCTTTCAAAAGCATTCTCAAGTTCGATGCATCCTCCAAGCAAGATTGTGCCATTCTTCTATCGGGCGTCTGGCGAGCTCGACGTTGAAGATATAACTATCACGACTTTGATAACAAGCAACCGATTTCCTGTTTTTGCCCGTTTAGTGGAGCGATATCAGGGTATGTTGACTGGATCTTCATAATCAACTTTCAATCATTGCCGACATTATTCTAAGGACCTATCTCTGTCGCTATACATGTCAACAATAACAGCTCTGAATACTACTCACTATTGGATTCCATACACTCTCTCTACACCTCTACCCCAAACATGGCTCGTTTTGTTGACGTTCACCTCGTTATGGACTCTTTCGATCGCCAATTCAATACTTGGCGTAACATCGCTCGCTTATTCGCTCGTACAGACTTTGTCATGATGCTCGATATTGATTTTGCTATATGCACTGACTTTCGAAGTGCCATGAGGGCTAACAAGTCTATCATGGATGAACTTCGAAAAGGAAATTCAGCGTTCGTGATCCCGGCGTTCGAGTATGTGAAACCAGAGGAAGGAAATCACCAGGTGGCCTTCCCAACTGACAAAACTGTATCATGATCTTTCTAGTATCGATGTTATCTGTTGCTCATGTTCTTTTTGCAGTCATTGCTTTCCGCAGTCGAAGCTGGACGTTTAGATATGTTTCATGCCTCTTGGGAAGTCGGACACAATAGCACAGACTATCCAAGATATTATGCAGCCCCTCCTGGTGAAGTGTACAAGGTGACAAAATATCAAGCTGCTTACGAACCCTATATCGTTTTCAAGAAAGACGGTCCCCCATGGTGAGTCGCTCTAGTTGACCACCCACGTTGGCGTAATTTCCCCGCCCTTCAGGTGTGACGAGCGGTTCGTTGGTTACGGAGGCAACAAGGCGGCTTGTCTATTCGAATTGTATCTCTCTGGGATATCTTACTATGTACTTTCCGACCATTTCATTGTACATCAAAATCACTTGTACGAGGAAAAAGTTCGGAAGGACGAGGTTAGTACTCCTGGCACCTCCGACCACACGTCGCTGATCGTTAATCCCGCAGCGGAAATTCAACAAGAAAATTTACAACGACTTCAAGGAGGAGACTTGTTTGCGGTGGGTGAAATGCGTTCACATCATAGACTGGAATCGATGACCTTCCGCAGATACTTCAAGCATTACCATGATCTTGGCATACTCAACTCTACGCGAGGTTACAACATTCAGCAGGAATGTACAAAGTTAAAAGGCTTTCCCCAAATCGCTCAACAGGTATGTGCCCTCGAGTCCCTTCGAGTCCCCGTCAGGCACTTGACCTTAGAGAGCAATTAGATATTGGCATGAGTACTTACTGGTCAACGGTGGTTCGACATGGACGGTTAGCCGAACAGTATCAAAAGGCATCGATCGCGATCTTTGTATGTTTCTCCACTTTCGCCTTCTTAGAGACAATGTATGCATAGATCCTGATGTTATATGATCCTACTAATGAGTGCATACCTTTCACATTAGGACTGTATGTAGAACGAACCGGTGAAATCTGCGCTAGGCAAGGAATGCTATGTCTTCTCCTGCTCTTCTCAGTGGATGACTTACCGTAAGGATTATTCCTGATATATTGAATCATAATGGTGTATTTTTTCTAACAACCTGAGCGAGTTCGGTCCGATCAACGGGTTTTGAGCAGAATTTGAGCAGAACCTCTGGCTATAGATGGTTCTGCACAGTTCTGCACTCGCTTACTGGACTAAGTGAGCAGATGAACGGTCCGTTTGTTACATCAGACTGGCTCAAGATTACTCAGATTACTGGGCCAAGGACCACTCATGGTGTCAACCTTGAGCTGTATCTCTATCTGTGGATGTGTTCTCCTGCGGCGAATTCAAGCAACAACAGACGTGCCGGCATCATTGTCCGTGGTGCGGGGCCCGCTTCGATTTTGATCAAAGTTTCTACGGACCGAAGGGCCGAACTTGAACCTTCTTCCACTCTTCCACAATACTTTATTAGGAGTGAGAATGTTTGCGAAGATTCCCAGTTTCCGTTCCTTGTACTCTCCATCATGCTCCCCAGAGTCCTCATTTGTGGTATGCTTCCAATTTTTTTGACTGTCCAAATCCCCAATCAATCTGCAATTACTCCTAGGAACAATTACTTGGGCCGATGAGGATGTCAAAGAGCTTTTAGGACCTATCGCTGACGTTGTGGTGAGATCCATGCCATCGGAAGTCAGTAGCCAACTCACAATTCATCCAGCGCTTTGACTCAATCGATCGGTCAGATTTCTTGAAAGGCTTTCAACCTGGTGGAAAATACGAAGGAACGGTCGCAGTATTCAGGGATAACAATTTGACCGACAAAATTGGCATTTTTGATCAATCGCTCGTCGATGGATTTCCTTCAACTATCAAGTGGATCGCGCACAATGGTGCTGGATATGATCAGATAGATGTACCGGCATGCAAAGCCAAAGGTAGCGTTGTGCCATCAGCCTGAGCACGCGTCCATTTACGTTCATATCCTTCAGGTATTATAGTCTCTAATACTCCTGGGGCTGTTGACGACGCTTCTGCAACAACTGCCTTGTACCTCCTCATTTCCACACTCCGCAATTATGCCATCAGCGAACGTTCTCTCCGTGAATTGAAATGGAAGCCCAACGGACTAGCCAAACGATCGCATGACCTGACAGGCCACACACTAGCAATCCTTGGACTCGGCGGTATTGGTATGCGCTTAGCTGAGCTCGCGCACGCGTTCCCTATGCGAATCATCTATTATTCAAGACACAAGGTAACTGATGCACCTGAGTGGTGCGAGTACTTCGAAAACGTGGAAGAGATGCTGGCCCAGGCCGACGTCCTCAGTGTCCACGTCCCATTGAACCCAAATACTGTCGGTCTGGTAGGAGAGAAGTGGATCAGAGCTTTGAAGAAAGGCGCTATCATTATCAACACTGCTCGGGGAAAGGTGATTGACGAGGATGCTATGATACGAGCCCTTGAGGACGGACACGTGAGCAATAGATTTATTCAATGTTGTCCCTGCGGTAATCATGAGATTTCATAGCTTGCTTCTGTCGGTCTCGATGTATTCCCCAATGAGCCGGAGGTCAATCCAAGGCTCCTCGAGTTCCCGCACGTTACACTCCTACCTCATATGGGTACGGAAACTCGGGATACACAACACAAGATGGAGGTTAGAGCGTTGAAAAATATTCAAGATTTTCTGAAAAATGGTAGGGGAATCGATGTCATTCCCGAAATGAAAAATATGTAGCCTAGCAATATAAAGTTTATCCATAACTTGTTGCCCAGTGCCACGGGGTATCGAACTCTATCGAATCATCGAGAGAAGGTGATTGGCACGAGGATGCCTTGAGGCTATATATGTGTGTATGCACAATGCTGTAGCAGTTTACCTTCACTCTTTACTATCAAGGATTTCTCGATGGCCTCATCCTCGACGTCCACAAATGGCGCTGCCACCCCCCGACCGATACAAAGGTCTGCTGACTCGGAGAACGGAGATTCTACCCAGGCACTTAACTCGTTAAGCAGCACGCTTTCGAAGCTGTAAGTGAACCATAACAGTCTTTGATGAATGCGATGTCTCACGGTGAGACAATTGTCAGAGAAATGGATTTTCTTGCTTTGAATTCCAGCCAACCTCATGAGAGAAATAACTTGCAACAAACAGTGCGCGATCTGAATGTTGACCTAAAGTTCAGAATGCTGACTTCTTGACTCGTTCAATGCGCAAAGTCGGAGGAAGCACTCAATGGAAAAACTCGTCAGCTCCAAGCCGAGGTCATACAATATAAGGCAGCACACGAAGGGGAAATCAACGAAATCAAATCGCGCATTCGAGAAGTGTACCCTAATGAGGTCGTACAGCAGTTGAGGTTTGTCAAAGCTGAACATATGAAACCAGACGAGGGAAAACACTTTACCTAGCCCTGGAATTCGAGACCACATCAAGGCGGAGGTTCAAGCCCTCACCAAAGATGAATTGAAGACTCAGTTTCCCAAACTAATGCCAGTTTCCTTGAAACAACAGTTGGACGACACCAATAAACAGTTGCGGAAGACAAAAAATGCATATGAAAATTCGTACGTTGCTAAGTTTTGTCCTATGTCTGTTCATTATAAACAGATACTGTTCCAGGGAAGCACGTAGCTTCAATTCCTCGATTGATATTGTAGATGCTGTCACTCGGAACGAGCAGCTCAAGCTTGTATTGAGACCAGACGGGGAAAAAAGTAGCTTATGGCCAGCGGACCTAAATTCTCTGTTTGCATATGACCGTAAGGAAGATCTGAAATATTTTTGGCTGGAAAATGCTGATCAGTCAATAAATCACAGCTGAGAATGTCAAGAAATTACTAAGGGACTATGAGCTGCCGATCGACAAGGCACACGATGCCAATATTAACTGCTTCTTGGGCTACATCGGTATGTTGTGCTGCCGTTTTACTGAAGATAATCATTTGAGCAACTCGAGGCAGGTGTGAAACAGCAGTTGGTCTGACTCGCCAAGCATACATACAACAAAATCGTACATTAAAGATATTGTTCCGGTTTCGACGATTGCTACAACACACTCAGTTATTCACATGGTGCAAAGTTGGCGCATGGCACGGCTTCTTGCACCGTGTCAAAGCTGTAAATTTCATCCTTCATTTGCCCATCTTTCTCTTTATTTTTTCCGGACAGTTTCAGAGATCGTTTGTCTGTGCGTTCCATTTTTGCATTTTCCTTGACTATCTACTTCCGATCCTCTACAATCATCAACATAGGTTTTGTCCTATTTTAGCTGTACATTAGCATTTAAACACTGTCAATCATGAAATGTCGAGGTGAAGTGGGTAGTGCACGGCCAGCTGCCAAACTACTTGGTCGCCATCTCATTATGGAAGGGTTATTATTATGTAAGACTTTCGAGCTGTTCAAGGCCAAACACGTTACTACAGCCTTCAATCAAGGTGCCAAGATGTTATATCTTGATACCGAGTTTCTTTGTTTATCGCGACCTTACCCGATCACCCATGTCGCATCTCGTGGACGTACTAGCCAGCTTAGCGAATTCTGAAAACAATGTTGCCGCAGGCTTGGGAGAAGTCTTGCAAGCATTTGTTGCTGGTTCCTATCCTTCACCTGGACCAATATTAATCGAGTTCGGACACCGAACGATGGCGTTGGGCCGGAAACGAATGTCTACGATGACAGGGCGGGTCAGTAGTTTCAAGGTAGCACGCTTCATTGTTCTTTTCAAAATGACTTCGTCATCCCACAGAATGCGTTCCTATACGTCAAAGGAAAGTTCGGGCTCCTCAACGCCTCAACACCGTTATTTCTGCAGGCTGTGATCACTGGCAGGGCAGATGGAGCCTTTGTCGAGATTGACCTGGACGCATGGGAAGAAATCGTCCCTTACATCGAAAAACTTCGAATCATTACTTGAGTGTCAAAAGTGAGTAGCACAGACGGTGTATTCTGCATTTCCTTGAACCCAGTCTCTGCCAGCAACTTCCATCTTACGCCGAATGCAACATGTACTATTTGCGTTCGACGACGCTGTCTACGATCATCTCGACACTCCAGAACACTTCAGCTTGGGGTCAGAGTGCATGCTGCCGGCACCATCATCATTCATACAGATGTTCACGTCGTCGTCAATATCGGTTTCAGTGGTCGAGTACTTAAAGAAATAGTTCAAGTTACACCGTTGCATCTCACATCTGAGAACTTACATACTTGATCCCGGTTGTCTTTTCGTAAGCAACGATGCGGTTAGCCTGTTTTTCAAGTTTATCAAGTGATCTTGCTCTTTCATCTGGAATTCACGAGAGCATTGCGTATGTTACGAACAGAGTACTGGGCTGACCTGACCTGGTCCTAGTAGGTGACCTAATATCGATGATACTCCTCCGACTCCGATCCGAACTTTTCTTTTTTTTCGGGATACTCCTCTTGTGGAATAAGATACGCGCGATTTTTTATTTTTTCTACACCTATAAAAAGCTCCAGATTGGGCCCTATGACTTCTGAGTCTCATTTTACTTGCCTCCAAGATTCGACATGTCTTCATCTCCTGCTAAAAAGATGACCTATGGTGTGTCTTGCGGCCATCCTCTGCATCAGTGTGTAGCTAATGTACTCCTGCTTAGCTCGCCTAGGGAACTCTGGGCTCAAAGTGTCCAAAATCATCCTAGGCACTATGCAGTACGGAAGTCCTGAGTGGCAACCATGGGTATTAGGCGATGAAGATGAGGCTATCAAACATATCGAAACAGCGTAAGGCTTTGACCTTCTACATCTCGCATTGGTTGTGGTTTACGCTTAGACGCACAGCTACAACGCAGGCATACAGACATTCGATACGGCTGATGTGTGTAGATTTTACAGCCTTGCTTCGGGCGAATGTCTTGAACGTTAAGATCTAGGTCTATTCGAATGGTCTCTCAGAGGTCATTCTAGGCAAAGCAATCAAGAAACTTCACCTTCCCCGCGACGAAATTGTTGTAATGACCAAGGTATACATTTGGACTACAACGGCGTTCCGTCTTATTCCAGCATCTCACGTATGCTCCCAGTGTTTTGGTGTCGTTGGGAAAACTGCCAGTGAAAACCTTATCGCAACTCGGGCAGATCCTGACGCAAATGGCTACGTCAACCAGTACGGCTTGAGTCGCAAGGTTTGCTTTTGTGAACAGTTGAAAATTCGCCTATATAACTTACATGAGTCTCAAAGCACATTTTTGCTGCAGTTAAGAACAGCCTGAAGCGCCTCCAACTCGACTACGTCGATGTGCTGCAGTGTAAGTAGGTGGATTTCCAGTTGTGATTATTCTCAACTCTCATATATCTCCAGGCCATCGTTTCGACCCCGATACTCCAATCCCAGAAGTGGTATCGTCGATTTTATAATGAATCATTCATCGCCGCTCACTCCTCTGAGGTAGATGCAAGCTTTGCACGATGTTGTACAGGCTGGTTATGTGCGCTATATCGGAATGAGCTCTTGCTGGGCCTGGCAATGTCCGTCGTTTTCTAACGATCTCTTCGTCTATTTTGTGCTGATAAGTTATTTGTGGCAGTTCATGCCATGCAAAGTGAAGCGAGTTCTCACTTTGTTCCTGCCTGTACTCACACATCCTGTAGATTATGCTATCAACAATAAATTGACGCCCTTCATCTCGATGCAAAATCACCACAATTTGGTATATAGAGAGGAAGAAAGGGAAATGTTCCCAACTCTCAAGGTGATATAATCATGTACCGGTTGATTGTAAAGCTCACTGACATGTGAATTCTCTAGTATTTTGGGGTCGGGGCAATTCCTTGGTCCCCTCTTGCTCGTGGCCTTCTGACTCGACCTCTGGATGTTCAGACCACACGAGGCTCCAGTGATTGGTGAGTTATCGCCTGTTATCGTTATCATCAATTTGAGCACAGTGTGAGAACATCCACTTGAACCTTTCTGATTCATTGTGCTACTTGTAGGTTCATCGGGAAATACACAGCCGCACTGGGAACAGAGGAGATCATAAAAAGGTCAGATGAGACAATGAAAACACGTTGCGCAAGCAGTGACTCATGCGAGTCATACTTCCTTTTTCAGAATTGAGCAGATTTCTACTAAGAAGAATATATCTATGGCACAGGTTGCGGTAGCCTGGAGCCTTGCGAAAGAAGGTGAGATCGCTACATTTGTATCCCTGGCATTGTAACAAAAGTGTAATAGGTGTCACCGCCTCTATTGTGGGCACCACAAGCCTTCGCAACTTAGAAGATATAATTGGTGAGCTTTTTGTTGTTCAAGGGATTACCTAGTGAACCAATCACGCCTGTTTCATCGCTGTAGCCGGAACACACGTCGTCCTGGATGCTGAGGAGATGAAGTTCTTGGAAGAACCGTACAAGCCCACAGAAGTCATTGGACATATGTAACAAGCCGTCTGTCACCTTTTACGAAGTGCTTGTATTCGATGTGGAACAAGGTAGACACGTTGTTGAAATATCAATTATATTGTGATCCCGTCCAGATGTAGACTTTAATTGTGTATTTTTCCATATGACAGTGATGATAAGCTGTGATAGGCACTGAGTTGGTCCTTCAACTCAATTTCTGAAATAAGCGCTTGAAGATAGGATATCCCACCTTGAACAACCCAAACTTTTGCCTCTACATTATAATAGCTCTGCCAGTGCATGTCCTTGAGTACTTTTGGAGGGATGAACTTGATTGATTGGTACTCAAGACGGAAGCGCGGAAGGCATGAGTTAGCCAGAGTCATAGAAGAGTTAATCCAGATTAAATCCGGATTTGAGCGCTTGATACCTTCGACGCGTGTCCTCATCGAGGCGTGCCCCCACAGAGGCAAAGAAGGTATAACAAACCTAATATCATTAAATAGAGCCGCGATCCTGTTATGAGAATTAATTTTCCCTCCCAATCTCCACATTCAGTATGCGCCCCTTCGACAGTTTCGATAGTTCCAGTTCCGAAGGTTGGATGGAATCGTTGCATAATTTTGACTCTTATTATAGGTCTGTATACCGTCACTTCCTTCATTGCTTATCGTTGAGACCGTAAACTGAAGCGTCTCTAGCCCACAAACACAACAGCCAATGCACGCGCTCGATGCTTTCTCCCAGAATACAGTATACTATTCAAATAGTGCACTTTTCGAAGAGACCACCGATTTCGTGAAATACCCCTATAAGCATTATGACATTGACGATGAAGTAAGTGTCGCAATCGGATGTTGTAAAATCGTCTAGGATGACCGATGGCGAATTTTCAGCTTTTGGATTTTTCATCCCCAGTATCAAGCTCTGCGTCTATGTTGTCGCCTTCTTCATCATCCGATTACTCTGTGCCGGAATCGTACTCGCCGACGAACAGTCCCCAAGGAAATTTTCCCGCGACTATGACCTGCTCACCTGCCGATATAATGCCTTCCACATTCTCTATCAACGATGAGTATCAGGAAGGTCCATCAGCCCAAAACCCATTGGAACTGAACACCTTTGACACTTTCTATAATAACCAAAGTCTTCGCTCATCGACCTCGGAGATTGACACTGCTGAGGGCTGGGTCGAAACGTCTTCCTGGTCTGTCAGACCCCCAGCTTCATTCGCGGATTTCTCAAATCCCCGGGCCGCGATTGATAAAGAGGAATTGTTGGTCCACCCTGCGGTGCCGATATCGCCACAGCAAGTTGACGATTTCTCCTCGTGTGCTACGACTACACAGAAGAAAACCGCCAAGGCCCACAGGCGGCGAAATAAGAAAGTTCAATCCCAGAGCATTGCTCCCCGCTTAGTCTCCTCGTCGCCTGCTGATTCCTATGTGGCCCGGTCACCTGTCTCGTCCATATCTCACAACTACCACCCGCTACATTCAGAATCATCGATTGATATCGTTCAACCACAGGCATCGACGTCTGCTGTGGTCTCGAATGTTCCTATCACACGAAAGAGAAAACGAAGCTATCAAGATGAAGATTTTTCCTACTATAATGTTGCCTCTCACCATCGGGCAGCAAAAGAACGAATTTCGTATTCGGAAGACGGTGTGGAATCTAATGACGATGATGACCCGGAATACATTAGTTGTCATGTCGAAGACTCGGAAGATGATGATTACGGAGGTAGCCAGAAGCAATCAGCTCGTACTAAGAGGAGCAGGGCTTCCACAAGCAACATTTCTGGTTCAGATCCTAGATTCCCGTGTCCAGCACCGGGCTGTAGACGTATTTTCAATCGTTCAGCCGATCAACGGCGCCACAGCGAGAGTGCACACGAGCACAGGAGGTTTCCCTGTATTTATTGTCATGCAGTCCTGTCCCGACATGATGCCCTGATAAGGCACCAGGTCAAAGCCAGGAGATGTGGAAGGAAGGCGCGCCAAGCACAAGGGAGAGTTCCTAACGCCTCTTTCGAGGCTGACGATGGCTGATATATGCATATCTCTATGTGATTTGCTTTTGCTTTTGCTTTGGAATCTGTTCGGATGTTGTTATATTTACTGGGTTTCGTGCTGTTTCGTGTTTTGTTTTCGATTTGATACCCTTGCGTCTGTACTGTTGCTTGTGTTTTGGGGACATTATAAGTGAATTTAGTGAATGAGGAAATACATCACTGAATACATGAGAATGACAATTAGAGATACAAGGTCTATGTGTAGGATAGCAAATACCGCCCGATTCCGGATGAAATAGATTATGATTACTGTGTCAGTCTTCATGGAGGTGAGATCCAAGAACTTTGTTCATTTTGAACATGTCTATCTGTGAATTCGGAAGGAGGAGTGACAGTGAAACGGTTCAACAAAATAAATGAGAGGAAGGGGAAGCGTCACTGTGGGTCATGAACAGGATACAAACATAGAACGCACCTTGTCAACATTGAATATCGCTCTCAGATTCTGGTCGCAGAGAATTTCTCGCCTGTTATCTGGGTTCTGTCGCTCATTCTCCTTTATATAAACCCACAGCTGCTTTACGACTTGGGGACGAGACAGTTTGTCCACTTGTAAGAGTGCAGCTAACGGTGCGCTATAGACATTCTCAGTTGTAGTCCAATCTCATTGAAATATGTATCTGATACCTCAGAGTATATTCTTTTGCAAACCCACCCTTAGCGGCGCCTCCGCCCGCGCGTTTCTTCTTCGTCTTCTTCCCTCCTTCCTCGCCAGTATCTTCATCGTCAGAATCAATTGTTGTAGCACTTTTCTTCTTCGATCTAGATTTTTTCGGAGTCCCATTCGCTGCACGACCCTTCCCTGTACTCCTTCTTGTGCTTGAGCGACCGTTGATTTCACTGGACAACTGCCGCGCTAGTTCCGCGTCGCTCAGTCCCTTCTTCGGCCCTTTCCTGGACTTTTTTGGCATGTGCTCAGCTTCATCATCATCATCATCAGCATCCTCCTCCTCCTCCTCTTGCTCCGCTTCCTCCTGATCCGAAGAGTTGTATCGCCTTGACGCGGTCACAGGTTCTTCAGGGGCGTCAATGACCTCTCCATTTTGTGCGGCACTCACTTCCCCGAAGACTCTCGTGATAACAGCATCGACGTCCAGCTTATTCGCTTTGACGAACTCGGGGGTTAAAGACGGATCCAGAGAAAGTAGTTCGCGTCGAACGCGCTTAGCGCTTATAGTTGTGAGATCAGTTCCAGGGGCTGACAGAATTTGGCGAACGAGCGGCTCTAAGTCATCAAAGCTGTAGCCCATGATTCCAATATGACTGTAGTAGATGTAGTGTAGAGACGATAAGATAGACTAAAGGATATCGTTTGTGGTTGGGGTAGAACCTCAAGCGTGAGAACTATGTACACTTCGCTGATTACATACCCGAAAATCTTCGTGCAAGCTATACTTCATGTCATTTGTTCTGAGCTCCGGTACATACTCTATACAATATATATATCACCTTAACATTGCCCACTCATCCCTAGCGGGATCCCCGGGAGCTGGAAACATTCCATTCCCCGCTGGAGCTTCGGGGACCGCTTCCTCTTGTTGTTGTTGTTGTTGTTGTTGTCGTTGCTGCTGATCATGACGCATCCTCCGCACTATCCGAGTTCGCACATAGATCAATACAGACACTGTCACACAAAGCATGACCAAGAGCATAGTCTCCGAATACTCGTCGTCGTCGTCTTCATCTGGCCGTAAGCCTGCATCCAAATAGTCCTCCCCTCCATATTCAGCCTCTCGTGCCTCTGCGTTTCGACGGTCCCGAGCCCATTGAATTGGGTCGTCTTCTTCTTCCACGCGAGACTGGCTGTTACGCCTACGATGAAACTCATCGCGAGCTTTTCCCAAATACCATGGGCCCTCGTCATCATAGAAGATTTGCTCTTCGGTTGATGATGGTTGATCGGACACGCTTTCCAACTCCCGTTCAGGTACTCTATCAATGTACTCTAATTCCATACGGCGATGTAAGCAAGCTGACAAGGTCAAATTGAGCCAAACAACGCACCCGATTGAATTTCTGAGTCATCTTCATCGAACCAGATGTTAAGACCACCTTTTCCACCTAATATAGTATGCCATATACTGCGGACATATAATTTTGCCAAGGAGAAAAAAACCGGCAGGTAAGCTTCTGAGTTCGTTTGTGCTGCTAAATCATAGTGTCTTTTGGCAAGGTGAAAATCCTGATCAAAATTAGACAATGCTAAGGATATATTCACGTCAATTACCTGAGGAACGCCAACGCCATTCTCATACATCCATCCCAAGTTCCACATCGCTAACGCACTCATTTGAGTATCGGCTGCTGACTGATAATATTTGGCTGCCTTCTCGTAACGGAAAGATTCCTTCTCATCTGGAACGCCCAAGCCATGATAATAGTAGTCTCCCACTTTAACCAGAGCATCAATATTGCGTTGTGCGGCGGCACGGGTCCATTGTGTAAGAGCAAGCAAAGCAGTATCGTTAGAGGGCGTCATTGGAGAAAAGCGCGTAAACCGTAAGATGCTTTTATCTGAATCAATCAAGATTACTATTTCGACCAATAATAAAAAACACGAATTTACCTTGGTCTAAAATATATCCCAGATTATTTTGTGCAATTTCGGATCCTCGTTCAGCAGCTAGCCACCACTTGAGGATAGCAATCTCCTTGCTTTCGTCGGTACCTCGTGCCCAGGCAACCTCTGCTTCCCTCAGAAAATCATCGTCCCAAGAACCTCGCTCTGCTATGATTTTGTAGAACGAAACTCCCATGGCACAGGAAGACGATGCGATATTTGAAGGCACCATGGGGTTAGTCGTTTGACTTGCATGGATCTGGCCAAGATAGTAGTACGCTTCAAAGGGAGAGCCAAGGCGAACAGCAGCTTCGAGATACGTGGTAGCAGAGACTATATCGCCTTGCGCTACATAAGTACGAAAAGATTCATTCGTGATGATTATAAACTCTAACTTAAATGCTCACCGAGATGAATTTTAGCAATGTTGACCTGAGCTTCCGCGAGGTCTTGATTCGCCGCTGCCATGAAATGATACATAGCCTTTTTTAAGTTGGGTTTGAGACCAGGTATTAATCCATCCCGCCAAATTATACCAAGACCATTATGACATTCTCGATCACCGTAAACTTCACCTCGTTCAAACCAGAGCTTCGCAATTATAGGATCCGCTTTGACTCCTTCGCCTCGCAAATACATTCGACCAAGATATGCAGCACTGGCTGCTGCGTGTCCTACTGGCAAGTTCTCGTCCCTTTGGACAGCTGCCGCTTTGTGCTGAAGTGGGTTGCTAGGATCGCGCGGCCAAACTTGGCGGGCGATCTGTTCAAAATAGTGTTTTGCTCGTGCAAAATCTCGCGGGATAGCTCCGACACCTTCACTTCCAGAACCAATTCCTCCTGGTGAAGCATAGATACTACCTTGGTAGTATATCTTTCCTAAACGGAGGGCAAAGTCTGTTTCACCTCGGTCTGCATTGAACTACAAAGGACGGAGTTAGATTATAGCTTAGAAGATGGTTCAAAATTTTACCAGGTAGTAGTCGAGAATATCTTCCCAAGTTTCACCAGATGCTCGCGAAGCGCCCGCCTTAATAGCGGCTCGATTAACATTCATACCCGTTGAGGCTACACTGGCTCCATATCCGTAGATTCCGCCGTCGAGATCAGACAATCGAGTGTGCGTTTGAGGCAGGGTTCTTCCACCCGGCGGTCCCGAGAGGAACTTGGCCATCGCTATGCTCCACCCAACAAAAAGATCAGAGAAGAGAAGAGAGAAATCGAACAAACTGGACTTACAGTGCTCGGCGGCATGCTCGTACCAATCTACAGCTCTTTTGCAGTCCTCCAAAGTTCCAATCCCGCTCCAATAACGATATCCTAGCGCCATCTGAGCACCTTTATCGCCCCCATTCGCAGCAAAGGTGTAATATAGCTGTGCCATAGACGGATTGACTTGTACAACACCATGATAACCAGTAGCGTAGAAGAAAGCTAGATAACTTTGAGATGTCGCGTTCCCGGTTGTTGCTGCATGTGCGGAGAAAGATTTGAACGCAATGTGTGGGTCAGCTATGAAATGAGGAGTTGGAGGAAACTAAGAGCCAAATAAGTATGGGAGCATTCAAGTGACAGCTGACCAACGCACCAAAGATATCTTTGCGTAGGTAAATAGCGCGTCCATATTCCCTAGTTCCGCAGAATGTTGCAATAAATCTACGACCTTGATAGCTTTGGGGTGTACATCTTCCGTTTGTCGTTTGGGAGTTGTTTGTTCCTTGTGGGATCCAAGTTTTTGCTGAATTTTGTAAATGATGCGATATATGCTGCCGATAGGTCCCCTTCCCTGGAGAGTGGGGATGAAAGAGAGTAGCGACTTTGAATTTGAGGCATGAGCTGTGGCATCGTATGTATATGCTGGTGGATGGGCTGTCAAAGTGGACAGAGTGTACAGAGCTTGTTTGTATGCTCTAAAAGCTATGTATATTCATTGACAACAATTGTATTGGGCTCAATACAGAAATCAAACCTTCTGCTGCCTGCTCATCATGCTTCTGTGTATCTGACACTGTCTGGCACAAAATCAGGATTGGTTTGCTTTGCCGTATTAATAAGAATACTGACCGAGGGTATATTGTCGCTTGCTGTTGTCCCTCCTTGTAGTGGCGTGTGCTGAGCAACCTCAGGTCCCTGAGAAATGTCATTGAAGAGGTATCGCAAAACTGGTATTAGTAGAAGAGCAGACTGAAATGTACACCACTCACACTCTGGGATGCTACCTCAGTGGTTGATTCTTGTGCATACGAGTTCACGGCAGCTAATGCGACCAAGCCAAACGCTAGCCAAGATGCTTTTCTCGCGCATGTTTTCTTCTGCGCCGCCATAGGTTTCACTAAAAAGCATAAATAGAGCAAGCTACCCGGTGGTGGTAGATGGTGGAGGACGTACGCAGAATTCAAGAGCGTGTCGCGGACATACTTACGTGTCAAAGCGCATGACAAAATGTACGTGGCGCCAATCTAATCTAATCTCATGCCAAAGGCCGTCTAATCCTATTCAAACTGTTTGACCAAGTTACACCAAGAAATACACTGTTCGCGGTATTTACATGTCGGTAGAGAAGCAATGGAGGCCTCTAAATTCTCTTTGTGAAAGTGATCTCCGCCAACAGCCCAGCTGGCTCGTAAATACATCCACAGAGCCTCGTGGTCTGCGTATCTACTCAATAGGGAGATAGCCTGCTTTGAGAGTTGGTCAAAGGAAAGATCAACGTCCGGCATCTCCTCATGAGTTTTTGTCAGCCCATAAAACCTGCGTACCAGCCTGCAGAGATGATGGGCAGCACTATAGTCGGAAAGATGATGCTCCATCCATCGAAGTAGCTGATTGGAGGCACGTGTGACTATTGGAAGATAATCGCCTTCTGCCATAGCGCAGCTCTCATAGAGGTTGTCCAAGCAATATTCCCAATGAGCCCAAGCATAATAGTTTCTCGGGTATGATTCACACCCCCTTAGAATAATCCCAAGTTCTTTCTCAAGCAATGGTGCAGGTATTGGTCTTGGACGTTCCCGATTATGGATATACTCGGTTTGGAAAAGCCATCGACGGTGATCCCATAAGATAGATTGTTTTGAGGCCTCTCGACTGGAAGATAGAAGAAGGGTCGAAAAATCTAGCTCTTGCTTCACAGACCAATGCGCTGCTAGGATGAGACGTTTACGCTGATTCAGGGCGGTCTGATGAGCGGGATTAGCGAGAAGTATGATAGAAGAAGCCTCAAGCAGGGATGTGGTCTCATGGGAAGATGGAGAGCACCTTGAGGATCGTAGACGAAATTGTTTGAGGAGAGAAAGAGCACATGGAAGAAGCTTGTATAAGAGCTTCTGAGGCAACCCTAAATGTCCATCAACGAGTAGGAAAGGAATTGCAAGATCTGTTTGCCATTGCTCTATCGTTCCGGGAAGCACTTCAACTGTAGCACTGGGAAATTTTAATATGCGGGGCTCAGCAGAGCGTTCGGAACTCACAGAGAAGTGTTGAGAGCATCAGTAATAGTAGTGATCGTTCTCATCTCATCGTAAAACATGGTGATGGTGGTGGTGAAAGACAGTTAGTGGCTGTGCTTCTATGTTCTTTCATTCTGCACTCAACAGTTTACGACCGGCTTTCATTCCGAACTCATATAGACGTTGCTTCAACACATATAGAGCTGCTACCAAGCGCAGGATGGGGTCAATCAAGCCACTTGATGCTGCAGCGGGTCCCATGGTCTGGATCGACTGCGAAATGCGAGTCGTATACTTATTTTCTCGTCGAGTTTCAAACAGTCGTATTGACGATATCTCCTTGTCAGGACAGGACTGAACCCAGAAAAAGACAAGATACTTGAAATTGCTGTGAGCGGCTTACGCGAAATGCATGTCTTGCATCTTATTTGCGTCTAGGTGCTTATAACCAATGGCAATCTCGAAATCGTAGACGAAGGCAAGACCTCCTCGAAAAGCATAAAGTAGTGTCTTAGCCGCTGATGTTAGTTTTGAAGGCGTGGAGTACGTTATTCGGACTGACAAAGAGATTCTGGATCGGTGAGCATTGGTTACATTCACGGTCGTTGGTTTTGAATTTCTAAGATGAACTATATAGAATGGACGAATGGTGTACGAAACAACATGGGAGTGTGAGTATCTAGTGCTATGAGAACCACGAGTCATACTGTTAAGAACATTTCCAACTAGTCCGGATTGACGAAAAGCTGTCTTGTTTCCCCTTATACCCGTGAATATGTCGCAAAGGCGGTACTGGCCTACGTGAAGAGATGGGTACCCAGTTCTCGAAACGCCGTTCTCGCAGGAAACTCGGTTCATGCCGATCGCTCGTTTCTGGTCAAGGAAATGCCGGAGCTCATAAATTGGCTTCATTATCGGTGTGTTATTTTGCTTGCGATCAGTTATTCAAATTAATGAGGGATGACATTTAGAATTGTCGGTGGGTCAATCTATCGTCAAAAACTTCACTCAACGGCTAACCCTTTCTTCGAGATGTATCTTCGATTAAGGTAAGCAGCACTGGGAATCCCGTTCAAGCGGATTTATCAATCTTTTGCCAGGAATTGGCGCGTCGCTGGTACAAAAATCCTTCTCAGCAGACACCGCGCCTCTATGAGAGCGACCATCGGTGAATATGCATCATCATATCTTTTATACTGTCGAATTGATATACTACGCACACTACCTCCTACGTAGGGCTTTGTCTGACATCCGTGGGTCTATCAAAGGTGGGACACCATTGGTATTTTCTATCCTTGAACTTATGGCGAACTCGCGCAGAGTTAAAATGGTATCGCGAGAATCTTTTCGTGCTTCCACAACCAATGCCTTCCAAGGCTGAAGACTATGACTCCGGACCTCCAACAATATATTAGATTGTGGTCCGTCAACCTTCAATATTTGATGCACGTCCTGTATTTGTCGCCAGTGCGTAACATGTTCGTAGACGTCCGTTGAATTTTATTCAGGAATTTAGTTGCCAACGTACATACTCAAAACGAGAATATGAAGTGACGAACATGTGGAAATAGGACATACGACCATTGCTTGGGGAGAGGACACCAGTGTTCAGACGTGTTCAGGAATGAGCTCTAGCGAGTCAAGAATAGTAATATAGTTAATGGGAAGGTACATAATAGATAATGACTGTATGTCGTTCGGGTCGGTAGGAGTAGTAATCGGGGTCAGAAGTCCCATAATGTTCCCTGTAAAAACCCGCTTCATTGAGCCTCGTATCTCAGTGGTGATAAGATCACTCACAAATGCAGGAATTCCCGCTTCCTTACAGCCTTCCATCATTTCCTTGTTACCGATCCAGTTTGAAGTGATGAAGACGATTTCAGCGTTCCAAGATGTGTAAACTTCTTTTATCAATTTCATTGTGTCTGGACGACCGCCTGATTGTAAGGTAAATCAAAAGCGTGTCTAATTGCATAATAAAGGTGCAACCAACCTCTCTGTTTTGAGTCCCAAAGGGTAACACGGCCCTCCAGATTATCATGAATCAGACCTGCAATTGTTGGACCAAAAGTCTTTTCCTGATCAGAACCAATCCAGATGAGATACCTGGATTTTGAGAGTTCCAATCTATGTTTGTTCGTTTCAACTATACCAAGAAAGCTCACCAATTTGGAGACTGGATTCAAGGAGTAACGATACGAGAAAGTTAGGATTGAATAAATCCCAGGCACCGGAATATGCTCGCACCTGCAAACACGTTGATAGTGCTGCGCCTAGCCCTGTTCCGGTACAAACTCGGATTCCTCTCTGAAATCATAGGTCAAGAACTCTAGAACGTCATAGAGGAGCAAAGAGCTAGCTATACCTTGTATAGGGTGGAGGTGTTGGAGACACCAGCGAACTGCAGAGGCATCAGGATCAGCTTGAGCGTCAACAGATATAAGAACGACAACTGTACTTTAAGCTGTCTGGTCCATATACGCGTCGGGGGATTCTGTATGAGCCCTTTCGTGAAATCTCCTTGAACTCCACAGATCAAATAATGGTATTTGGCGTCAACACCCTCCCTGAAGGACGTTTTCGCGTTTAGTCGAAGGATGATTACCGGTCGATATCGCGAATGCGACGTACGAGATGATCCCGAAAGCATGATACTCCATGATAGAACTTCGCGAAATCCTCGCTAGAAGCCCCTGTTGCATTCCACGTTCGAAACGTAGCACAGCGACCTTTGGCGAAGGCTAGAACATCATGTCGTTGAGAGTCAGATACGCCGAAAAACTGGGTGAAGAAGCCTTACAATCTCAACGTCGACCTTCACAGACCGGATTGTCAACCATGGCCAGAGGATTCTTATCAATTTCTTTGAGCGAACCGTCTAGATTTTGGAGAAGCGTATGGTCTTACAGGAAAGTCATCATGACTGCAAACCAAAAGTCCTGTTGTTCAACAAGATGCAATCCATTAGGATTCCAGGTGTGCGTGTCCAGGTCGTAAGTATCCCCGAGTACAATGAAAACCCATGCTGGTTCAACAAGCTCAAAATAGATAACAGGACATGAAGATTACCAGAAACATACTGCATATCAGTCCAAGCCTTGAGGGGTCCAGGTTTATCAGTCGAACCAAAAATACAGGAGAGAAAATCACGAACCATCCAATGAACCGGTGATGTCTTTCGAATACGCTGAATAGAGGTGCATCATGAGTCAATTTATCAGGCCAACCTCAATTCAAAAAGATGAGCCTACTTGTGGTGAGTATTCCGGACCCAAGGAAAAGCGGATAGTATGGACACAGCTATGGCTATATTTGTGACGACACCCATGGCTAGAACCGCATCGTGGGTATTTTTGTGGTTCATGAAGTTTATCACGACGCGGAAAATCAGCCACATGAATCCAGACGTCGCACATCCTGAATGAATACCGCCTAGATGCTGCAATATTGACGTACAAGCCAGTCGGAACGATAAGGGGGTCCACTGAAAACCTCTCCTTAGTTTATCGATAGGAACAGTGAATAATGACGTGCGGACTAACCTTGGCAAAGAGGGTATTTACGAATAGATACAAGAATCGACCGAATAATTCGTTCCGCATGAGGAGCGCTGTTTGTAAATTACCCAGGATGAACGCGCTAGTATAGTGTCGAGGATACTGCCAGACACCAGTCGCAGCAAGGATTAGACCAATGACGTTGAGGATGACCGTCAAGGTGTAGAATTTTCTGTGGAACCCAAAATTAGCACTGGATCAGAGGAAGTATACCATAAGATTATATCACCTGTAAGTGTTGAACCAAAGCTGAAACTTTAACCATTTGCTAACTTTGGGGCGAGGACTTGGCTTGGGTGGGTCTGGTTTACTGATCTCAGCCCCCTTAGATTTAGATACAGAGTCCGGAGAGCGAGCCTGTAAAGTAGAAGTATCTGATGGCAAACGCTTCAGCTCCTTGTGCGCAACATCCTTGATAGAGGCCGTGGAGGTCATAGTATCGAGAGTAGCCATGGATGATACATGCTCCAAAGTTCCCTTTTCGGCGTCATCGACAGTCCGTACAGTAGAAGACATTCTGATCAGGAGGGAGGAAGAACAAGGAGTGAGTGCCCGATGTTCGATTTTAGGATATGCTGCTTCTTATATTGTGTAAATGGGATTTGTTTGGGTACTGTTAGGATATGGGACCAATAGATACCGGTTGAGAATCGCCGACTCAGTACCAATATTCTTCCCGAAGTGTTAGCGAACGACTCACGCAGTGGATGAATTCCTCATGAAGATTATGTGTCTTAATCAAGGGAAACACCGAGCATTACGGCGAATGTTTGGTGGGCTGAACAGTGGCAAACTCAGAATGTCTATTCAAGCTGCCAAAATATTCAATTGGACAATTCGGGTTCGTGAAGGTATCGCTTGAAGTTCAAGCTGGGCCCTGAAATGTAAGTACATAGCCATGGAATCGGAAAGAAAATATTACTCAACTCGAGCAAAGTTTTTCAACTCCTGCTAAATGATTGTCATACCGTCCAGTCCGCATTCGTTCCTGGTCCCAACGATATAGGAACCTTGAGGTAAGTAATTCCTATCGGGAAGGACAGTCTGACAGACAGTGTTGAAGGTACACGTCTAACGTTCTTCCCTATACAACAAGTCTATGTGTGGACAAATTTTGACCCCCTGCCAAACAATTCCTACACATTACCAGAGCGAATCCTCCATTTACAACGAAGACCGCATAGTACACACGGGAAGTTCAACGAGATATGTCAATGTCACCGTATGAAAAAATGCGTATAGGGCACGACAATACAGCAAACAGGGAGCAGGTGGGAATCGTGGCCTTGTACAACCGCCAACCGTCCCTGAACTGTCCCTAGAGCTGTGCTTGTGTCGGAAACATTAAAATTCGCCCGTAAGCAGCAGTAAGCGCTCATAAACCCCATAATCGAACTGCCGATTATGCCGGATCCTAAACCTTCATAGAAAATCATAAGCATTCTTTACTAATTGAGTAGCATAAGCGCTCTTAAGCCTTGTGCGAAGGCAAGCGCTTATAAACCCTTTAGAAGATATATTAATAAATATATCGGCACTCAGGCGCTCATTCTCTTTCCATTGTGCTTTATTCATTTCATCGAAGACAAGTACTTACTGTATTACATAATCAAACTGATACTGGAGAGGAAAACTTATTAGTAGTTATAATGGGGAATCGAACTCAAGACATTACATAGATACAATCACAAACTATCAAATACAATATTACCACTACACTAAATACACATTGTTATAAAAAACCCTTCAGTTAATATATCATGTGTATCACTCAGGTACGGTTTGCTCAGTTTTTACTTATATACATCTTTGTGAGCTTTCCTATTGATATGACTATGAATGTTCTATACTACCTGTTTCCGGTTCCGTGTGGTGCGGACTGGAGCTGGTGCTGATGCCTTTTGACTTTGGATTTGACTATCACTGCGACTGCGACCCCGGCCCTGACCCCGACTCCTGCCCCGACCCCGACCCCGACCACGATCCTGAACATTACCATTGCTCATGTTCTGAGGAATCTCAGTTAAATTGTCCTCAGGAGGCCAGCTTTCGTCTATATATTCAACCTCCATTGCGGTGAATTGAGTGGGAATTAAATCTGTGTCAATATTAATCGGAATGCTGGGAAGTGCTAAGATAAAATGAACATAAGTAGACAAAGGTTAAAGAAGATAAGTCTATACATACATGATGTATCTGCAGGGCGTGAATCAGCAAGTCTGATTGCCAGCAATGCCTGAGTAACCGCATCATCTTCGTGGTCATCATTTGTGGAACATACTGCTGCTGATGGCATTCCCAGAAAAACACGCTGATTGAAAAAGGAATAGAGCTGCTTGATATAGTTGGTGCCTTTTGAGCCATTTAAGAATGCACGATACGAGTAGAAGTTCTTTTTATAGTTTAATTGCGAATTTTTGCCAATGGGAACAAACTCGGTGTCGTCTGAAAGAAGAAATCGCACCTAAACAATAAGTTAATTAATGTTGAGCTTATTCAAATGCAGCGTAAACACACCAGAATTGCAGATAGTGCAATAGATGAATCATTGACACTTTTCACGCCCCAAAGCATCCCAGTGAGTGACGATCCATAATTGAAGGAATATTGGTCAAGAGTAAGAGATTGTTTGTTAAAAAAGATAGCGCGAAGAATCTACATACATTTGAGCTCTATATAGATATATTAATCAAGGAAATATGCACCTTCGGTTGAAAATCATTTATGAACAATTTTGTATCATCGCGAATTCCATTGGGATAGAATATAGGGGAAAATATATCATTTACAGCTGAAGATCCGGGAAATTCAAGCTGAAGTCTTAATGTTGTGGAATTCTGGCGCAACAAATTTGCTTTGGTTACCCATACAGCAGCCTCGACATTGATGCCTTGCATGATAATGGAAGCACACTCGCGCGTATTGTATGCAGGGCTGAACTCCGGCCTTGCTTTGCTTGTTGTAGAAACTTTGGAAGTCAAAGCATATTAGTGCCAACGTGAAAAGATTCAACAAGCACATACAGATTTTTGGAATGGACTATACTCTGCTGCTTTTTTGCGAAGATCTCGGTCATTCAAATACAGATGGAGCTCGTTTATAAGACCAGCCTCAAAAGCACTTTCATCCTTGAATCATTCCGGTGACACGCCTAAATTTTGGCTAGACATCTATGCTGTGAATTGTGACATTTTCACGTATAGATTTGTATCGAGAGGACTGTAATTGAGACCCAGATTGACAGTCAAAGTCAATACTGAATCAGTCTAATAAGTTGAAGGGACCATATACCCATACTACCACAAGTTGGTTAGTTTACCCATCCCCGATACTACCTACGGATAGCAGTCTACCTGTTTGTCAAGCAGGATTATACCAGACTCGGACTACATCCGAAGGATGACCATTCACGTATGACATACCAAGGGTATTCTTATTGGACCTTACACTGGCAGGAGTTTGGAAGAACTTACTCAAGTGACCATGAACCGAGGATTGACTCGAAATGACTTTCTAGAACTCAGGAATTATCAAATACTCCTTCTAGAACAAGATCATGCATTAATCTAAAGGACTGCGATTTAGTCTAATAGACCAATCAAGTTGCATGGTTGAGGAAAATGACTAGAAGAACGATCGAAGTACTGCGAGGCTCCGAAGACATATCAAATGAATGTCAAAGAGTCCTGACGTAGAAAATATTGAAGAATGCAATTAAATGAATACTATGTGTAACTCCCTTGATTGAGTATAGGCACAATGAGTGTCTATTGAAAGAGAGAAGCAATTAGTTTAATCCAGATGAATCAGATTGATAGGATTAGAATCGAGGAGAGCTGATTTGCCTCCGGACGAGATGACAAACGATCGAAGTAAGTGTTGAACCGCAATGACAGTTGAACACCATTCGAGTCATTCTCTAAAAACAATTAAATTAAATGAATATTGAAGTACCTACCTATGTTTGGAGGTATACTAGAATCTTGGAACCAATATGGACCAAATAAGGACATGTAGATTCAAATTAAATGGTATCTGACTGAGTGTAGAAGTTTCCTTGCGGTTCCGAACGTTTATTGTATTAAATTAATTGTACTATGCGACTCTATATTCTGTATGTATAAATAGCGATCCGATGTATCTGGAATACAAGTGATTTTGGGACGACGTTGCAGTGCTAATCCGTAAAAAGGAAAGACACACTCCCGCCAGACTGAAACCTCTTCGCTAGCAGCCATTCGGGCCCGGCACTTGTGAGTATAGGAACGTCGTGTTCTGCTCCTTGTGACTGCGAGAAGTCTATCCAGTTGTTGGGTATTCTTCGAACTTAGGATCAGTCGTTGGTCTTAAGGGCAAATCACGCTGTGTGGTTGTGCCAGCACATAGTTCTAGCCCTCCGTAGGGGTCTGTGTGTTTCGGTTTTAATTTACTTTGATTCAAACCCCCAATTCTTGATATACCCAAATCAATACAAACCAAAGCACAAATCGTGCTGAATCTACCTTGATCAAAGGAATATATCGAACCCTTAGAACGATTCAAATTGATTGATCAAAGCTTCGTGCTTAGCTCTCAAAGCTTTGCGGAACCTTTGCCAACGCTACCCCTTGCTATTAAATAAATTTGATAGCAGTGAACTCGCATATTGTGTATTAGATTGGTTGGTTGGAGTGCCCATTAGATTCCTTCCTTTCTCTTTCACACAAAAACGAGGCAAGCTCGTTATCTGGAGCCCACCGCGAGGGGTGGTTTTGAAGCTACATTTAGCTTGATAAATTAAATTGAACGTTTGTTTGGATTATATTCGATTATTTGGTAGAAGTGTGTTGATCTTTGTGATACCATTTCTGTGAACTGTCAACATTAGTTCATCAGGAAAACCGCGTACTTCGAAGAATTCGGAGAAAGCAGGAGTTTTGACACCGGAAGAATATCGTAAAGCAGGAGTTGTATTCGGGAGATCTACGTTCGGCACATCAGCTCGAACATCCCTATTAAATCCTACGAACGAATCCAGTCGTCCATCCTCTTCTCAAATACCGACAGAAGAATCGCGTGGAAGTTCTGTTTCTAGAGGAACAGGATCATCTATATCTCGAGGAAGACTTACATCTTTGCCGAGGAATCTGAAGAAATCTAATCTCGATCCGAAAAGAAAGAGAAAAGAAATTAATCCGATTGATATTGAAGAAGATATAATTGAATTGATTGCTCCAGAGTCAATTTCAACATCTTCTACGTCGATTGAATCAACTAGATTGATAGATACGTTACATCAGACTATCTCTCAAACAAGTAATACGATTGAACCAGTCAAAATGACTACCAATAATTATGGAATGCCTGCGTTGTCAGCTGAAGCTAAGGCTGAGATTGATAAAGCCAGTGCGAAACTTCCAAGAAAGTATAAGACAGCACCATTATTCGATATAACTGATCCAAGTCAAATGATACCATGGTTCGAAGCTACTGAAAGCATATTTGAACATGGAGGAATTACATCTGACGAGGCTAAAGTGAGATTAGCTTTAGAATGGACGTCTTATAAAACGAGACAAGCATTAAGAGTCTTTGATTCGGTGAAGAAACCGAATTGGGATCAATTTAAAAAGGATCTAAAGAATATGTTTCCGCAATCTGTAGGAGACGAAAGAGGATCTAGATTATTGCTTGAACAATTGGTCCATCAATTTAATCCAATTGATGCAGGTGAACAGGAGAAGATGAGAATCTTCAGACTCCTCTTCGATGCTGAAATGAAAAAGCTGATGGATGAACCGAAAATGATCACAAACAGTGATGCAGTAAGATTGTTCTTGGCACCTATGACTCCCGAAGTAAGGAGAGGCGTGCTAGAAACAGTTGTGAAAGATGTATCAGTTACTTCTATGTCAGATAGACGAAAGGAAGACCCTTTTAAGATTGACGAAGTAATGAATGCGGCCGAGAAGTATATGATTGGGAGTTCATTTGATAACTACTATCAAACACTTTCCATTGCTTCTTCGAGCCCACCAATTAATAACCCTAATTCATTTAGTAGGGGACACATTAATTTACCGTTTGCTGCAGATGTTCCCAAGACAGATAGGAACTATCTTCAAGCATTGAAACCCAAAGTAGAAGACGAATTTAAGGATCTTCTGGGAATTAAATTAGAAAGTTTGATCCCAAGGGAATTAACGGAGGAACAACAGCAGATGGTTGCGTTGAATAAAGACCTCATGGAGGCAAACATGAAAGAAATTAGAGCTGTGAAGTCATTACAGTCGCACTTCAAAGAAGGAGCAGACATTATGACGCAGTTAACAGCAGTAATGGCACAGATGGCCAAAGAAAATGCTAAAGGAATGATTAATTCGATACCACCGAGTGGTCCCTCGAATCAATCTAATAGATTTGAAAGAAATACGACACCGAGAAGTTCGAATGGAACTCAGTGGGCATGTTTCTTGTGCAAGTCGACAGATCATTTTATGAATGAATGTCCACACTTGCTGGAATTTACGAAAAGAGGTTGGATGATGCCTGAAGGAGGTGACTCGAAGCGTTACAAACTAAGAGACAACGCTAGAATGCCTCGAGACGATCCAAATGTACCTCGTTACAAGAAAATTGAACAAATGGCGAAAGACTTGGGATGGGATCGTGCTGAATCCTATTTTGCAAACATGGAAGATGACGAAGATGATAAAGTCATGGACCAGCAGATGAATCCTAACGTCAATCTAGCTGTTTGGATGACAAGAATAGAGGAACTATCAGATAGACTTGGGAATTTGGAAGCACACCGAGAAGATGATGTCCGTGTGTTCAACCAAGATAGTTCAAATGGAAAAAAATAAGTACTCCAATGAAGGAGCAGGATCGGTCCATGAGAACTTTAAGATCCAATGCTGTAGCTCCGGAGGAAAGTGAGAAAGCAAAACGAAATCAATTTAATGAAAATACGAAAAGATTAGTATTTGATGGGGTGCATATACCCAAGAAACCAGGTTTAATACCAGGGAAATTGGTTGAAACGACCAATGGAAATCAGAAAACAGTAAGATTTGAGGCTCCAAAGTCCATAGATCGGCCTTTGAAGAAGCCCTCAGTCACGATCGAAGATGTTGATGAATCTGATGACGAGGATACTATTAAATTAATTCCTTCGTCAAGACCAACGAATCAAATTAATAGCGAACATAGACCATATGATCATGTTCAACCTAGGACGTATCGTCCTATTCAAATTAATACACCTACGAAGGTACCAAGAGACCAGACGAATCAAATTGATAGTCATGGATATACTCCAGCCTATAAAATTAGGAATGAAGTCTCGAGACCAGGTAGTAGAAGAAGATATAGCAAAGAAGATATTCGATGCTAAAGTTGATTTGAGTACAGAAGAATTAGCAGCTTTATCACCTGCTATCAGAAAGATTATTATGCGCAAGATACGCAATAGGAGAGTCCGTCCAAGGACTAAAACGAATAACTACGTATCAACTTTATCCGAAGATGGAGAAACTGAAATTTTGGATGATCCATCTAGGGTACAGATGATTGATACATGCATTAGAATTGAGATCTTTGGCAGGATCAGACGGATATGTTTGAAGTCCTGACTGAAAGTCGTAATGACATTCCTGTGGGATCTATAGTGCAGAAAGACATTGTGGAAAGTTTTCTACGAGACCTTTCCATTGATGATGAACGAAGGAACATTGCCATAGTTGCTAATCAGAGTGTGGCATATGAAGACCATAGTGATCATCCAGTGGTAGTAGCGAATCAATCAAATGGACTACGTGCTGTTACTCCTGAAATCAATAATAAAGATGAAGAGATTGAAAGTGTATTGGACCAAGGTTCACAGATTGTTGTGATAGACCAATTGATAGCTATAGGTCTAGGAATTACTTGGGATCCAGAATTCACGATCAGAATGCAAGATGCAAGTGGAAAATTAAACCAAACTCTTGGTTTAGCAAGAAATATTCCATTTAAATTTGGTGAAGTTACGGTGTACTTACAGCTACACGTACAGAATAAAGCGCCATTTCAAGTGTTATTAGGGAGACCTTTTGACGTCTTGGTGGAAAGTGAAATTAAGACCTTTGGAAACGGAGATTCCGAGATAACAATC